CAGTATTAAGTAGGTGTGCAAAAATATCTAATATCCGGTTCTGGAAAGTAAAAATGATTTTGATTCTACAATCAGGGTGCACATCAGTTCTGGAAATTTCTCTAAAATTGCTACTAAATGTAGGCGTCTCTGTTATGATTAGATTTTGGGAGGAAGAGGAAGTGAAAGTTGTATATTAGAGAATTCTGATGCATTCCATGTTATGCACGTTGGTTGGGCTTTATGCATTGTGTGAAGAACGGGGTAAGATTTGGTGCAAAAAAATGAAATCTTTTCTGCTCAGATATTCCTCCAAACTTATCTGAATATCATCACGGGTTCTAGAAATCTATACAAATCCCTGCCCTACACTCTTTCCGCCCCATATAAACACCTACCCTAAGTGGTTGGCAGCTCCATTGCATTCCACATTTTTGCATTCTTTCCTATTTTTGTCCTCGTCGATGGAATCGCATTCATTCACCATCAACGAACGAATGTGTTGCATGCATGCATTTGTTTCGAGCATTCTCTGACTTTCACCTTATACATCCGTTCTCCTTATTACATAAAATTGCTTTCACTCTCCGTCTCGTTTTATGTCTTATTATGCGCACAACCGACCGACTGACAACCTCACCACCGTGAATAGAGAAAGTAGAAATGCACCTATGAACATAGCCCAAAAACTAAATTCTTTATGCTGCTGCTACTCGTCTTATCTACCTCTCTCCGCTCCTACTACTTTTCATACCGTCATGTTATGCATTCTGCTGATTGGTTGCTGTCATGAAAATTTCACTTTCCCACGTTATTCATCCACTCATGATGATGAAAATTGGATGGGATGTGAGGCATCCTTGTCGGAGAGATGTCTGCGATTTTACATCCACAACAACATCATCCATCCAAACATATCTACTTGCGTATGTAGCAACGAAACGACAGATTGATGGCGACGAGATTTGAGCCCTCTGTTCTGCCCTGTCTGGATAGCTAGCTGTCAAACGAGAACGAACCACATCTCACAGAGTACAAGTGAAAGTTGGCTACAATACCGTAAAGATAACGCCATGATTTATGTCTCAAATAAACAAACTACTTTGGGAGACCCACCCCAATTAATTTAATGGGGGTGGATTTTATTTCACAAATTTAATGATGGCGCATTAGGTCACTGGTGTAAACAAAGGGAGCCTATCGAGTTCTCCTCCGCCAGCAAATGGGAGTGCTGCTTACATGATGCCAACATTCATTTCGGACTGCATCACCATTACTCGTTAATAGATATCGTAAATTCGCATCGATTTTATGTCTTGCTAAAAACAAATTTGGTTTCACGGAGAAAGTAAATGAATAAACAAAGGAAAGCGACATCACAAATGGATGTGTCATTTCACATGGACTTCTCCAAAGCGATGGAAATAAATAGAACTGGCCTTGTTTTTGGTAGAATTTGCACAATAATATCATTTCCATTTATCTGCCTGGAGATAAGCAAGGCAAGGTTTGTTTTCCTGCTAGAAGTCGATGTGCAATGCTTTCACTGACATTAAAAAGGTTTGGTTTGTACGTGCAGCTGTAATAAAACTTAAAACAAGGACACGAACCTGGAGTTTTTAGCTAAATTGAATATAATCCCGTAAACCAAACAACCAACGAGGCAGACCCACTTCTCTCTACCTCTCCCACTTATCTCCTCCAATCCAAAATCCAACCCCACCACCACCAACGAAACTACCAAGCCTGCCTGCCATGCTTCTCTTTCCCTCCTGCTGCTAAGCCTAGTGGGCAATTTCAACGGTTTCGTAAACAAATAAGCACTCTTCAATCCACAATCTAGGTCTGGAGACTTTAATCTAAATCCAAACTCTCGACTCTAAATTGTGGCTCGAGAAGATGAGGAGAAGGAGGAGGAGGAGAAGAGAAACGCTTAGTAAGTAAAGAGGTTTTAAGGATGAAAATTGCAATCAGCGACTCTTTCCAAGAAGGAGAACCAAACAACCTCCTAACTGTTTCCAGGAACGGCTAAACTAACCAAAAACCCACCACCTCCAGCTATCCACCAGCTAGTCCTTGCCTCTCCTTGTCAGGTTACGGATAAGAGATAAAGATCGTTATTTGTGAAGAGGTTCACATCTCGTTAAATTAGAACTCGAACGACTTGAAGCATTATAACCCGTATCAACCTACAGAGTTGTATGTATGCATGCATGAAAAATTATGGCCGGGAGAGAAAGTACGGGGGAAAGTCGCAAATTTTCGGGTCAGCTTTTAATTTAGAGTTATCATCGCTGATGACAGCACTATTTTCTGTTTCTACCACGGCTTAATTGTGGTAGATGCAGAATTATTTGGACGGGAGGATTTTCCGTATCTTTTTTGGCATGCCCACCCGGGCATTAGTGGTCCATCCAGTCAAATTCAGCAAGGCTGGTGGAACCACAAAGAAAACAAATGATGGTCATTCAGAATTTTTAAGCAAGTAAAAAGCCGTAAGTCTTGTGGATCCTCCGACTTGTTTTATCCATATCCGCGTATTTTGACCTGGGCATTTTACGCGTGGCATGGTGCGGTTGGTTAGTGGTGTGTCGGAGGTGGGTGGGTGTGTGTGAACACGGGAAATAAAAGTAATTTATGCAACATTCCTCCACGACTCGGCATTTCCACATCCAAAAGTACTTGCTGGTTAGCACTGGAAAGCGAGGAGAGAAAACCCGGCCAACGAAGCCACTCGCCGTAAATCTTATGTTAACACTAACACCAACAGTCATGCCAAAAGGGTGGGTGGGTAGATGGATGGATGGATCCAAGTGCTGCAGGGTGCTCGAGACTTTACACCGGTGAAAGTTGGTCCCACTTTCAGGCGTGTTTCTCTATATGCGTAGATTGGACAACTTTTTTCAAATTTGAGGATGTACGTTTGTTTCCATTGATCTGTGTAGGCGGAATTAAGCATGGTCGTTCTCCTACTTTTTGGACTTTGATCTTATTCGAATTCTTTAAGTTTTAGGGCTTCTTTTCTCAAATTAATCGAAGCTTTATACATACGTATCAACCGTTTTCTTGGTACCATATTTTTTCATGCGCATTTCAATTACCAAGTTAGTGGGATGTCTTACAAATTTTTTTTTTTTTTGTTATTTAGCATGATTTATTAAATCCAAAAAGAGTTTAAAACACATAATTTTCATTATAAGCTTGTCAGACCCCATTGCACATGGGAAATTACCTGATCAAGCCAGTCAGTCTTTTAGTTAAAAATATTTCAACTAAGGTACACGTACATACATACCTAAAATTAAGTATTAGAGTAAGAGAGCGGTTTAGGAGTGATGCTCGATAATTAGTCAACGAATATCAGTTGAAATGCATGGACTTCAGTTTCTTTTTGAAAACAGCGTAGCTTGACTCGAATTTTAGCTCTTCATTCAAACCATTCCATAAATTTACACCAGCAAAATATTTAGACCATGAGAGGTCCTCGGTTTAACAGAGCTAACCAGAGCATTATAAGATCTTCTGGTGTCATGATTGTGAACATCACAAATTTTAGTAAAATACTCGTCAAAATATGGAACAGAAATATTTTTAATTATTTTAAACATTTTACATAGTGTCCTACAGTCACACAAGTAGATTGAGTTTGTTTGACAATTATCGAATCTAGCAAATTTCCACCCCAAGTAGGAAAATCAGCACTCTTATGCTCTTGTCAATTAGATTTCATATTACACACTTGAATCGAATAAACATAAATATTCTAAGTAAGAGGGATCAGACCAGTCAATATTAGCTAAGGATATTTCATTTACTTTTAAATCATTTCTCGCCAATATTGCAGCTCCACCCCCTCGAGTAGATCGGTCCTTTCTGTACATTACAAAGTTTGTGGGAATACAATACTCCCTGTCAGGTCTAAACCATGTTTATTTTGATGACCACTTAAAATAGTACGATTTGCTGCTAGTCAGTTCGTTTCCATGCTTGTCACACCCACTCGATGTATCTTGGATTGTTGGGAGTCAAGTTTACATTCATTCTTCCGCTTTGAAAGTCGTGTGGCCATTCGCTCAGACGATGTTGCGCCCGTCCCTTTTACAACCCTCGCTTTAGATTTTGCCTTCCATTCCGCTTGCTCTTTACGTGTTAGATCTTTCCGCACTGAGATGGTCTTAAATTCGGTCCTGTCCTTCAACATAGAACAGTTTTTTAATGCCTGGGTTTTTTGCTGAACTGTGGATAAGTTAATCCGGATTGGACGAGGCTTTCTTCCTTCTGAGTCACCAATTCGGTTATCGTGTAGAGGACCTACCCATTCAGGTACAATTACTTTCATTAAGGTACTACGCTCCTTTTGTACTCCAGCAGTTGAGCAAGAGTGAACTGTTGGGTTGAAACAGGAGGTGGCAGAGGTCGCCTACCTCCTGTTTCTTCACCAACTACCACGCTTCCTCGTCTCACTCATTTTTGGCAGTTTCTTCAGTGCAACTGCAGCAGAACCTTCTCCTTTCTTCGACTCTATTTAGGTAAGCGAATTGGTTGCCATGACAACCAATTAATTACCAAATTAATTGGTTGTCGTGGTAATCCATTTATTCATTCTATAAATGTGCTTAAAAATTAATTTATTATTACAGGTGATATAGTCTCCAGGTCGAGGGTAGTTTGCCTTTGAGAGGAAACCAAACAGCCCTGGCGAACAATTAATAAAGTGACGACGCGGTGGTGAAGATTAAGTCCGAAGAATTAATTGGACCGTTAATTGGGCTACATATCGTTACTCTTAAACTTTGACATTTTAGCAGAAGGTAAAATCATTACACCCTCCTGGTCGTCCGTTCGTCTGAATCAAGGTGGGTCAATTAATTGGTAGCAGAGTTAGTTGTTTATCCACAAGTATAAATATATCTCTATTTGTTGAGTATTTTGTTAAAATTTAAAATGTCGTATTTGTTGAAGCAGAAGCAAGAATTGGGTATAATTATTTATCAAGACCTTGATTTTTTTGTCAGATGAGTGCTGTAATGATGATGCCTCTTCCTCCTCCACCCCCACCTCCCCCACCACGGAAACCTAACGACAAAGAAAAAGGTGAAAGAGTAGAAAAAGATGAAGAGGAGGACAAAGATAAGGATAAGGTGGAGAAGGAAAATCGACAAGAGAAGCAAGAAGACCAAGAGGAAAGAGGTAAAGGCGCCGCTGTGAAAAGGGTGAACCTACACGGGTCACCACCACCGAGTTGTGACCGGCGAGGCGGTGCTCCGAGGGGAAGGCGCGGAGCTCGCCCTCATCCCTACACACGGGGAGGACGGACCCACCCACAACCCGATCCACCTATTCGACGGGTATTTGTGTTTATTTTTAACCAGGGCTTCTGTACCTTACCTCCGTCTGTCTTACGATAACTGCCGCTCGCTAACCTTTCGCACCTCTCTTTTTAAACCCCAACTCCAAACATTTTTTATGATATTTTGCATTTTATGCTGGGTGATTTTATAAACTCTGTTATACACTAATTCACCTTATCTATTTTTTTTACAGAATTCGTTTGTTGTCCGGTTTTGCTTTGCCTGTGGAGCTGAGGCCCACCCCAGGGCTCCTGCTTGCCAGCGATGTCGTGTTCGGTTCCAAGGGCGAAGATGCGGAGCTTGCTTCGCCCCTGTGGCAGCTGGTTCGTCATCCTGTCATTCAAGGGGGTGAAAACATACGGAAATGTCTTGTCCGTCCGTGTATCCAACAACCTCCACTTCCTCCTTCCCGACCACCAAGCTATTTATCAATGGGAAATTTGTAGAGTCGAAAACTACCGATTGGGTGGAACTTCGAAACCCTACGACAACATTTCTGTCGCAGATCTGAAATGCAAGAAGCAGTACAATCTGCAAGGATGCATTTAAAACCTAGTCACATATGTCCATAATGGCTAGACAGCAAATTATTTTCAAGTTAGAGAGATTAGACGTTTGAAATACGTGGGTGGCGTCATGTCAGAAATGAAGGCGAAATTCTGGTCGAGTCTCGAATCGGGCAAAGTTGTCACCCAGCGCTAATCATTTTGGCAAATGTTTCATTTAATGTTGACCTTGCGTGAGGAGTATTTTCTCTCAATTTTCGTAAAATTAAGAACGAGGAGTAATGTGAGACAAAGACGGGGAGGTGGAGGAAGACGACGTTGGCGAAATACTAAGACATTTCCGTGTGTTTACACCCTTTTGCTACATTTCGTTTGCAATGGTTTATTTCAATAAATTTTACTTTTTTTAGATATGCAGATCGAGGGCCACTTCTGCATTTACTGTGGCGGTATTTTGGATGTCGTCGGAGTGTATTCTCCCAACTGATGGTTTTTTAAAATGAAAATAAATCGTTGAAAACTAATTACTGTGCTTGTTTGAAGTTGTATTTATTTAGTTTTTGCATAATTACTAACTTGCGCGTCAACCTTCTTCGATTTGGAAGTATCCCGAACGGGCATCGAGGAACCAGGAGCAGTCGAAATTCGTCGATATTTATGTTCCTCCAAATCTCTACAACAATATTTCTCGTCGTCAACATTGCCATGGCCATTCTCGCCTGAATCGTGGCGCTCCCAATATGAGGCAAAACGGCTAAAATTCCAAGAAAGCAGTCAAAATCACTCCATAAATCTTTTCCCTAATTTCAAAATTTCCACAATTTACCACAATTTTTCAATTTTGTAAGTTCATGACCGACTGGGAGCGGTTCTGGGGTCATTACGTCCAACCCAGCGGCAAAAATTTGTCCCGTTTTAAGGGCTTTGATCAACGCGTCTTGCTCCACGGTGCCTATGCAGCGAAATAATTAATTGTTTCGCGAAAATTGTGTCCAAAATATTATTCTAAATTTCTGTGTTGGCCAGCTCGCCCAACACAAAGAAGGCCTCGAGCTACTCCTCGATTCCGGTGACATCCATCTCTTTGTGGCCGTAAATTCTAAGTACGATTTGGATTAACTACAGGTTTGGCTAACGAGGGGGGTTTATAAAATTCCAGCATTGAAACCCACACGATGAGGCGTCGGATAATTAAATCTCTTCAAAAATGTCTCCCAAATATCGGCTTTCGTTCCATTTAGTAACAAAATGCACTCTCTCAAGAGGGGACGAATGTTTCAAAAGATAACGACAAAATTTTGAAAAGTAATACAAAGAATTGATGCTAGTTCATGCAAGAGTACAAAGTATTAGTACATAAAAATTATATTATAATCAGAGGGCGGATATTTATGTACCTAAAGGAAAGTATGTATGTACCCAAAATCCTCAAAATTTGTATGAAAATATGTAATATGTACGACAAACTTAAAATGCGTAAAATTTGGGAAACTATGTTTGAATTTTTGCAATCGTGCTTAGATCAGATGTCAGTATACGAAGTATTAGTATGATATGATTTGGTATAAGAAAGTTAGAAATAAATACATAAATTTAACTGGAATAAGTGACTTTAACTTAAATTTATTAAGTTATTCAAGTATTAAATTTGGTTCTTTAAATTAAATAAATTAAGTAATATTTTTAACCGATTTTCGGCGGCGTGTAGGCTTTTTTATTGGAGGTTCCTCCGTGTGATCTGCTTCACTGACTTGTGACTTTTCAGGTGCTTGTGATGTAATTGTGTTGATTAGTTTATTGGCTTTTATATTTTGTGTCGATCGGTAGGCTTCAAGCCTGTACGTCGGTTGACGATATCCCATATTCCTAGGAAACATGGGATCCACAATTTCGGGAGCGTAGTCTTCGACATAAAATATTTTAGCCTTGTCCCGTATTGCATTCCACTTTTGTAAAGTTTCGTTACTTCTGTAAACTCTGGTAACATGCAGTTGACCTTCAGGATTCACTGGTTTACCAGTAATTTCGTCCAATGGACCTTGTGTCCATATAATAAAATCGCACCACGTTCGTCCTGTTACGTGCAACTGCGTTACAACCTGTGCATAATAATGAGATGTCTTAGCAAACTCATCCACAGGATTTTCTGGTGTAGAGGTCTTACTAAGGCGTAATGCGTAGGATTTGTGTAAAACTACATCAGTTGGTTTTGCAAACCTTTCCTTGTGTGGACATTTTACTTCTATAATTTCGTCGGTTCCAACCACACCATCTGATGAAGCTCCTAGTAGTCCAAACTCTAAAGATTTAAATATACCCGATGCACAACTACATTGTATAATTTTTCATAAAGCTGAATAGCCTTTGTTTCGTTTTGTTTGCCCCAGATTATTGCTGGATTGGCATTCAAATTTCGAGGTTCTAAAAGATCGTCAAGCAAAGCAACGTTAGGCGTTTTGTCCGCTAAAGAGAGTATTCTACCAGCTATGCTAGCTGTTATCATGAACTGCCGGCGTTCAACATATAACGGATTCGCAAACTGCCCGACAGTTTCCTCGTGTATTTTCCACTGCTCTTCCTTTGAGCTAATTGAGTGTTGAGCAACAAATTCGTCTACTCTCTTTCTCAACTCCGACTCCGGCAAGCCAACGTCTTCTGCATGTCCGCCATATGATGGGTTCCCCAACGGCTTCCTCCTCTTGCTGAAAAATTCAGGCAAACCTTTCTTGACAAATTTTGAAAATATCCGCTTCTTGCGTTTTGTTTTTCTGGCAGTAGCTCTTGCTCTGCGTTGAATACCTTGAGTTAATTTTTTTGTCCATTGACTTCCAGCCAGAGTTTGTTTTGTTTTTTCGAATGCAGATTTTGTCCAACCTGAACCGAACTGAAATCCGAAGGTGGCCTCCATAACCTTCAGGTTATATTTACCACCTTTAGTATAGTTGACTCGTCTACCTTGTGCAAATTTGTTTATTTGTGCTTGAAAGCATTCTGCAATATTGTTCGTTAGGCCAAGCAGCAAGGACTTTGAATGATTCGCCAGTCTGGTAAATATTTCTTCGAGTTTATGGTAGAATTTAGGGTCTTTGAGTTTCATACCAACCGACACATCCGTATCTGGAATCTCTTTTTGAGTGTCCGTCCGCTGTCCATCTTCGATGGATTGTAAATTTCCGTCATTTGATTTAAATTTTTCTGGTACTATGATTTTCCCACCATTGCAAAAGTAACTGTTACAATTTCTATGACAGCCTAGTACGTGCAGCATTACCGCTTTTATGTCCGAACGCAAAGTGTCCTGGTTTGTTTGAGGTCGATTGATTCGATTGTGTTCTATTACGTATTGACAATACTTGCCTATAGAAGACCATCGGGTTTGCACGATGGATCTACAACTGAGGTCGTAACCTGTATCTCCAACAAGACTAAGTATGTTTGTGTTGAGTCTTCGTATTGCATGATTTACACAATTGATTTTTTCCACCTCAAGGAAGGGTGAACTGCCTTTGGCATAAATGTATTGTATTTCATTAAACACGCTGGAATCTCCGTCCCCAATAAGTTTTTTGAAACGCAACTGATGCACTTCAATGCTTTGTTCAAATCCTTCGCGGATAAGATCTGCTTCCATAGCCTGCGGCGAACCTCCCCAATTCTTGTAGCATTTTTCGTGGCTTTGGCCATTGTTCCTTGAACAAATCAAACAATAACTGTTTCTGACGCCTACGAATAAAGGTAGCATGGTTAGCGCGCCAATAATTACAGCGCTCCCAGTCTTAGCTTTCCCATTTTGGTTGTAACACCGTTGACTCCACTGCCCATCAGCGTATACTACGGTCCACGCGACACCATCGCTATCAACTTGTCCAAGAGTAACGGCCATTTCTCGCTCTTTTTTACCGTTTTCAACGAGGAGGTCTTTCCAAGCAATTTCAAGATCCTCCATAAATCGTGCTTCGTGCTTATAGTACGTTTTTGAAGCCATACAAGGGACATCCAAGCAAGCCAAAAAATGTTCCAAAGCTGTGTATCCCATTCCTGTAGAATTAGTTGCCCATATAGCTGCATGAGTCACGTGTGTAGTTTTGTTACCCGTGTCACTGTCTAAGACAAATACTTCGTTGCATTGTTTACATTTTGCCACAAAAGTGGAACGCATTCCAGTACGTGTTTCTTTTTCAAAGTATAGTTCTCCTGGACATTTTGTCCCATGGTTAGAACTATATCTCATCAGCCATTCGATTGACTCAGTTGTAAAGATTCTTCTGCCCTCAATTTTCGGAAGTTCTAATTCGCTCGCAACTTCTGTTGCTTCCTCTTCTGTGAAAGACAGCCTGCGGCCACGCAAACCTTTATTTATAAACCTCCTAGTTCGTGGTGTTGTGATATCGGGGAGGGATATAGGTGTCACCGTTTTTGTAACTTTAGAGTACGCTTTCGTCCTCACAGGTGTTACACAGTCCTGCCTTTCAGGTCTTACACAATCTACCCTTGATGTACATTGACCTTCGGCGCCACATGTTGGGACGTTTGTAACGATAGTTTTCTTAGTACCACCTAACCAATTTCTTCGGCAGGCAGCTCTCCTTTTAGATATAGGCCCCATTTCTGTGAATAAAAAATATCAAACCTTTGACTAATTAGTACCTTCCATATTTATAGTTTAATACTGAGCGGGCTCACGTCAACGTTCTTATATCTCGCATATCTTGCAAAGTTGGCGTAGGAACATATTTTTAATTTACCCAGAAAATACAATTTTACATATTTCTATTTTCTAGCCATTTCTATTTTAATTTTTCCACGATTCTTTAGCTGGATGATAAAAATTCGACCTTAATCGTGGAGACATTTCCAAGTTTGTTACTTGAAAGTCCATTCAAAGCAATTGTTCAGTCACCTCCAAGATTATGTCCACCCGTGGAACTAAATAAATACTTAACCAACAGTGTCATATTTATGTTTGCTTTCACCCTCAAATTCTCTCTCCTCGAATTACTTTCACAAATGTTTGTGTATTCAGGACGATCACTGCTTACATGATCACACAATGGGAAACATTTAGTAAAATAAAATTGGAGTGGATTCGGTCGACTGAATGGGCTTGTGACCAAACTACAATTTCGAAATTTATTCTAGCCACTCCGATGACCCCTTGAACAACTGGATTGATTTCGCCCATGTTCGAATCGAACTCGTTTCCTAGCTTTGTCCAGTATGAATCTGGTAGACATTTCAAGTCCATCGGTTTACTCATTCGAGAGTTATAGAAAAAACTGACTGACGGACGGGCATGACAATTACATAAGCCCTGGGTCGGGCTAAAATTTAAAGTTTGTGCTGGAAACAATTCATTTGTCGCAACATGCATACAATGATAAATAATACTGAGTGGGTTGCGATGCTAAATAAAACTTTGTCGTGAGCACGCCCATTGTAATTTATAAAATTATAAATTGAAATAGTTAAACCACTTACGTTTTTTTAAATAAGCTCAATTCTTCCAAAATAAAGCAGGACTTTACTCATTCAAATGGCAAAGGATGATGTTTATGTTTTTGAATTTCCCGTGACTGGTGCGAATGGGCATGATCTATACTCTTTGGTCTGTCAAAGCCACAGAAAAACCGACCTTTTTTTCTTGTAATTTGCGATAACTTTCGTAAAACGTGGAAATTTGTCATCTGTGATATTGCACATGAAAGATTATTAGTTGTACTACAATAGCTTGTGTAGCAGTTGTCAATATCTTATTTTTAGCAGAAGATATGAAGCTCGAAATGCATGCAATTGAAGAGGATAATGTTGAGCTTCATATCTTCTGCTAAAAATAAGATATTGACAACTGCTACACAAGCTATTGTAGTACAACTAATAATCTTTCATGTGCAATATCACACATGACAAATTTCCACGTTTTACGAAAGTTATCGCAAATTTCCTAAGCAAATACGAGCTATAAGCTGAGCATTGCGAGCCATTGGTGAAATAGGTGTCTCATGTTTCTCCCCATTACCGTTAATTGTGCCGCAACATTCAACCCTTCCTTTGATTCAGGCACTCCCATCAAAATAATATTGCCCATCCGGATTAGCCTCTGCTTTTGCTCGACGAACTCCTCTCTTACTTCTTGCAGCAACGTGTCCTTAATTGATTCACGTGAAAGTTTTTCTTCGACACCGATTATCCTTGCCTCCATTGTAGTTTGACCCTCTTTCAAGGAAGATATTTCTTCTTCAATTTTTTTGCGCCAAGCGCCAAGGTCCTTAACCACGTCAGAGAGTAGTTTCGACAGTGTTTCTTGATGCTTCAGAATGTTCGCCTCCATCCCCTCCATTTGCTTCTTTAAGACGTCCATGTAAAGATTTGTTTCACACGAGTAATTTACAAGGTTAATTCAGGTTTCAGGTCACTCCCTTGGTGTGGTAATCCACCTCCCCCTTAGAAATTAGGCTAAAAACTTGTCCCCACAACCAGATCCGTCCACAAAAAAGAAATTTGTCCGGGGGTGGGAAGAATGAGTAGCAGCAGGAGCAGGAATGGGCACCACCAGCTACTTCCTTTTACACTTGATTTCTTAATCGCAAAAATCTAACTTTAAAATTGGTGAGAACTATCAAAATTGCGAAATTGTGGGGAAAATTTTTGTAACTTAATGACCAGTGGGTACAGCTCTATAAAATGATACCAATTTCAACTTTATAATAGCAGTTTAAAATTTTTTATTTCTATTTATTCGTAGAGTTAAATGAACATATGTACACGTCCCAAGTCCCTTGCAACATTCAAATGACACTCAATGACATTCAACACAAATCACGTATTACTTCGGATTGCTTGCACAGTAAAAAAATATGCCAGATCGCATTTCTTTCTACCGGAACAAAAAGCCCGAAATAAATAATACCGTATTGCGGAAATGTTGTACACAGGGTGAGCAAGTAGGAAATGAGGAAGCAGCTTTAGCTTGGCTTCACCACCACAAAGGAATGAATTAGAATCAACAAGTTGATGTTGAAAGCAGCAAAATGCTGAAGCTATGGTTGCCTAGTGGTAGTTTCTTCTTCCTTCTTGTTCTACCATTTCTAAAGGCTCCCGGCACATCAGCACCATACCAAAGGAGGAGTTCCTAGTCGTAGCAGTCTGTAAAGTAAGATGATGACGGCGATTTGGCGATGATGATGTGACGGTGAGTTGGTTGGTGGTGAAAACAGCAGAAGAGAGAAGAGGAGAGGAGAAAGGTATGTGAAAAGTCCTAAACGCTACAACCACCAGAACCAGAGCGAGAACCAGATGCGATCTAGAGAACGAGCCCCTCTGACTTGCGTCTTGTGCCTGGAATACTTGAATGATTTGTAGGATTCAACTATTTGCACAATCTTGGCTCGGCTACTCTTTCTCCTCTCTCGCTACCCTCTGCACCACTTTTTCCACAGTCTCAGTTTGGTCCTGGTCCAACTGAGAACAAGACCTCTGCCAGTAGCTCGAGGTGGTGATGACTTTATCCACGCAACTTTCACCCGACAGGAGAAAATGAGACTTTCACTACGCAAAATAAAGTAAAGTAACCACGAGACAACGTTAATTTCGAATTATTACATAACGAAATTTTAAACTTGTGCACAACAATCGTCGAGAAATTAAGAAGGACTTGTTTCGTGCCATTGTTCAAACGTCTGACTTGTCCCCGTCTCCCATTGTCCATTCTTTATCACTGGAGAAAGTTTTGCGTCAAGTTTTCTCTCCACAAAACCGAGACACGACCACCCAACGAACCAAGTCCCTACAGACAGACCGCAAAATTGAATTGGAAAAAGTCCTCATGAAGAAGAAGAATTCCTCTACAATACATGATGTACTGCTTCTTCTGCTGTGCTTCACAAGGACAAAAAGTCTAATTTGAGTTTGTCTCTTGTGCCGGGGAGACGACGAAATTATTACACATTCGTCGTCTGGTAAGATTTTTTTGAGATTTGAGAAGAAGAAAAAAAGTTTTTGAAATATTCCAGAGTTTGTAAATCTCTAGACATTCGAATGTCGCAGTAGCAATTGTTTGTTTATTTGACGTGGACAAATTATTACCGGGGCGGGGGCGAAGGGGTCAAGGGGTGTGCATATTAAATCCATTCGAGACAGTCAGAATAATCTGTTTGTATGCATGGCCATTTAGTAGACTACCTGCTCTACCTGCCCAGGTTGGCCTTTTAACTCTGACAAATTGCACACACACGCATACCCATAGCAAGTTTCGGCTTCTTAGCAATTTCCATTTTGTAAATCTTTTCACATCTCAACTCTCCATGCTGCTCCTGCTGCTGTACTTTAATAGCTAATGCACATGCAGGAAGTGGGAGAGAGAGAGAGGGCCCGACTCTCATTGATAATTTATGGTTCAGGCCATCAACGTGGCAAACTTTAAAGCATTTCAGACTTAATTGATGCTGATGAGTGTAACTCTTCTTGTACTTGTAGTTCCGTCGTCTCATCCAAGATTACCAGGCAAGAAAAGCATGCCGGATGGATTTAAGTAACGAGGAAGGAATGAGTGAGTCGATTAAAGTACTAATGGAAAACCGTGTTTAAAGTGTGAGTTTCTGTGAATAATTTATAAAACGCGAATCGTTCCTTCCTTTCCGACTGCTTCAACTCAGTCAGCAGAGCGGCTCGACTACTGGCTGGCACTTTACGTGAAATTTACGCTGAAGAGGAAGCACCAGCTATTATTTTTTCCCTGGCTGCACGTGAAAAGCGACGTATATCAAAATAATAAGTAAGAAGAAGGGCTTGATTCATTCGAAGCTTTCAAAGATCTGACGATATCATCAAGCTGAAATATGATGGGGGCCCGATCCAAGAAAAAGGGATACAAGACGCTCACAATTCTGAAAAGGGCGGGCGTGATTATAGCAATTTTCGACTTGGTAAGCAATAATAACTCTTTTTAAATGAGACTAATAAGTAAAATGCGAATTCCAATTAATGAAACCGCTAGGTGGGCGCTGTTCTTAATTTTGTAAATCCCTACTCATTCGTATATAGGTATTTACATACATATGAATATAGTCTCACTGGTGGCTTTGAGACTGAAAACTTTTCCACATAATAACAGTAGAAAATAGACTTTGAGAAAGTATTTATACGATCCTACTAGTAGCCAGGTGAGCGGCGAGGAGGGTAGCAAATTCTACATCAGAATTCAAACTTTGGAGACTTTTCGACTTATGTACAAGTTACGAGTGGCTTAAATTTACAATTGGAAATGGAACAAGGCAGTACTTATTTCTCAACAACCCTCCCTCGCAGTTGTAGAAGAGCAGGGAAAGCAAATCACAGAAGTACCGAGTCACCTTTCCAAATATTAAAAAACTTTTACATCCATGGATGGAGCAGGCTTTATAAACGATATTAAAATAGATTTAAGATTAAATCCTTAGCAGAATTCCAATTCGCCCAGGGAAATTTGCGCTTTCCCCAAACTCGGTTCAGTAGTAGTTCACCAACATTTGGGAAAGAATGGATTGTCACGCCATTCCCATAGCACAATTCACATCAAAGGTAGTCGTAGTAGTAGTTTCAGTGGTATCTAAAGGGCGAGGAGAGATGAACCACTTGCACGTGTAGTGCCTTGGAGCATGTGATTGAGAGATATGGCACACAATAATTTTAGACCAGGTAACTCCCTCCGTGGTGGAAGTTAATCGAGGAAAATCTAGTCACGCACCGAGCCATTTCTTCTTCGTACCTGCGAATGGGTGACATTTGCTCTTTAACTCGTGCCAGCCAAAAACCTTGGGTGGGACGCCGCATGTACATGCTGACTTTCTCCTTTTTCTCTTTCTCTCTCTCTCCACATGTGACAAGTTTTATTTGATTTAATTTCCTTTAATTGCCCCTTAACAGATTTTGACCATCAGCGACTGCAGAAATGTGGGTCGATTCTTTCTCCTCGTCACGATGTCCAACACGTTTGACATCACGCCGGAAAACGTTCTTGGGGATCACTGTCAAACGCCAGGCAACTTGAGACGAGGGGTATGTGAGACGTGGAGCCAAATGATGGAAACAGGTTCTCCGCTGGCTTTCTCCGCGTCTGAAATGGCAGGGAGAAGTTTTCACCCTCATGTTTCTTCCGTGCATAATAATGCTGCGGGTGGTGGTGGTGGTGGTGCTGACATGGAAGGAGGGTCGAGCTATCTCAAAGCTACGCTATCCATTCAAAGATTACCAGAGATGCTCAAAGAGCTTGTTATGTCTTGGAAATCTACATTTGATCCGTCACGTACGGATAGGAACATCTCTTTCTATTTTGATGACGATGAGGTTCCTCGAATGCATGAACAGCAGTTACCACCACAAGGAGCCCCACCACCACCAGTGAAGCATCAACATCGCCAAACAGAAGGTAGTTGGCATACCCAGACCTCATCATTATCCTCGTCCGTCCCTTCCTCCCTGCTTGATAACAACCGTCAGAAAAAACATGCATCTCCATCTCTTCCACCTCCACGTGAGGCGAAGAATATTCCAAGTTTGAATCAGAGAAAGAATTCTCCTGGAGAAAGTCATGAATACGACGTGGACTCGATTCATCTGAATTCTCACGTTGGTCGTGGTGGTGGTGAGATTGAGCCTGATTTTATCACTGGAGTAGAATCACCACATGTTCCTTCGTCGTTCCATCATGATCATACCACGACTATTCCCCAACCACGAAATAATGATGTGACAGGCAGAACTGACGATACTGACGACATATCAAAACCACTCCACTTTTCCAAGAACAACCAGGAAATTGGTTTCAGCCGGAAAAAACGTTTTGCTGCACAGCAACCACCATCCTTGTTACAACAGCCATTGCAATCGCAAAATAAAAATAGTCAAGACGAAGAAGAAAGCAGTTCAACTGCAGTGCAATCAAAAATCGCCATGCAACCGGCGACCAGGATGACTTTCACCAGCATGATGAGAGAGAACGAAGAGCAAGACTTTGTGGAAACAACAGCAACAACTTCCTCTCCTCTCGAGAAAGCAACCCTATCCGAAAAAAGAGCCAAAGTAAGTTCAAACTCTGAACCCAATTTTTATTCGCCCAACTTTGTCGGAGATCAAGGAAATGATCACTTGAAGCCTTCCAAGTCCGAGGGTGGTGGTGGTGGGAAACGGAATGGCAGCAATAGAGCCACGAGTAATTTGTTCACCGGGTGGATGGGGCCAAAGGAGAAAGCGGAAGGAGAAAAGTGCTCGCAACCACCCGGACCAAAGAAAATGATGGGCTTCTTAGAACAAGAAATGTTTAGCCAGAGCCGATGGCAATCTCTCCTTCAAACTGCACAAGCTTTGATCAACCCTCGCGCTAGTGGGGGAAAGTTGTGTATTGGAGAACAATTAGGGTCAGTGGAAGCCGGAAGCATCAAAATGCACATCGAACTCAAACCCTTTGGTCCCCACCCGTTCAAGGAGGCTGAGCGGAGGTTGAAGGCAACACAACAAATTCTCTTCGACTCTCCGTGGCTCTCAATGATTCAACTCTACTCTAAACTTTCTGGTGAGTAAAGAAAAGTAGTATTTGTAGTAGAATTTAGTCCTAATATTGAAACTACATAGACAAAAAATGCATGTTCCCCGTGCAAAAAAAAATTGTTCATCAGACGGATTTTCTCTCTCTCTCTGCTTAATACCAAAAGTATGGTGGAGTGATTGATTGAACTTGGCTTGTTTTGAATGCGGGGTTGGTGGAGATTCGTTGCCGAAAGGAACGATCCGGATGGAAGAATTGGAAAAGTTGGTGTTGGTCTTGAGATTTTTACGATTAGTTAGGCACTTAGTCTTAATCAGTCTTCCTTGCCATCCATTCTCCTCGCTGCTAGTCAACCGATTAGTCCGTTCAGTAGGTTAGGTTAGTGGCTGGAAGCCAAAGGACCTGATTTTACGTTCAAGAACAAACATTCAAGAAAGGATTTTAGTAAAATACTTGCAAGAATCATTCCAATTTTGGTTACCAAAGGTTCGTGGGTATCGTTTTGGTTGGTGGGTTTTGGTTGATTGCAGTTTTACTATTACTGAATTAAGTGAAAGCAGTAATGTTCAAGTTGTATAGGTTCGTTACAAACACGTAAAATTCGTAATTGCCCTCACAAAACTTGAGAACGCAGATAATTAGTTATACCCTGTTTAACTCGAATCACCATTTTAATGGGGAAAACTACAATTAAAGGCAAACCGAGAAAAGCGTATCGAAAAGTGGAGTCGTAAAGTCAAAATATATTTTTTGGTTTGGCAATCAGCCACGATATGGAACATAAGAAAGGTCCAGTTGTTACTTGAACTTTGCCCAAATTCTAAAACTTTTCGAGTGATGTGTGTGTGTGCCTTATCTTTGGAGGTTTCTTCTTTTTTCATCATTTTGCTTAGAAATGCACATTTCTTTATTGTGATAAAAGATTCTGAATAAAAACAAGCAGACAATCAACCAACGAAGTAAATTACTCTGTCAAAACAATGGAAACTACTCTGTATCTACAAATGAACGAAACCTGTTCGACCATTCAACTGCGTATTCATGAATAACCATTGAATTTTGTCTCTGTGCAGGAGGCTTCATCAAGATATTTGTGGTGATCACAGCCTACACCTGGATCTGGGGGACGATTCTTGGTTTAATATTATTAATCGGAAGTCTCACTGTAAGTACAAAGCAAACGAAAACTGATGAATATATTTATAGCGCTTTCATTCATGCTTCACCATACAAACTTTATTGTCCTTTGTTCTCCCACTTTATTCAATATGCTACCTTTTCATCCTCCGCAGAATAGTCACTATTATTGCGTTATTTAGGTTCATTTCCTACTCCCAAGCCTTGAGTAGGTATGTATATTGTAAGATATTTATTAAGAGGTGGATAAGTATTATTGTTCATGAAGTGCAATTCTGTAGGGAATTACACGCTTTAAAATATGTATTTTTGCAATTATCATGCTTTAATATTCAATACAAATTAGTCCCGAGTATTCTATAAATTCTGTAGATTTGATAAACTCTCTGAGAACTTAATCCAGTCAGGGAAACTATTTAAAAAATAGCGTTTTGTGTCAACGTGTCCTCACCGTGTTTGCACAAGCAGCTTGGTCTCATCTTCATTCCTGCCATTACTTCAATATCTTATTGAAACCACTCACTCTCTCCTTTTCTCATCCACTCTCTGACTGAGAATGCTGCTGCTGTTTGTGATGTACTTTCACCAGCACTGAAACCACTACCACTACCACCGCTGAAACTACTTGTGTCTTTGCCTCTCTTCCCAGGAGCAGGAAAAGACACAAGAAAGCAAACAATCTCAATATCATCCTTTCCTACTTAAATCGTGAGATTGAGCTTTGATTCCTGCTCTGATTCTTCTCTCGGGAAGTTGAGGAGGAAGTACATTTTTATCATTTTATTTCATCCTTCCCCATCGTTATATTTCCATTTAATCTCATTTTCTATTTGTTTATCGGATACACGCTTTCACCACAATGTGAGTAGAACCACTCTCTGATACTGATTTGAAATCAGGAAAGACTTCTCCTTCATCCAGTCACAGAGGACAAATTTCCTCGTATTTTTGCCTCGTGATAATGCTCCGTATAACTGAATGAAGATTGTATTACATTACATGGCACTTTCACTTTCTAGGAAAATGGTATCAATTGGCTATAGTATTGACGAGTGAGAAGCATTGCCAGTCTCACTTTATAAATTATATTCTTTTCGATAAGAGCATTTATAAAAGTCGAGGAGAAAGTTCAATTTTTACGAAATCGCATTATGCCCACTTTCTCCTCTCGTCTTCTTCTCGGAAAAAGATTTTCTTACATAAATATGAATACCTCCATTTCATCTCTGACTGTATTAATATTGTCTCTTAATTTTGAAAGGGGAAGAGAGAAAGTCTGACAGAAATAATGAGAATAGTAATTGATTTTTTTTCTATCCCTCTCGTTTGAACTTATTACGTCCCTCCTCGAATAAGTCAGCCACGAGTAGTGAAAGATGTTCAAAGAGAAAAGTCTCAGGGAGAGAGTTGAGAGTTAAAAATTATTGAGTTGAGCTTTTGCCTAATCGAAGGAGCAGTCCATTGGAAGGAGAAAGAATAGAGAGAGAAAGATTTCTCTGCCAAAAAAGGACCGGAACCGGCAATAAAATGAAATCAAGTTGACAACTTGGTCAAGCAATAATGTCACAGTGGAGCATGTCTGAAGCCTCTCTGAGCCACTTTAGATTAGCTTGAGATGTAATTCATGATCTTGATCCTGGACCATGTCAAGAGCAATAAATATGATTAATTCCACCATTTTTTTTATCATCCACTTGACTCTCACCGACCATTACGAGTCACAATTTTATGGAGTAGCAAATCCTATTCACATCACCGTTTGACATGGTGAGAGAGCATACGGGGTAAGGCATAAAATTGATAAATGGTAAGAATTATTGATGCATTACGATTTTATTCAAGACTTTCTCCACTGACGATTAATGGTGTATGATATGTTGTACTGTACTGTTGCTGAGTTAGGTATCCTTGTAGTCAGGATGTGTCACTAGTGAGATTAACACCACAAACTGCTGCCTCTAAATTAGCACGGGGTTAAATATTGACAGACGACCTACCCATCCGTGTCTTTCGTTACTGTCCTCCCTTCATTTCGCTTCTCGTGCTTTCTCTTTGATTGGCTGTTTCCGTTTTAATATGAGTTTTGCTCCCTGTTTCTACCATATCTTTATTCTCATCATTCGTGTGTGTATATTGTCAGGAGGAGGCGGTGTTGATTCATGGCTGGATCGTTTTCAACATCTTATACTCGCTCCTGTTCTTCATGATCGATGACTGGTGAGAAATTTGAGTTGTAAAATTATGCTCATAAATGAGATACATCATATTTTTTTTTAGTGATTTTTAGATTTTTAGATTTCATTAGCTTCAAACTATTTCAAATGTTTCATTTTCACTCCCATGTATTCTCACAGGATTCACTCCAACATTAACCCTTGTCGCACCACAGTCTCCATGTGGCTTTCAATCAGCTACTCTTTGTACAAGCCTCTCGCCACTTGGCTCGTTTTAATGCAGTGGTCCGAACTGAAGAAATTGGTTTCCTCACCCGACCCGAACATAGGGGACGGCAATTGTAGTAGCAACAGTACGACCACCAGTACAAGTTCTCAGTGTTTGGACAAGACCACAATGAAGTTTGTAACACCTCACCCCTCCAGCACTTCGTACACGTCTTTGTCGTCCGACACGACAAAGGAGTCGACAATCGTGGACCTCAACATTACCGACATTGGATCACAACCTGTCGAGAAAGAGTCCAACACTTCGGCTGCCCTGATCCTGGCCGCGTCAAAGCTACGTTTAGGCAGCTGCGACCACCACCTCCAGTCCACGAACAATCGGGACGACTATGACGACGATTACGAGGAGGATGAGGAGGACGAGGATCTCGAGTACGAAGAAGACTATGACGAAGAGTCCGATGATGATGAAGGTGACGAGCGGAGGGACTTGGAAAGGGGTGGTGGTGAAAGTGAGGGAAAAAACACCACCACCACGGCCACCGCTAATAATAAGCTGAATGTTGCGGGTGAAAGGGGCAACGATAACAACACCGATAAAAACAACCACCCCATCGTGATCAGAGGTCGGAATAATGGATATATCGTTACCCATTAGTGGGAGAGAGAGCAACTAACTCATGCACCAAGTAGAGTTTCCAGATGACGAAATTGTTCCCCAGAGAACGATACAAAAATACATACACAAAAAGCTGGGAGGAATTTTTCTATACGAATTGGGTGGGCCATACATGTGATGATTATGGAGATTTATTGTAGAAATCGTATTTATCTTAGGATTACTTTTCTCTACTTGAGTGTCTGGTGTTTATACAAAATGAGGGGATGATGTGTTTCAGGATTTTACTTTATTTTATCTATGTCAACCGACCTTGCAAAAGCTGTGGCGACAATGGGAAACGAAAATAAAGAAAACAAACAAGCCGACATTATAGTATTTTACCCGATGGTTTGTTAGGTCGGGAGAGGAATTTTAGCCCACATAACAACAATTCGAAACCCATTTGTGTCGTCGCCCACTAACCAAACGAAGCAGCGTGGTAGTCACTTTTACGTACTTTTACTTACTCCTTACAACAGTAAATATTAAACTAAAGCTGTTTGCACTTGTGCTTTCTTCATCTTTCGGAGGGCGGATTTCTGCTTGGACTTTGAGATTGTTGTTGGGTGTTGTGCCAAGTCTGAAAGCTTGCATCTTTTCCATCGCCGTATTGTTGTTTGGGTTGGTGGAAAGTAAAGAAAGGCGAAAAATTGGTTTTCCTTCCTTCCTGCCCTTTCAAACGTTGCTGCTAAAACTTCAAATCAAGCCAGCCAGGGATCCGTTTGTGTGTTGGTGGTTTTATCACTCTATCCAACGCTCAGTAGTCGTGGGAGGAGGTGACACTTGAGATTTGAGGTTGGCAAGAGTTGTAGAAGAAAATGTCCTTGTTTGTTCCTTCGTAGTAGTGTTGAGCTTAGCAGGAGAAAGCTAAGTCTTTAAGTCTCTCGCGGTTGAGCTTCTTTATCCGCTGTTACTTTACAAGTTACAAATGCTTTCGACCCACCACACGATACACGCAATGGGTGAGTAGAAATACGATGTTGGGGAAAATGAGACGGGAGAAAGTTGGGTGAAAAAAATTGTCGTTTTCAATTCTCCTCGTTAGTAAAAGCTTTCACGGAACATTTGAGTTTTATCATTTGTGAGAATTACGTACATAAAATCAAAATCCGTGTATATATTTACGGAAATCTATACTGAAGCATATCACATCTATATATGAAAGATATTATATTTTGAACAAAAATTTGGCCAGTTAATTGTAAATAACCCAAAGTAAATACATAAATTATAAAGAGAGTATGTATGCTAAAATCTTTCTTGGATAAGGTACCTACTATTGAACCATAAAAAATATTTATGAAATAGATAACACACATGAACAGATACATATACTTAGCACCGCCCAATAGTAGAACCCTCCGTGTACATACTCGTCATATAATAATGATGATAATAATACGTATATAGCAAGTTAGTTTTGCTGCTTGTGTAATAAGGAAAGATAAGGAAGTCCATTTTTTTTTCTTTGGTCTGGTTACTTTCAAGTCTCAGTCACGTTCCTCGTAGGAGATGATACATTAGCGGAAATGTGAAGGAAATTCGGTGCATTCACATGAACCAACCAACTCCTGGTTCCGTAGTAGTAGTGCAACCGTCAGAAGAACGAACCCGCTAATGAACTGCAGCCATCTACTAAAAGCTTTATAATGTTCAACTTTCACTTTCCATTCAGACAGCCACTCTGTCCCGCTATCTTGAGATATGTCCATTTTAATATCATCCTCTCCCGAGGTGAGGAGGATGAGACCGGGTCACACACACAAATATATTCATATGTGTGAAATTAGGCTGGAAGGAGTGGGAGGATTGTGTGCAACCCCCACAAAAAAAGAAGGAGGCGAACTCGTGTAAAGTGGTCACAAGAGAGCAATGCTGTGCGAAGAGAGACCACACTTTTCGGATCTGCGTGTCATGTTCATGTCCTGTCGTCTAATTCACTGTGCTTGGAAGTGTTGACGTGGGGAAAGTGGAGGTGAAAGGAGAGTGTGCATGGTGGTGACGGTGCGGAGAACAAGGAATTGCTCGTGTCATGAGTAGTTTTAGGAGGCAATTTTTCAGTCAGGGATAAAATGGAGTGCTCAGAGTAGGTGTCGAGTCCAATAATGTTCGTCTCGCGTTGTCATCGCCAAGGACAATTCGTACTTGGACATTTACCATTTACTTACATGTGTGGGTAAGAAATGGTGGAAGATTTTCTATCTCTGGTTCTGCAAAGAATTATAAAAATTCGTGGTCTAAAATAGGTAGATTTCTGTATAGACCATCATCCGTCCTCATTATGTATTATTAGCCAAATTGATTAATCGTACAAAGAAAGCGATTTTGATTGCATAACGTGCAAGAATTCGACACTAGAAACCTTTTTATTTTAATTAATCTGTTAAAAAAAAGTTTTTTCTGCAAGTCAGTTTTTATTTCAGTCGAATTCTTATAATTGCGCACGTAAGTATAACTTTGACACATGACAGATGCAGATGAATGAGTAAATTAAATACTTCTGCCGTGCATGCACCACTATGCACCACCACCACCACCACCACCCAAAGTGAATGTCAGACTTGGAAAGAAATTGGATTAATTTAGCAGAATTAATTTGCTAGATTGGATTTCATTGATTGATGTGGATGGCTAAAGCTAAATGGATTGATCAGATTTTACTGGTGTACGGCTGGTTTACTTGATTAAATCATGGTATCCTCTCACCATGGGCATTGTATTGTTGTATTTTGGTTTGCTGCTGCTGCGTGCGTGTAAAGTGGGAGTAAGATTGATAAGCTGTTTATCTGTATTTTCTCCACAGCAGAAAGAGGTTTACATGTACATACATACTTACACCCGTATTAATAGGCTAAACTAAACTAATGGGAACAGAAGGACGTTTGCAATGACGTACGTGTATCTAAATATGTGCTATCTATGTATTGATTCAAATGTATGTATTAAATTATACATGAGGTCTGTCTCATGAGCTTCTATTTATAAAATACAACAACCAATTATATTTTTAATTGATGTGCTACCACAAAATTGTACGCTCTCTAAGCTTATTTTTAGTTAGAGGAAATGCTAAAACGAATAAGGTCACCTTTCGGAAACAACAGGGGAAAATACTCTTCACTAATTTTAGGGTTTTGGTCTAAATATTGGCCTCTACTTGTGATGGTGCTACTACAAATTATAACTAAGGATAAGTCCTCGTTGTTGTAAAAAGGTACGTATTGATTTTTAGCTTATGTCGTCTCGTACGCGATAAGTTGTTGATGTATACATAAAAGTATTGTAAAATTCAATTTCATTAAGAGAGAAGAGTATGAGAGATATTTTACATGAAAGGTTATAAGATCTTTCCCCTCGTGCAGAGAGAACACTGTTTTCCGTGTATAAATAATAGACAAAGAAATTAAATGTCAAAGATGTTGGGGAAAATAAAGATCAAACAACCCCAGGGCAAGCAGCCACTTCTTGTGTAGAGAGGCAACAACAGATTCGACGGTATTTAGGAACAAAGAACACGTCGAGAGGGAGGAGGAGGCACCATTATATCAAAAGTTACGAGCTCTATATTGTATATATATTATGTACTTTCTAGCCGTCGCATGTTGCAGCCCAGGTTATGCATACGGAGGCAGGTGTAACTGTGTCATAAATCTTGTAAATGAACAGTTGTTTTAAAATTGTTGTAATAAAAGAGTTGTAATGTTATACGTGATCGAGTGATTCGGAGGAAAGTGAAGATCGAGGCCCGTTCTTTTATTGGCTCAAGTAGAGATTTCCACACTTCAAAGTTGTTTCAGAGTAATTTGGATGTGTTCCATCTCACGGGAAAGTGTGTGTAGATTTGCACAAGGAAAAAAAAGCTGTTTTCTATTTTCTACGTAGTGTATGTAAGTGCAGCTCAAAACAAGGACGATGACGAGACGATGAAAGAGAATCATCCTGCTTTGGTTCAGTGACGGGGGTAATGATGATAGAAATAACACTCAAGTAGTTTTCATGGATAAGGGTCTCGTTGTCCTGAAAAAATCTAGCTTGTTAAATTTTTGACATTTTTTGTCACATTCCGTTCCAGCAGGAACTTTCATTTAGCTTGCGAGAAGATGAGCAGATGCTGTCATGAGTCGATGTCTCGTTCCATATTGGATGAAGAAATTGAAATTCTAGCGAATAGACCATTGTTACAAGTCGTGAAATTATTGATGTCGAACAACTTTATGACGCAGAGGGACTATTGGGAAAAAGGAAATAGGAGAGAATTGAATTACCACCATGGTTCAAGTTTTTTGAGCTGTGTCGAATGTGTCCCAGACCTGTCCTTTCCTTCTTCTTCTTTTTTTACTAAACTAACTCATCACGACGACGACTTGTAGGTGGAGGAGGAGGTGGAGAAAGTAGTATTACTACGCATTTGACCCTTGCCACATTACTTAACCATTTCTTATCCCATTCAGCAAAGTCTAGGAGTCACAGGAAGTCATTCTATACCTGCCGCTTCTTGGACTGAATTTACTCTGGGGAGAGGACCGCTGCTGCCGTGAAGGGAGGCAGACCAGAAGAAGGCCTTTGATCATCATTGGTTCCATTCCGTCCGTTTCCAACTTTATTTTATTCTGTATTTGATCAAATGAATTTTTTCCTCTCTCCTCTTTTATCATTCCGCTTGAATGGAGACTAATGAAATCTTCCGCCCGACAACGACTCATATTTGATGTAGTTGCGAAAGAATGAGTGAGATGAACTAATCCGAAATAAGTGAGTGACTGAGGAGTCATTGTCATCGTAAAAAATATGCTACAGCTTTCCCTTCTGCTTTCTCTTGCTAAATTTTATTTAGTTTTATTTCTAGGTAATAATGTACAAGAACAGATCAGGAATTGACTCTAAAAAGTGGACTAGATATATATAAGCAAGTATTTTGTTATGTTGCAAAAATGAAATTGGCTCGTATTTTACAAATTTGCTCTGCTCTCGAGTCAAGGGAGTAGAGAAGTCGAGCACTTATTCGGGTGACTGACTTTAGGTCCAATTCAATTTCATTTTATGCAGGATTACAGTTCAAGTAGGGACACCGGTCATGGAGGTACCACGAGAAAGCAAGCAGTTCTTTAGGTTGCAGCAATTGAAATTCAGGAAGAAAATGAAACTGAAATTCGATTTCGGAATAGAATATTGAGCAAGAAAGTGGTGGACAGAGGGAAAGATTTATAAGATGCATGTACATAAATAGAATAAGAAAAGGATTGATTTTATGCCACTGCCCTAGAAAGAAGTACATATTTCAAGCACGTGAAAAATTGCGAACCAATCATTCTTCATGATCTCTTCAGAAATATAAATACCTAGTACGAAATGTGAAAAAATCATCTTTCTTTTCGCTTTTAGGCTAAAAGTTGTGGACCTCATTGGATCTGACAGCTGATTGACGCTCATCCCTCACACAGTAATAATTTGTTGGAGAAAGTGTATCGCGTTACATTTCGCTGCATGTAAAAGAAGGAGACAGGATATCATGAAACATGCAAAAATCCAACTTCTCATGTAATCATCGCATCAATTTCAATAACATAGGATCACGTCAACAAAAAACTTTTACTCTTTTTTACTGCCCTGTTTTTTACATTGCTTGTCAATCTCTCTCCTGCTTTTACAACTAAATGGCCCATCCATTGAATTTTATATTTCCATCTCAGCAGCACATCCCAGCAGAGAGCGAGCAGGTACATAAATGCGTGTGGAAAGATACCTTGATATATACGGAATCTGATGTTTGCCATGTTATGCAAATCCCTCTCCTATCTTTTCCTACTACGAAGCACTCAGCCCATCATCCTGGAGGAGAAAGTCTACTTGTCGCTCTAGTCAAATTTGGCCTGGTAAAAGCAAGATGTTGTACCTGTCACACCAACCGAGGAATAACAGACGGAGACATTTTGTCAAGTCGACCTCTGTGCCACAAGTTTATGCAGTATTTAGGGGAGAGGTGAAGGTGAAACACTAAAAAAATGTGAGTGTGGCCCTCAAAATCTCAGCAAAATAAATAAATATGAATCGGCGATAAAAAATATGAGACAAATTCAGCCCTAATTTGCAATCGGTTGTGGGCGGCCTCAAATTTAAATAATGTCAAATTTCTTCTTATTCAATGACGACACAAATTGTCAAATCTTTTTTCCACGAAGAACTAGATTTTATACTTTCTTTTCAGGTCGAGTTTAACATTTCCTTCCGCAATTGAAGACGCAGCCCGACGAACCTTTTCCTTGAGCCAAAAGCTACGAGGAGAGGACTCTCAGTTTTTTTCTTCTCCTGTGGAAAAAAAATAAGCCATCTGTATTCCATTTGTGAGTCACTGCAACGGGTCGTCGTGTCGTAAGCAGGTGGGATGGTTGGCTGGTCGTGGTAACCCGAACCCCTCGAGAATTATATTCTTTGCAACCTCCAGAACCGTCATCTCACCTCAATAAAATATAAACACATTCCGCCTCCAGGAATACTTGTGTTCATTTACAGTCTGAAGTTGTATTATATTACGAGGCTGCATTTCATTGTGTTCGTTTTGTTTGTTTTGTATCTCTTTTCCTTGCCTAATAAATAGACGAGGCAGTGGTGGTGGTGGTGGCAACTTTCACCCGTGGCAGCTCACCCCATGCATGCATACGTATACGGTTGTTATCATCGTAATGCATAATGGTGTCGATATGCTTGACATTTGATGCCGAAATTCCAACCCGACTTTCTCTCTTATTATTATGTTTGACCTAAACGTGAAATTGGTTGGTTGGTAGATATGAATTATATTCATGCAGCATAGGTTTATTTTATTGGGGAAAGTCGTGAATAGCAATATTTTTTACAACTTGTATGTACGTACGTATATCTCAGTCTGCTTCCTATTTCCTCTGCGCTTTTGTGAAATGGAGATGGCCACGTTTACAGCTTGATGCGTTATGTGTGCTACCTCCGACGGCAATTCGTAACTCTTTTATACGACTCTAAAATAGTAAAAGCCTTATATACATTTCGTAGTAAAAGAAGACATATTCATTTGAAGACGTGAAAACAAGAGGGTGTGCTCATTATCTGATTTTACTTTCACCGAGTTGCTCTTTCATCGGGCGTATTGTGTGGTCGTAATTATTATGAACATTAATTTATAATGCCACCCTTTATGTAATAATTGACAATATAAATGCATACAATTCCTTGCTCAAAGTATTTCTGGTCCTAAATTGGAAAAGCTCAAAGTTTTGGACCCATCATACATATTCTTACAGCGTTATTACAACAAATTAAGTTGTTCAAGTAGCACAAGTTTTGAGGAGTCTCCTCTCCAAACCCGAGTAAAAAGGCATGCAGAAGATTCCTATCATTCACACGAATGAATATCTGAATTTGTTTCGAGATATTGTTGTTTGAGAGACAGGACGGGGAACATGCAAACTAGTAAAACAACACACTTCTGCTTCAGATTCTTCTCAATTTTGATCTGGATTCATCCCCATTGCAATTTTGGCAGCAGAAGACGAAGCTTTTCCACTGCTGGTCCACTACGGAAAGAAGTGACTTTGAAACTCATTAAGAACTTTCCCCGAATACTTGAACAACTAAGAGCTTTCAAGTTTCAAATGATGATGAGATGAGGGTTGCGAGGAGCAGGGAACAAAGTCAGCGAATATATGGACAGATAGATAGAGAAGGTTGAGAAGAAGAAAATTTTGCCTACATTTGGAAAGGACAGAAGAAGAAGGCCAAACTCGGAGCTATCATCCTCATTTGGTTTTTGGTGTCAGCCAGTTGTTGGCTGCTTTCTCTTTGTGTGTCGGCTGGTTTAATGGTGTGATGTGGTGGTAGAAGTGAGTCTGTGATGGACTCATCTACTGGAGTTTGCATGGATTCATATTCGTGTTCCATCCAATGTTCCTCCATCTCATCCCCGTTCCGGTATTAATAATGAACTTTTTGGCTTGGCAAAGTTATGACAGAAGCATCAAATATTATCATGAGTAAACACGAAGTAGTGCCAAAACTTATTTTGACTAATCCTATTCGCCTCGTTAGCCAGGAAAGAAAGACGGCGGAGGAGAGAAGACGAGTTTGTTCTTATTATTTGCCACCAGCTCTTCCCTTGAAATAATGAACTTGGTGAAGCCGAGTTAAGTTTCGATGGGGAGTGAAGCCATTTCTCACCTGACTACACACTTTACTTACTTATTATTATATGCCTGTCTAGCACAAAGTTGGTATGGTGGGTGGGCGTGTTACATTTTTTGGACAGGGGTTTTACTTAAGAATAAAAAGTTAGTTGTAGGTAGACAAGATGACGGAAAATTCGCCGAGGGCTTTTCTTATCAAAGTATGTATAACTTTTAACTGATTTTTCAATCTGGGGCTTACTCCCCCATTTAAAGAGGCCACATCGTCACGGAACCATTATGTATAAAAGTTGGAGAAAATTGGTAATTTAGTTTTGAATAAAATGTTGTTCGAACTACTCTTCTGGACTGAATGGGAAGAATCTTTTCATCTGATAATGAATTATTGCATTGAATTCTGCGGCTTGCATATGTATTCCTATTACGGGACTCACTAATGATGTGTATTCGGTCGGTGGTAGAGTTCAGTGAAAGCTGCCGCAGTGAAAGAAGACGTTTTAGTTACTGCTGCTGCTTCTTCTTTGAGTTTTGAAGCGAAATGTGTGTGTGCCGGGAAGTGAAAAGGAAACGAATGAATTGAAATCTTTGTGTGGAGGAACCGAAGGGAGCAGATGCGTTGTAACTTACAACCTAATAAATAACGATGGGATGAGACATGAAGATATTTGAATTCGCAGATGGTCCACTCTTATTCCTGCTGCTGCTGTATGTATGACAGAGCAGCTTGTTGGTTTTTGGGTGGTTGACATTCCGCATCTTTCCATCATCTTCTTCTTCTTTCTCTGACAACATATTTCCAACGCCACGCCCACTCAATAATAATTTATCTTAGTGCTCATTGCATTGTCAACGGGAGTATCATTAACGAGTGAAATAAGCAGGAATCCAACTACTGTATATGTACAAAAATGTGCATCAATCACTCAGAAAGCATGTCATAATTTATTTCTTTATTTATAGCTTTGATGACGGCATCAGCTTCGAGGCAAATACGTAAATATGCGAATGCTAGACACGTATTTTATGAAAGTTATAGTGAAACCCAAATGTTGCAACAAACAACCTTCTGGAATAATGCAAATAATGAATTATGTAATACGAATATTTGAATTAAATAAAGTCAATATAAAACAGTTAGGAAAATAATTCTTGCATCACATACGTGCAGCAAGATTCTCACAACTTGAGTGGAAATCATAGAATGCTTTCACATTTGCTTCAATGAAAGAATCCGGTGAAAACTACCCGACAATTGACAATGTCCTTACACTAGTATCACAATTCGCCCTAACTTTCTCCAGTATTTCCCACTTTTGATTGAACTCAGGATTCTTTCAGTTCACCTTTCCCTGCAGTTTTTGGCACAGGTGAATCAAGATAACTCAATACGAAACGTACATACAGTTGTCTTGTGCGTAGTAATACCTTGGTTTGTGTCACCGCGTGTGAGTTGAAAGGGTTTGGCAGGAAAGCAACCATTATTTCAGCGGGTGAAAGAGAGGAAAGTGATTGAATGATATCAGGATTGATGCTGAACTAGACCAAATCGTTGAATGAAACGGGTCAGTGAACAATTCGCGTCTTTGGTCGTATACTTGTTCTCAGTACTCGCCCGCATTGTTTTCCAAGAATTGTGGGTGGTTTGTTTATAGCTCGCTCAACTACCTCGAGCATCATCAACAAACTGAAACCCACCAGTTTGACTTTCCTCACTTGACATTCACTAAACTGAATCTTATACAAAAGAAGGTATCTGTTTCGCTGGAAACATTTTGTAAACAGGTGAGCATAAGTGCGTGTATAAGGCTGATCTGAGCAAAAAGCTATTTCCTGGGGTGACAGAAGGGTGAAAGGTGTATGGCTCCATAAAAAACTCACGTTACTTAACCCACAACAATACAAATGCAAGTTTGGGAGGTAGTGAGAATCAAAAATTAATCACTCTGATTCATTCATGAAGAGCTGATTGATTCCATTTACACATAAATTCTGTTACGACACGGCTCCATTCAAGATTTTTGCAGCTGCAACAGAAATGGACGATGACACATGAACATCTTTTACTCTGGCTGCATTGTCGAAATTTTGGCGGAATATTCTGACCGTGCAAGACGCAGAAATAAAGAACTGGACGGATGTGAAGAGAAGATGGAAAAATTCGAGGGCTCGTTATTTCTTTGGGGAGGAAGACGAGGCAGGATGCCAGAGCCGAGTAGAAATATCTTGCCTGGGAAAATTAAGAAAATGTGAATCCAATCTCAACTCTGCTAAAAGTCTGTTCGGATTGGATGGTGGGGGCATTCGTCATTCTGGTTTGAAGCAGAACAAGCAAGACTCTCAATTCGGTCCGTCACTCAGACATCTAAATTTCTTTTATTATTCAACAACTCTGTCACACATTGCTTACCTCGTGAATTCAATTGCAAGGAGCACAACTATCCACCAGCCACTCAAATTATTCACGGTCGGTAACGTATAGAAATGGGAAATTGGATAACAGGATGGCTCACCCATAGGGCACAGAAACGTCCAAAATCTTCTTTTCGAACGTTATACAACAGGATTACGCTTTTTCCAGATCCAGCCAGATAGATAACTAACTGATAACGACGTACCTTTCCCTTTAAGTCAAACTTTATGAATTCTCGACTCAACCAACTTGCTTTCACCCACCCCATCTTTTCCATAAATCCGGTTCGGAAACATGAAAATGTCTTTCTCCTCTTCTACACGGGAGCACAATTTGCAATACAATTTAAACTAAATCATCACCTACGTAGGGTGGGTGGGTGGTGGAGGAGGCAAGTGTGCAGTTCTGAGACCTTCAGAAGACGGTGCACTTTTCCTTTTACCACCCTTCAAATAAATACATTCATTTACACACCGTCCGCCCCTCCATTCTTCTCCTGGCAGGTAAAAGGTATCCCATTTCCATTCATTCAATTTCGCTGAGGTTGAGGTTATATGTTCCTTAACAATGAGATCCTGTCCTAGAAAGGGAACGCTTTCGTCAAGTCAAGTCTTCCGTTTTCTCCGTCTTCTTCGTCTTCTTCTTGTTAGTTGGACAACCTTTCGCGTGGGAAAGACAGACAACAGGCAGGCAGGCAGACACATAACACTGTGAACTGGTTGAATGTACGGTTGAATAGGTCACAATGGCCACATCTCGAGCGTCAGCATGTGAGCGAGACTGAGAAAATACTAATGTTCGATGTTCATGGCTCAATCGTGGATTTGCCCTTCAACTGGAATGACATTCTAAATCCTTAACCTAACGTAACAAAACGTGTTGCAAAAAAGAAGCGAGCATAAATAACGGGAAACTGATTTGTGGAGAAAAATACGGGTGAAAGTGGATGATGTTACGGATACTTTTCCAATTTGGGAGAATAACATTGGAGAAAGTTGAGAAGCTTTGTGGGTTTGTGAAATATTTTTCTCGTGTTTCTTGCATGGTCCCACTTTAACCGATCAGTCATCTCCATTGTTGCATTTCATTTGTATTGGTTGGTTGACTGCAAGCATTTTCCGTACATTGCTTCTTTACATTATTGTGCAGAAAATTGAATGAACAAACAAATGGAAAGATTTCCTCTTTTTACTCCATTTGCTCCCAATTTCTGTCTCTTAAGCCTCATTCTCAACTCAACCGTGATCACCAACTATTCTCATTTTTTTCCTTTAGTTGACACATTGTGTCGGCATTAACTTGTTGGATACTGCGAAATATTATACATTTAATTGCTGATTTTAACCACTTTTTGCATAGCATCTACTCAATTTAATTGATATTTTCTCAACAAATTAAATTAAAATTATGTAGTAAAGGTCAATTAATTTTGACCATCAGCAGGAAACCTTTGTTATCACTGCTGATACCTTTGGACGACATTTCTGTACCATAATTCACAATGTGCTTCCTGATCAAATTCTACCCCATTTGTGCCAACGTCGCATGTACACGAGACTAAAGCAATGCAATACCTCGAGAACAATTTATTACTTCCTATTCGTGTTAAATGGGCGGAAATGGAGCAGTGTCACTGTATCTGCGTTGCCACAATGATAAAGTGACGAGGTCATGGAACGAAACAGTTAGATTTGCCCGTCCACAAGAGGGGACACCCAAAGAAGAAAATGTTAAAAGGTGCGCAAATCGTGGAATCTCTTCCGCATCCGTTCTCTCCGAGTTAGGAGATTCATCCTCCCAGAAAATGCTTCCTGTCTCATAAAACGCCACCGTCCCACATCTGAGCAAAAAAGAGAAAGCATTTCAAGTGTGACGAGATTATGCAATACACATATTGACAGGAGCAGCAGGGTCTCGGCCCTAGAAAATCTGGTGGACTTGCATAACATTACGTCGCGTCGTTTATACAATTCGACAATAAAACTACGACATGTCTTTGACAACATTTCTATTCTATCAAACCCAACGTGCAGGCGGACATCTTTTAAATTTTGTATGTGAAAACTGGAAATGTTGCATCATTTTTTTTATTTACACTCGTCGTATGCTTCTCCTCGCCATCAACAAGATTTCACTTTTCGTCAGTAAAAATAAGCTTTATTCGTTATTTACGCAATGACAGGGCAAACAAAATGGCTTTTTCTTACGCAGCCGGCTCCCTGGATTTAGTATGTATCACGCCGATATCACCTTTCTCCAGAATCTGACAAGAAGCATCAGGTGAAAGCAAGCAACACAAAGCCTGCGAAGCCATCAACTCACGTCAAAGTAGTGGGAATGTGGAAAGGCAGGCAATTCCACCCAATCCACAAGAAGGCCGGGATGAAATGTAAGCTGCTAATGTTCACGGGCTGAATTGGCGAATGGAAAATGAAAGGAGAACGGTGAAAGTAAATCCGCCTTAAGCTGTGTATCGCACCAATAGTCCTCATATTTAGTGGCCAATGGGGTCTGTCAGTTTAAAAATATAATGTATATGGAGATAAATATATCTTTATTTAATTTTTGAAGTGATTCTTGTTGACTTCATGATATTTTATCTTCTTAGGTATTTGGCTGTAAAGTAGGGTTCGATGTGAATCTATTTGAAATCATATGCATGAATCAAAAGTAAATATTTATGGTAGAATTTTTGTGAAAACCTATAAAATGTGAAGAGAAGAAGGTTCTTTTCGTCCTTGATGCTACTCTACATAATAATTTTTGCGAATTTCGAGTAGTTTCTCGGACCTAGTTCTCCGCATTTTTATCCTGATTCTTATCAACTTATTTCCTTCAAAAAGCAAATGAAAGTCTAGACTTTTGGTGTAAAGGAAGATAGCATCTCCTCGTTCCATCAAGTAGATTGGAAGAAGATCAATTTGTTGCACTCAAAAAATATCTTCAATCATCTTTCAAACTCGAGAAGAGGAGCACATTTATTTTGCAACCTCTTAATCTTGGGAATGGACGCGAAAGACTGGAACCATATGAAAGAAGACGATCGAAATACGCAATTTACTCAAGTCCGAGATCTGATGGGCAGGTTTCTTTTAAAAAATGTATCTTTTCATCCAGTAGGTAAATACATAAGTAGTAGATGACTTTCGGTTGATAAATTATGTTGGTTTATTTTTAAAATATGGCAAGTTTACGTACCACAAAATATAAATAATCATAATGTACACATGCCAAATCACTTATTGGTCCTTTCGGCAATGTTCAAAACTCTTGTGATGATTTCCAGCATAATCTCATCAGCCCCTCCGCCTATCGAGGTTAGCCTTCCATCCCTGAAAAATCTGGAGATGAACACGTCTCGGGTGTAACCCATTCCCCCAAAGAATTGCAGGCAACTGTCTGCTGTCAATCGAGAGAGCCTTCCAGCCTGCAATTTATTCGATGAGCGTTATGTAACATAACAGTATTTTTAGATGTTGCCAACTATCATGAGTAGGGAGTAAATTATTTAAAAGGGTTAACACAAAGTGATTAAACGCGACACTTTGTAAGTGTCAACTTGCCTTTAATTTCACCATCGATGCTGTCCGTGTCACATTTTCCCCGTTCACCATCATCTCTGTGAAAGGTGATAAAAATAGAGTGGTTGATTTATCATTTAGTGTTTACGGGGCTGGAACAAAGTGTATGTTGAGCAAATTGCGTCATTGTTATCGATTGAAATTGGTCTAAAATTTTAGAGATAATTGCTAGAGATTAAAAATCAGTCAAGTTTAAACTCGATTGTCAGGGAGGGTTTGAAATTTAACAAATAAGACGGACTATTTTTGGGGTTTCTTTCGAAATTTCCGAGACATAATTCGAATTCAGACAAGAATATCTCTCGCCTGGAACTATTGAGAGGTTTGTGGACAGGCTAAAAATGCCTATTCCATTTTCAATTTGCGACACATTTGTTTTAACAATGATAGATGAGAGTGTGCTGGCCATCTTTCTTCTCGCTCTCTCTATTCCTTTTCGCTTTATAACTTAAAACTTGTGCTCTTCATGGTGAATGTGTAGTCTATGAAACGTTTGCGTCAGACGTACCCACAGATCGGTAGGTAAGTGCTCGTAATGCTTCAATTTCTGTTGCTAGCTCAGCCAGGCGAAAATGGACAACTTGATTATCTAATATCGATCTTCCAAAGGCCTGACGCTGCCGAGTGTACTCAATTGTGTCGCTAATCGCTTTGTCCAGGGCTCTCAAGGTGACCAGCGCCATGCAAAGGCGTTCTTCTTGAAACTGGAAATAATCCAATGAAGCAAAAGGAAATGTAATTGAACAAAGACATGAAAATGTGAGCAAAGTGCCATTGTCAGGTATGTACCAATTTGATTATTTGAGGACAATTCGAAGGAAAAAAAAGAGGCATGTTTTTGTCATCATCAAACACAATATTTCTATCATTTGGAATTGCGAAATCTAAAACCCGGAGGGGTTGTAGCTATTATTTGATGGACGGAATTGTCAACTCAGCATCATCCTCGTCTCTGTCTCCCCCCCGGTGAGACCAACTGTGTACCTGCTTTCTCAATCTTTCTCCCAGTTTCAGCAAAAACAAATAAGAGTGGAAACGGAAATGCTCTGTATACAAAAAAGGAAACGTGGAATCAAAACATTTTCAGTAATTCCGACATTGTAACTTGTTTGCAGAGTTTCGTAACACATTTTGTTCCTTATTTGAAGAGAGAATATTATACTATCGTGAGATTGTTGTGTACATAGAAAATCGTATAATGGGCTTGTTTCACAATTTTTTTGTTTTCTTCACAGCACACATTTTTTGCACGTACCTGTAGCATTTGGTACATGAACCCACTTCCTTCATCGCCAATTATGTTCTTTGCAGGGACGCGGACATCCTCAAAGAAAAGTTGAGCAGTGTCTGAAGAGTTCCAGCCGAGTTTATGAATCTTGGTCCGAGATATTCCTGAAATGGCATTAATTTAATATTAGGCTGACTTTTGGTGGAGCTTTGGAGGAGTCACTGGATGGATTTGGAAAGCAATGGAGAAATTCTACGAATTGGAGATTTGACAAAAGAAACAATTTCATGCTTGACTTGTCCGTGGGGTAATATGATAGACATGTACAAATAATACTACGTATGTATATATGGATAAAATGAAATATATGTACTTATGTATGACATGTCCGTTATTCAATACTAATTCTACTTTCAAAGACATGTTCTCCACTAACCCTTTTAGCGTGGGCTTTCAAGGATTAGATACAGTACGACGCAGATGCATTGACATTATTGTCCGTAAAGTAGGAAATATACTGTAGACAAAAGAACTGAGGTGATCTCATGACGGGAAATGCTAAGTACTTTTGCCATATTTTTTGTTTTCAGGAAAAAACGCATTTGTTTTCAAATCCGATTTACGAAAGTAAATCTGCAAATGCAAATAGTTGACTTTGCCCAGCTTTCAAGAGTTAAACCGCAAAGATAGTGATGGTGGTGGACAAAGAAGAAAGCTTATGTATAAGCTATTGCTGTGGTGAAAGTTGAGCTCTGGGAATGGACGGACGGGGAAAATGAGAACAATGTCCCAAAAGCCTACATAATATGCTTATATTCGTACTGCTTAAAATAATTACCTTTAGAATTCATCGGAACACAAATTAGAGACTTGTTCTTGTGTGCAGAACCTTGAGAAGTATTTGCCAGCAAACAAATCCAATCTGCCTTCAATCCGTTCGTAATCCAAGTCTTTTGCCCGTTGATTATTAAATCATCTCCCGTCCGCACGGCACTTGTCTGGATAAATAAATTAAACGCACGATTTCACAGAGTAATAATTAATTAATCAGATCCACCAAACCACACCACGCCGAGTGGGACGGCAAGATTATAAATCTCGTCTAAATTAAAATACACGAGAGAGACAAGTCAACAAGGAAACTGGGATCCTTATTCAGCATGAATTTGAATTAGCATATGCGTCGTACGCTGGCTTCGCCAGGTTTCAACGAATTTAGGAAATTCAATTTGCGTCTTATACTTGATTGACGTACGGATTAGTATTGTGTCAGAAATTAGTTTGATGGAAACAATAAAGGAGCAAATAATAATTACTTTTATGTTGGCAACATCCGAACCAGCCTGCGGTTCTGCACGAGGGAGAAGAAATCATCGCAATATTTTCAATCCACCAAGGTGAAAGGAGAGCATGAAATTAAATATAAAATTCAAAATTGACAGTAAAATCTAAATTATTGAACACGGAAATGAACAGGATTATTAATTAAGAATTAAATTAGATTTTCATTGCGGTCGTAATAAATCAAATCATAAAGAAACTACGAGGCAGCATTTTTGGAAATCTAATTCTGACATTGGGACGGAATATGAGAATCGAATTTTACATTTTATGTACGAGCAGGTTAACGAAGTTTTCTCAGAAATCTAATTTTATTCTGGGTTATTGGCTTGTCACGCTTTTTGCACTGACCTGACACCCCTAAACAGGCCACAACATCTCCAGCTATGGATGGGGAAAGAAATTCACTTTTCAATTCCGCACTCCCGAATCTAAATATCATCAAATTCACAGACTTTCAACACACGTTTCTTCCAGATTTTTTGGTGAGGATTGAAAGATTGGAGAATAAATGCACGAAAAAGAAGGAATTTTACTACTTTGGGGTAAGTAGTAATTGATTTTTTTTCAACTTCCTCTGAATAAAATTAGGAATATGGTCGTGCAAGCGGTGGAAATCGGATAATAAGGAAATTGACTATTATGGGAGTTTTTGAATTGGAAAATTGGCTCAGAGTTGGGACGTTTGAAGCAATGAGATTTTGTAAATTTTTACCCGTAGGTATATCACTTATAATGATGGGGACATTGAGAAAATAGGAAAAAATTCACCTTGCAAGTGCTGGCAATGTAATTTCGGTATGCGCAGTTATCCCGGCACAAATTCCTGCCGCAGGTATGCTACCAAGTTCTTCTAAATATGCTGCATGATACTTGTAGTCGAAACCTAATCCACCGTAATCTGAAAAATAAAATAATTTTGTAACAATCTTATCCCACTGAATTACCAATTTACAGTAAGAAATTGAATTCAAATCCGCATGTTTGAATATGCATCGGTATATTTGTAATATATTTACATATGTACGTACCAGTATCGAATCGAATTCCGAGAAGTGATGCGTTGCCAAACTTTTTAATAATAAAATGAGACGGAAATTCTTCCGCATTCTCCCATTTTTCCACATGTGGTAAAATCTCGGTCTCCACAATCTGAAAAAAGTTTAGAGCAAAGCAAACTACTTTCTAAACTCATTTTATTATATTACATGAAGCAGTAAACTAGTTGGATTTTGGATCTTTTTAGTACTTTTGACACCGTGGTCTGTAACTTCTTCTGCTCTTCGTTGTAAAAGGAGTCGGCAAGCGAGGAACTGTATTCGGTGGAGAAAGTCCGAACGGGGGACAAATTGTTGACTGCACAACGTCGTTGGTGTTGATGTGGTTTGTTGCCTTGTGAAAGTTGCAGTAATTTCCACAATGAAGAATTTCTTGGATTTGCGAATATTTGATTTTTTGCAAACATTTTGGCAGTAAAAGTACAAAAACATATAGGTTCAGTAGTTTCAGGTGAAGAAAGTCATGAACTTTGTGTTGTGTCTAGAGTAAATGTTTCCCGCATTGGATTCGTTAAAGTCAATTGAAGGCCAACGAGTTATACAAATGCAAGTATATATATTTGTGTATCGCCTAATACACGTGGAGTGATGTTTGTATGAAAAAGTTGGTTGGACTTTAACCTTCTATCGTGCATAAAAATGTACAGAAATGTGTACGCATTGAAAACATGGATGATTTAATTTATGGGATTAAATAACTTTATTGAAAATATGCATATTTTATTATGTAAGGCACACGCCAATATCGATCACTTGCTTGATCTGGGGCTAATATTTAATAGGCCGGTCAGAATTTGGAGCATTACTTCATCTGCGCCCGCCCCAATAGAAAGTAGACGAGTGTCCCTGTAATATCGTGAAATTGACGTCTCCCTGCTGTAGCCCATCCCTTTAAATTTCCAGAAAGTAATCGGGTTGATAAATACATATCTCTATTTCATCTTATCCATGCCTTCTGTGAAAAACCAGTAAACTTCTATTTAGATTTGTAAACTTACCACCCCAATATTGCAAGCAGCTATCACCAACAATTCGAGCCAGTCTTCCGGCCTATTTAAAACAGTTAAATTCAGTTAATTTGACAATTCTAAATATTATAAGTAGCCAGTCAAAATACCTTAAGCTTGGCCATTGATGCGAGCCTTGTAACGTCTTCTCCTCGCACAAAACAATCTGAAAATCGTCAAGCTTTGAGATAAAATTTCAGCAATTACTTATACATTTTATTATAACTTACCAATAGCAGCATACGTCAAAGCCCTCAAACTTTCGACTTCCGATGCAAGTTCCGCAAGTCTAAAATTAACTACTTGATTGTCCAAAATAGCTTTCCCAAACGCCTTCCTCTGACGCGTGTAATCAATTGTTTCGGAAATTATGATATCCATAGCTTTTAATCCTCCAACTGAAGCAGCCAAACGCTCCTGTTGAAATTGCAACATTTGGTAATAGAAACCAGCCCCTTCATCCCCGATTATATTTTTCGCTGGAACTCTGACATCTTCAAAGAAAAGTTGACCAGTGTCGGACGAATCGTTACCGATTTTGTGGATTTTTGTTTTAGTGATTCCTGTTAAATTTGGTCATATTAAAATGATCACAGGCAAAACAAAGTAGAAACAATATTACGTACCCTTTAAATTCATGGGCACGCATACTAGAGATTTGTTTTTGTATTTATTTCCATCCGAAGTATTTACTAAAAGACAAATCCAGTCTGCCTGTAGTGAATTTGTGATCCACATTTTCTGTCTAAAAAAAGATACAAGCGTCATACAGTGTAAATAAATTTTAATAAATTAGTTATCGCATTTTTTCGAATTGAGAAATTACCCATTGATGATTAGGTCGTCACCTTGTCTCTTTGCAGTGGTCTATAAGGAATGCATGTGCTATTACATTGGTAGCATTGGTTATGATTTAGGGATGAATAATTTCCATGAATTTACGGTAATCGAGCCGACATCGCTACCAGCTATTGGCTCTGAAATTCCAACACAAGCCACATAGTCCCCAGCGATTGAGGGGACAAGGAACTGTTTTTTAAGCTCTTCACTTCCAAATCTTAAATGCAAGCAGATGAACAATAGTATGTATTTAATTACACAATGGAATGTAATGCAGTCCGTTAAATAATATTAACCACCTTGCTAACGCCTGCTGTGTCATTGACATCTGAACAGAAATACCCATTCCGACGCCCCCACATTTAATGGTTCCAAGTTCTTCCAGCACTGCTGCCAGGTATTTGAAGTCCAATCCGAGACCTCCGTACTCTAGAAAAATTTTAAAATTTTAGTTATATGTCAATGTATTTGATTAAACATTGGCAGATTTATGTACATACCTGGATCCTTATCAATTCCGAGTAAACCAGCATTTCCTAATTTCTTAATTTCTTTAATTTAAAGTATACTTATTTTATGTAATAGTTGTCACTAACCTAATTTCTTAAAGACTTGGTGTGCCGGGAATATTTCTTGTTTCTCCCACTCATCGACAAAGGGGTTTATGTCATTCTCGATAATCTGGATCAATTTGATACATCATTATTACTCAATATCAAAATTTGTTAAACCCAAGCGTTCGTAAATGTTAAAATTTCACCTTTCCAAGCGTTGCCTGCATTTGCTTTTGTTCTTCATTATAAAAACTGTCCGGCAATGGGGACTCATATGCCGCAGATAAGCTTTTCGACGTTGATAATTTTCGAAATCCAGAAAACCCCAACTTATTTTGCATAAGTCGGAGTGCTTGCAAGGTTTTCAGAGTTGCCATACTTTACACTTTTTTGTGTAAGTTTGATACCGATTTTCCCAACCGTCAACAAATCCAACTTGTTACTGAAAAATAAATGATTGGACATTAATACCACAAGGTACTTTTTATGTAGTACATATTTTAGTATAATATTATTACACTTTATTATTATTTATTATTATGATCACAGCCTTAATTTTGCACCAATCGGGTCTCCAAACTTTTTATCATATCACTCAACTAGTAATTATCTATGTACTTGGGGTCAAGTCTATTCACGATATTCTGTTTATTCATACAAAACTGACAGATATATACCTCAATCTCTTGTTACGATGTATGGGGCAAAGTACAAACACAAAAACTTTTATATAACAAAATATATGCCTAATGATGAGTTGGTTAGTTGGTTTGGTTCATTTCATATACGAAGCTTTATGTAATCCAGTCAGTCTCAAATTCCCATTAGGAGCTGTAAACACAAGTCGAGTCGCAATGTTGCAGGAGAAAGTTTCGCTCAATGTCATCATTTGAATGAGCAGCGGACGAAAATGTAAATACAACAACCGTCAACCGTCGACTGCACTGCTGTTACATCATTATGAATTTTTTTAGACGATTTTGGTTAAAATTTTGGTTAATTCAGTGTCCATTAAATGTCGTAATAAGTTTGGTCCCGAAATATAATTGAGAAGACGTCTGTGAAGTTAGAACCGGTTATGAGCAAAATTGAGACTCGGAACAATACAGTATGCACACACATTATTAGCACCCCTCAAAATCGGCTAATATCTGCTGCCGTAAATTAAGTAATAAAGGTCGCCATGCCTCCAGTGACCTAAAAATGACCTAAATCTGTCTCCATGCCTCCAATGACCTTAAAATTGCCTAAATCTGTCGCCATGCCTCCAATGACCTTAAAATTGCCTAAATCCGTCAACATGCCTCCAGTGACCTTAAAATGACCTATATCTGTCGCCATGCCTCCAATGACCTTAAATTTTTTCGTGGCGTAATAATAAGGCGCTCGGCTGTTTTTAAATGCGCACAGAATTCCAGATTCGCGAAGCCGTTGTGCTAACTCATCACCACGAGCTTTTTTCTCTTGCACAAATTTTCCTGTGTCGTAATTGTAAATCTTCGAAATGCTTTCTGCCGAGAAGATAATATCAATTTCTTTCGGAGGGATATAATTCAGTTCCTCCTCGGTGACATTTAGGACTGAACAAATTGTATCCATGTCAAGTTGGACGTTTTCCAAAGTACGAGTCTCCTTTGCTCTCATAGGGGCAATAACAGTCTCTCGATCGGATTCATGATCAATTTCCGGTTCAGTCATTTCGAGTAAAGAGGTTCTAGTTAAATTGGCCTCCGAATTATCTGATGATCGTATTTGTGTCAAACTGGGATCTTCGCACTCGGTGTGTGTTAAATTTTCAAATCCACCGTCAGCATTATCATGCATGTTGTCCGGATGATGGTCCTTGTCGTTGTCATGATCATCGTCGGGTTGAATGGAGTCAAATTCGCCAGATATCTGATTTTCTTCACGGCATGTCATGCAGTACCATTCTTCGGTTTCTTGTCCTTCTGTGTAGTCACAATGCTGCATTCCCTCCCCATTTTTCTCGTAGTGATACCACGTACCGCAGCCGTCGCACTGAACGGCTGGTAAGTGGTCATCGCCCCTCACGCCACAGCGCTTTGAGAAGCAGCGTCTTCCGGATCCATTAAATTTGGAAGCTCTGCCAATACAATTTCCTCGGGGTTACGACGCCGATGAGGTGCATTTTTCTTCTGTTGGAATTCCGCCATTTTACAAAAAAATGACTTGCGGACTTCTTGACTGAAGCCCTCGTCCTTGACGAAATTCGCCCAATAATGCTTGTTATCGAACGATAAATATTTTGACTGCGCTGAATTTCTCTCTGTCTTCGTAATTTTTTTCTTTGCAGATTTTTGCTGATCCGTTTCTGCAAATATCTGCGCGAACCCACTGGTTTCAAGTATTGAGAGAAGCGCTGCATTCTTATCTTCTTCTGTATTACAGGCGATCAACTTCTCGTGAAGAACCTTCCCTAATTCGTGGAGAAGGTTATGCGTAATTTTGGGTTTAAGCACTGGTGTTCGATGGTGCAGAGAAGGTCCGCTGGAAGAATTATCATCCGATTTCGGATTAGTGGCCTTTAGCCTTGATTTGTTTGGCTTCGAATACGGAGCATAATTCGCATTGTATTCGGCAAATGGTTGTTTTAATGGCTTTGAGGGTTGTAAGGGCGGGTTAGACACTGTCCAGCCGCCTGGTGGACCACAGCGCTGCAAGATTAATTTCCATCGGTTAAGCGAATGTAATACTAACGCATTATTCATCAAACAGCTTAAAATCGACTTACAAGCAGTCCCATTTCGTCACTCGAAAATGGGAGCAGGGTTGAATTAGTTCCTCCCTGCTTTTTTCGCATTTCTTGTTCTTTTGTCATTTTTTCTCTCTCCTCCTTTCTGATCCTCTTCACATCCTTATCATAGTCAAATTCAGGACATTGTGGAAGATATTCATTCCTCTGCTCATTCCTGTGTAATAAATTTTTCCTTAATTATAAGCAATTTTTCAAATCCAATTTGGATACTAAAATTAAATTACAGCAAGCTTTATGAAATCGTGTTTAGAGAAATGGGAGCAGACGTATGTACATGCAAACATGGTTGCATAATAAAGTCAGAGGCAGCTTGAGACTTATGCATAAAAGTCGAAAGAGAAGGGTTTTTACCAATGGGTTGGAACTCAACGAATAAGTTCTGAAATGCGTAAAAGTGAGTTCTGTATCATGGACAAGTAAATAAGGATCACTAAACTGGACGGCATCTTTGTATGTATAGATCTATGGTTTTGTATATGCGGTGTACATTGGACGAGGGGAAAAAGTCAAACCTGCTCGATTTATCAGTAAAGTTTACGCGATGATCTTTCTCTCTCTCTCTCGCCACACACAAAATGATGCCATGCATGCATATATATGTATGAAGCCAAAATTTTGCACACAAACTACGAATTGAAATCACGAACAACTAACCGTATTTGCTCTGGAATTTCTTCTGCCTGTCTTTCATGAATTTCTTCTCGTGATTCCTTGGCAGGTTCCTCTTCAGATTCATTTAGTAACTCCTGCGTCTGGTCCGTCACTTTTTCTGAATTGTCAACAAGTTGTTCGGAATGAGTCACACTTTCGGTTTCAGAAGCACTTTCTCCCTCTGTTTCCGATTCCGACACCTCCTCGTACATCATTTTTTAATTTAATCAATTTCAAAATTTGGCAAAATTAAGTGATTCACTTTGTTAGTCAGAGCTGCAACTACATGACTTACTACGGAGACAAGAGTATGACAAAATACTGAACGGATGCAATTACCATTAATCTTGAGTAAACAATCCTAAAGATCAGGGTTAGAGTAGATCAAATTTCTCACTCTCATCCACAGTCCCAGTTTCTCAATCTGATCTTGGTTTCTTCTTAGTTTTAAGATTCACTTTTGCCCACAAAGCATCCTTAGAAAATTAATTAATTAATTCACTGAAAAATGGACGACTTTGAGAAAAGTCAAAGTTTATCTCAAATGGGAATTTATTACCACAGGACGAGGCAGTATCGGCAAGCTTTGGAGGTCCTCACCGAAGCCAACAAGTGCCTCAAAAGATTTTCAAAAGGTTAATTTTCATTTATAATTTTTTTACCAATCTGATATGCAACCATGTATTCGCCTTTAGTTCCTAAGCCCATTGGTAATATACACAAATGATTAGATCAATTTGCTCGACTTGGGTAGTCAGAAATTCATAAGTACATTCCCTCAAATTTTGCATAATGTACATTTTCTGCATGTAAATATGATCCAATACTCTTTACAGTAATTACAAATATCTTAAAAAGCGTTTTGTTATATTAGATCGTGACTCAACTTTTCAACTTCAAGTCTTGACAGATTTAATCGGTGTCAATGAGGACTTAGCAATAGTCTGCTTGCATGAACTGGAAAAAGGTACAGTTTCTACGTTAAGGAACGGTCATAAAATATATGACGCAGACCTGGGATTTTTTAAAAATCCTCCCTTCCCGTGCGTTACCAGTTGCGCCCTGGTTTCAACATGTGGCACAAGTTTAATTGCAACTTCGGCCAAATACTCTCCCTGTCCATCCAAATCGTTACTTATTTTATGCACGTCCCTTTATTTTTGCACGCATTCTCAAGTATTATGCAGTTGTTTTATAATTTTTGTGTAATAATTGTAGAAAAGTGTATCGCTGGAGTACACCCTGACAATGTGGAGTCCATGGAAGAGGAGGAGAGTGACGACGACGGAAAATCTTCACAATTTGAAAGCGACGACGACGAGGAACCACAAGTGCTTATCTCAGAATTAGAGACGGGTGTACGCGACGAGGAGGAGGAAAGCTGCAATGACGGGAAACTTGACCAGGAAAGGAAAATTACCGAGGAAGAAAACATAAGCGGAATTAAGGGCAACTCTGATAATAAACAAGGTCCAAAAAATTGGAAATCTTAGCGAGACCGTGCAAGAACAACTAATAAATTAAATTACACTGTAGAATTGTTGTATCACCGCTCTCCATACCACTTTTTTACTGGAAGAATTAATCACTTAAGTAGAATACACTGGTCCCCCTCAATCGGTCTGATGATTTTATCAGAATAAAAATACGGAATATCCAAATTAGTATCTCAAAATTTTAGATTTGTAACTTTTTAAAACAAATATGTATGTACTTCACAATTATTAAACCTTCATATTTGATCTCAGTTAATTTAATTTTCAAACTTCTAGTGTGAAACTTGAAATTGCTTCTCGTTTTTTAAAAAATTAAGAATCCATGCGTATGAAAAGCAAAATTCAGAATGGTTCCAGCAAAAATGATACCCAGAGCGATAAAAAACAAATGCTTCAATCTAATTGAATTTATTAGTTAATATTGCACGGCCTCACTAAGATTTCCAATTTTTTGGGACCTTGTGTATTTAAAGCTAATAATTGGTTGTTATTAATAATATATGCACCGCAACACCGCTATTATTTGTCCATCCTGAATATTTTTTTTGGATTTTCAAATCTATATAACTCCTCCATTTCTTAACCGATTTAGGTAATTTTGCACTTAAAATGTTCAGAATGTCTTTTCCTACAATGTTTGCAGTACTGAGTTACACTACCTACGAGGCATGGAAAGCAATGTCTTGAAGGGAAAAGTTTTGCACATTTTGGTGCATATCACCTGGGTAAAGATAAAAAAATTCTCGAACTCGACTTGTGCATAGTTTCGAAATCCCGTAAAAATGATCGGTGCAACACTTTATCAAAATCGGCTCAGAAAATGTCGAATTATGCCACTTTTTGGTGGGCTAAATTAAAACTTATTATTTTTTTTCGTTGTTAGGTATTTGCCACACTGAGGAAAACGACAAACCTTCGACAGCAACGGGGGACCATAAACAGCCTGAGGTTCTGCCAACCACAAACAACTTACCTACAGCGGTCAGACTGACTATGCCTGTTAGCTGTGGCTTGGCTGAGACGTTCAATCCAGTAACAAATCCGTTAGTTTCTCTAATGGGTATGGATTCAGAAATCCATTTCTCATATGTAAATCCCTCAGCCAACAGCGGAACACAAACCATTTCTATGCAAGATCTTACTGAAAACAACGAAAATGCCACAAAGGGAAAATCGACTAATAAGGAAGCAGTTAAATTAAAGGAAAAAGCAGTTGCCATAACTGATGACATTATTTTACAGTGTCTCGTGAAAACAGGAAGTGGGAGGCTGTCGGACGTGATTGGTTTGGACCACGTTATCGTGAGTATGAAGAAAACCATTTTCCTACCATTGGTGGCGGAGAAAGAATTTGGCAGTGACCTTCAAGGCGTGCTGCTTTTTGGACCTTCTGGGGTTGGAAAAACCCATATCTTAAGCTGTCTTGTGGGGGAGCTTAACTATATAAAAGAGGAAAAGTGCAAAACCTTCCCAACGATAAGCATCTGGAAGGTAGAGCCAAAAGACATCTTGCATAAGTGGATAGGTATGCTAACTGTGTCGTTAATTTTTACTGTTTATGCCAGCTTAAAATTTATCCTGCCAATATTTTGCAGGTGACTCAGACAAGTACCTCAGTCGGATTTTCGAGTTGGCTCATGAGAAGCGCCCGTCGATAATAATTATTGACGAGATCGACTCTCTATTATGTCAGCGAAAAGAGGACGATCCTGAACACATTCGACGGCTCAAGACGGGATTTCTTTCGTAAGTATTTTCATTTTTTGTATTACGCATCCTTGTAGTACGCATTTATGCATCTTGCTATTATGCAATTAATTACAGGTGCATGGATGGCCTAAATAATTATTCTGGAATCGTGGTCGTGGGTTAGTCTTTGGTGGCACAGACCATTACATAGTTTCAAGTTGCTTAAGTTAACTAAATTTTCCCAGGATTGACAAATTTTCCGCAGCATTTGGATTATGCATTCAGGCGAAGGTTTTCGAAAAGAATTTATATTGGATTACCCGATTCCTTTGCAAGGGAGCGAATACTAGCACACTATTTAAAGAAAACAAATCTTTTAACGGAATCATTCGATCTTGGCAAAATATCTTCAATGACTGAGGGGTATTATATGTACATATATGTATAGTTTCTTCACTTCTCACCAAATTAATTTCACATTACCGATTTATTTCGCATTAGTTTCTCTGCCCACGACCTTGCTGTTGCCATTTCAAAACTACAAGCACTTCAGTACACTAGTAACTTTTCCTCCGACGGTGTGAACGATACTGTCCAACTCATGAAGGTGGGCTGCAAGCCAACAACATTGATAACCCAGGTATGTCTTATTCGCCATGCTTGAAATACTTGGCCCGTGTCGCTATTACTAATTAATTTTGAATTTCTACTAGGAAATGTTTGAAGGATTAATTCGGACTGATGGATCAACCAATGGGGCCACGAACGATGAGAAAACCCTTGATGAGCTTAAAAGGTGGGGACGAGAATTCGGAGCAGAGGGGATGACTCAACCGGTTTATTATGAAGGAGAGTATGAGCCAACGCTCAGCTCGTGCCTATTTGAAATGTTTTGCTGCCTGTTTTACTAAACATGATCTTACTCGATAAATATTATTTAAATTCAATAAATGCACATCTATTATCAACTTACATATTAAACGAAACTATGGTGAAATCCGCAACCGAGCGTTTGCCTTTCTCTTGCAATTTTTCTCGTTGTGGAAAAAATGCATTACGTATTCCATCATATCTTCGCTCACACTGTGCATTATGAAAAATCCTGTTCTATTATTTACCCAGGCACTGATAATTATAATAGTTCCATCAAAATCGGAGCGAGTTAAAACCGATGAGGACATCAAATTCTTAGTCACATCTTGTGTAACTTCAGTTCAAATAAATATTTATAATCTGAGTATAAATTGTCATTGTAAATATACAAGTGCGGGGCGGGAAATTTTTTGTCAGGATGCGGGTCGGCGGGGCCTTATGGAGCATGTAATTGTGCATTATTTTAAATTTCAAAGAATGCCGTAAGTCAAATGCCGCGCTGGGGAAGTCAAAATCCAATCATGACATAAATTGACTAGAAATTGACAAGTGCGGGGCGGGAAATTTTTTGTCAGGATGCGGGTCGGCGGAGTCTTATGGAGCATGTAATTGTGCATTATTTTAAATTTCAAAGAATGCCGTAAGTCAAATGCCGCGCTGGGGAAGTCAAAATCCAATCATGACATAAATTGACTAGAAATTGACAAGTGCGGGGCGGGAAATTTTTTGTCAGGATGCGGGTCGGCGGAGTCTTATGGAGCATGTAATTGTGCATTATTTTAAATTTCAAAGAATGCCGTAAGTCAAATGCCGCGCTGGGGAAGTCAAAATCCAATTTTGACATGAATTGACTAGAAATTGACAAGTGCGGGGCGGGAAATTTTTTGTCAGGATGCGGGTCGGCGGAGTCTTATGGAGCATGTAATTGTGCATTATTTTCGATTTCAAAGAATGCCGTAAGTCAAATGCCGCGCTGGGGAAGTCAAAATCCAATCATGACATAAATTGACTAGAAATTGACAAGTGGAGCCATGTTGACAGATTTAGGCAATTTTAAGGTCATTGGAGGCATGGAGACAGATTTAGGTCATTTTAAGGTCATTGGAGGCATGGCGACGGATTTAGGTCATTTTAAGGTCATTGGAGGCATGGTGACAGATTTAGGTCATTTTTAGGTCACTGGAGGCATGGCGACCTTTATTACTTAATTTACGGCAGCAGATATTAGCCGATTTTGAGGGGTGCTAATAATGTGTGTGCATACTGTATTGTTCCGAGTCTCAATTTTGCTCATAACCGGTTCTAACTTCACAGACGTATTGAGAAGGGGCAAAGCTAAAGTGAGGAATATTTCAGTTGCTGATTTTCAATGTCAATATTGAATTTGAATATCCATTTTCCGTTATCTGTATTTATGTTTTATGTTACGGGAAACATAAAATAAACATACTGCTGATCTGAAAATGTCATTTAAAAACGAAGAAAGTTGTTCTTTAACCAGAACGTCCTCAAGTAATGGTCGAGTATTAGACAATAGAATATTGGATCGTCATTTCATTCCATCGGAAATCATGGAGCGCGTCTCTCTTTTGTACCGGGCCGTAGAGGCGCATGATGAAAGCAGTGTCAAGTCGATTTTGACATTATATGATGACCTCGACACAAACTGCCTCCTGCCTGGATGGTCAATGCCCCTTCTCCACTTTGCCGTTGGGCTAAGCAATAATTCCCCAGAAATTGTACTCTTGCTGTTGGAAAAGGGTGGTGATCCGAACAATCTCACCACTGAGGATAACGTGTCACCGATGCATCTCAGCGTCATTTACGACTATGAACACGTTCTTCATGTGCTGATGAGAAATGGGGGGAATGCTACATTGGTGAACGGAGATGGGAAAAGCTGCTACGATTTGGCCAAGGACAATGTGGAAGAGGAAATGAAGGAGAGATGTTTTCTCTATTTTTACAAGAAGTCGGTCGACTTTCGAAAATCTATTAAACCATCGGACAGTGTGGTGAAGGCGTGGAAGGATACTCATCCAGACAGCAGTATTATCAGTTTCTCGAATAATTCTTCCAGCGCGGATGAGTTTATCACTTGCGAGAGTAGTGATAGCGAGCCGTCATCAATTCATTTAAAACCAGTGGACGCTACAGAAAGTACGTACTGAATTTATAGGTTGCGTATGAAATTCATATCTTAAGTGATATAGTAAGTAAATGCGAAAAATTTTTAGGTATCAATATCTCTGCAGAACAAAAAAAGTTATGGAACAAGTTTTCTTATTTGATGACGGAAGATGAATCCGAGCAGGACAGCAGTCGAGACGATAATGGCAAACTGTCTACAATTGAAGAGGAATCCGCATTATCCATTTCATACCAGCGAAAATTGGGATATGAAGAAACTAAAGAGTGCACTATTGGATTGTTTGATGAAAGTAATTATCCAATGTCTCCTCCCACATTCGCAACAACACCAAATCCAGCCTTCTCTGACAGTTCTTCAGTTTCCTCAACAGCGACAGAGATTGCTGATTCTACTCCCCCGATTCTACCTCCACCAAGTAAAACGGACATGATAAAGTTGCAAACTACGATGAAAGATTCACAAATTCCACCATCCAGCGTCCCCGTTACAAAGTCCACGTATCAAGTTCTCAACAGACTGGCAAATCAATCGCAGTTAACAAAAGTTCTTGCCCCAAAACCAGGAACCTGTAATTTCAGCTCAGAATTAAAACAAGCAATCACAGATCTTCATGTTATCGACGAATGGGGAAATTTGAAAATAGATTTGCTCCAAAGTTATTCCACTCCGTCTAAAAAGAGCAAGTCATTTTACAACTATTTACTACTAGACCCAAAGATCACAAAAAAGGCCAACTTTTCAGGGACGCATTTAAAATCTGATATAATTAAGAATCCAGAAAAGTTTGAAGCCTTTTTAAAATCTATATTTTATATTGGGAAAGGGTGTGGAAAACGACCCATCCAGCATCTTGTGGATGCCAAGGAAAAGTATGGGAGTGGGAGAAAAGTGTTGACTGGTTTTGGGGAAAAGCTTGATAGGATTCTCAACATTTGGAGTTCAGGTCTGGGAGTAATTGTTGTTAGCGTTTTCCATCATTCGTCAGAAAGAGAAGCGAATGTAAACGAAGCATCAATGATTGATGCTGTCGGTCTTGTTGAGCTCTCCAATATTAAGAAGGGAAGCTATGCGGGGACATTGACGAGCACTTGGTCTCAAAAATCTAAAAATCAACTTGGAACCTTTCTATTGTACAAAGCCTTTTGTGCCTTTACTGTCAGTGAACACAAGTCTTTCCATGCTCAAGATGTCTAATTGTATATAGTGTAGGTATGTAATAAGTTAACCAATTACTCATTATGATTGACTCGCAAATATTTTATTTTTGAATGTTTTCTACTTTCTCTTTCTCGATATATATAATTTCAAAGTTCCCATTTTTGTGAATACAGATAAATATTCAAGAAGATATAAATTTATAAGGTAAAATGCAATGCAATAGATGGATATGCTTTAATTTTGAATCATGAAGTGTTAGTTGCTGTAAATTTGTGTTCTCTTGTATGACAATTATTAATCAAAGACACTAAATTAGTAGTACTGATTCCACGAGATTATATGAGCACGTTTAAATGAACAAAAAATTAAACAGAAATTTAAGGATAAGAATAACAATGTTTTATTGCAAGAAAAGAGAAAAATACCAAATTCGTGTTCGTCTTATTAATTCTACAAATTCATATGTAAAGTTATATGTTGTCATATGTAAAGTTCATCGGTAAGTCAATGGTTCATTTTCATGTAACCTGTAAACTATAATACTACCATAACAATGATATCTAACGATCCTCTCCTCCAATGTGGTCTGCTTCGAGATCCTCTACCCCTGGCATCAATAGACCTGCAAGAACGTCCATGCCAATGGTTATGGAATGAGCAGCGGAAGATTCCTGACATTCGAGTTGTCCAGTCTTGTCATTCTCCAGAACATGGTAACTCCCTCTTGGAAATTTCTTCTGTGAATAAGTCTCATAAGCACCTTTGGCAGCAAATAGTTGAGAGTGTTCCTGGTTGGTGCTGGTGCCTGAAAATACAATTGCATAATTTCATGAGTGGTCCAGTAATTTTTCAAAATCTATGGTATACATTTATTAATATAGAAAGTAACATACCCGTAAATTCATCATCACCAATGAAGTAGGTGGTTGTGAAAATATCTGTGCCGTTCCGTTTACGTTGTCGCGTTTCAAAACGGATATCAGTCAATCCAAGTTCTGCACAAACTTCATCCAGTTTCACGAAAACCAAGTTGTCATAAAAATGAGCCTCAGGAATGCAGCATTTTGGGTAAAAGTGCTTTGGATCTAGTTCCTTTAAAGTTTTGATTAGTTCATATGCAGCAGCTTGTTTCGAAAGCTCCTTAAATGACCCATCAACAGTCACTAACAGTAAAGTAAAAGACGATAATCATATTAAACTATTACAAGTCAGTAAATAATAAATAGTAAAGAAACGTGTAAAAGCATTGTCAATATTAACGTACCACTAACTTCGCCACATTTTGCAACAGCTCTCCAATTATGGGATCGTCCAAGTGCATGATCAGTTTGCTTTGCAATTTCTTGCTGAACGATGAATCCACTTTGCTTTGTTAGCTTCTCGATTACCTCGATTCCAGACATAACATATTCAGGATCCTCGTCAAACGCCATCTCCTCAGCAGTTCGTCTCCGTTTTTCTCCGCCACGCTCGGGTTGTCCATTTCGTTCTCCGTTTCCATTACTGATCCCATTCTTCCGTTTGGGTCCTTGGATAATTTCGTCCAAAGATTGCCCAAGCTTGGAAGCATTGGTTTGCTTGGGTGATTGATTTTTCTTGATTATGTCATCCAGGCTGATGTCCTCTGATGATTTTAGGTCAATGTTGCCGATGCTCCCAAACTTTTGACGACGCTTGTCCACTTTGTTATCGAAATTTGCCGGGTCATCCACGTCCTGGAACTTTTGATTACGTTTCTCGATACCATCCTTGTCCTTGTTCCATTTTGAAGCGGGGGCAATGATTTTCCTCTCAGCAATAACCTCATCAAGGGACTTGTCCTTCACGACTTCAGACCGAGCAGAAGGCTTGTTCGTCCGGCAAATGTCCTTGTCATGTTTCAAGACTTTCACGTTTTCCCTGGTGTACCGTAACTGCATAGCGTGCTACAATTATGAAATGTTATTACAATTTTAAAACAAATGTTATACACAAAGCAATAATATAAAAGTATTTACACTTACATCGACCATGTCGTCATCACTATCCAAGTCTATGGTCACCTCTTCTCCTTCGCTTTCACAACGTGTCTCCAGGACCATGATTTCTCCTTTAGCTCAGTCTCTTTAAAAATCTGTAATCGACGAGCGACTGAAAACAAAAAAATAGTTCCCTCAATTATAATTTAAGTAATTTCAAACTTAGAAATATTACACTCAAAAATAATCCTTTAATGAATTATTAAAATTTTAAAATCTTTCAAAAGAAGTTTTAAAATTAAAGAAAATTGCATACCTTTCTGCTGCCTCTCTCTCAACTTGTTAAAAACTCTAAGAAATGTTTAGAAAGATGAGCAGACCACCACAATTGTAGTTCTCCAAATTCTAATAAGAAATCACTAAGAAAAAGTTAGAATAAATGAAATTTGCAGAGCTATTTTAGCTGACCACCTCTCACGTTCAACACCAAACTGGAAATGCTAGACGAAGACTGCCGACGCCAGCAGAGCAGCCAAAGAAAACCAAACTATTCTTTAGTGAGAGCACAAGCCACGCCGACAAGATAGAAATAATTTCGCTTGGCTTGCATTCCAGTTTCAATTATTGCACTCTATTTTATTTCTTGGTGATAAGGTTGAACTGAATTTCGGTCACCTTCCAACCTTATGGGCAGGTGATTTTGGAAGGAGAAATTCCACCACCAAGAAATAAAATACTTGCAATTGAAACGAGATAAGAAAACATGGACAACTCTACTCAATTCTAAATATGAAATTTAAAATAAACTATGATCGGATCTTAAAAAATATAATTACAAGTTGTAATTTACAATGTAAAGCAAAGATAGAAATTCTGTCAGAATATAAATGGAAACTTAACGTTTTATTTCTTAGCTCATACTTAATGACTTGTTCAACACAACACACTTAAACTCTATTATTCACACATACAATTTGTGCGATTCTGAAATTAATAACAATCAATTTTAACTGAATTACAATACTCTTTAGCGAAAAAAGAGAGGGAGAACTCGACTGCAACTCTTCTTCACGGCGACTAACAAGTTACAACGTGTCTGTCTACCACGCACTGTACAGCCAAGAATTGAGGCCGTCAGTAAATGATAGAAAATAGAATTTTTGATTGCATATTGCCTGCTGCATTCTTCTGCCGGATTCTTCTAATAACCAACCACCATCATCAACTTCATTCATTCATCATTCGCTAACATATTATCGTATCGTATCGATAAGTAACAACAATATTGCCTCCGTATCACAGTTCAATTCAGGTAAGTCAATTAATACCACGACAAATATTACTAACAACTGACCCAATCTTTGGGGTTTTTCAATATTTCTGTCAACTTTAACTCTTCAGAACCTTTGGTAGGAGAGTGCATGTATTCCCATCTCTGCAATGCAATAATTAGAAACATAATGTACGACAAGAATTTGTAGTAAAATGACATTGTTTGTTGTTATCATCACATACCGCAGTTAGAGGAAGAGACATCAAAATGCTCTCATACCGTGCACCAGGGGTGTACAGGCCAAATTTTGTGCCTCTGTCATAAATTAGATCTAGAATCAACATGTAAAAATTATAAGAAGTGATCAGTATGGAAATAGAAATAGGCCAACATGAGTCAAAAAGTAGCAAATCTCGTACTGAATTCCACGTAACGACCTCGTCTTAAAAGTTGCCATTCCCTCTCCTTCAAACCATAGCCGTCCGTTTTGTGCTGCTGGACTGCAGAAATGTAAAGAAATTATTGGTAGAGGAATTCATTTGAATAGAAATAGATTAGTAATGGCAGAAAGTCTTTCATTACCTAAAGGAATGTATGAGGGGATGACAGCTTCTGCACACGATGTCACGAAATTGAATGCACTTTCTTTATTGGGTTCATCCAAGTCGTCAAAGAATATGCCACCAATGCCTCGTCGCTCCCCTGAGGTATTAAATATGGAAATCATTCTATTTAAATGAAAACTATGATTTAAAAGTTGTTTACTGCATGCATACCTCGGTGGGGGATTGAAAAATATTTGTCGCACCAAGCCTTGAATTTTGGATACCACTCAGCCCCATGCTTATCACATGCTCTCTTGAGGGTGGAGTGGAAGTGGACTGCATCCTTCTCATTTAGATAATACGGGGTAAGGTCAGTCCCCCCTCCAAACCACCATTCCACCCCAGTGTCAGTTTTCACCTCAAAGTATCGATAGTTGAAGTGAATCGTGGGGACGTAAGGGTTCCTGGGGTGGATGACGCTGCTGATTCCCAGAGCGTAAAATGGGAGTGAGTCACCTTTAAATTCTCGGCCACTATTAATGTAGAAATTGCAATTAGCATATGAAAATTTATATTTTGTCTTCTCATTTTACCGAGATTTCATCTGTGCAACTGCGCCCGGCGGTAAAGTTCCATGAACAACTGACACATTGACGCCAGCTTTTTCAAAGACGTGACCATCCTGAATGATACAGGTCACTCCGCCACCCCCATCATCACGAGTCCATCGATCCACCCTGAATTTCGTGGGGAATTCGTTTTCCTCTTTTTCAATAGCGTGGCAAAACTCAGCCTTTAGCAATAAATTTATTATTTAATATTTGAAGGATTGAATATTTTGGGGTAAAAGTTGGCAAATTAAGTATGTATTTACTTGTATCCGCATAATTAGTAATTCCATCTTCGTCCGCATTTCATCTGCATCTTTCTCCAACACGGACCGTGAGGTTAATGGTTCCGCCATGAAAGATTTTATGAGTGAATTTAAATCTTGTTGTTGCTTTCCTTGTGCGTGTGCTTCATTAGTAAAAAGACCTCCAGCCAAAACAAACCTTAAAGACGATAAGCAATAATGTACTATCAATTCATACGCATTATCTATGCACAATTAAGTTAAGTTACAACTTACAATGGAAATTGCTTATTTTTCATCACCCATTTCACACTTGTAACCGTATTACGAATCACCCGTCGCCGAAAACGGGTGTAACCCATTATCAAAAATTTTCCAAACCTGCAAAATGGACAAAACTAAATGAATATCTTCAAATTAGACAATGAGATTTTGTATATGATAAATATCATTACTTACATCGCGATAAAATGATCACTTAAAATATTCTAAAAACAATTAAGACTCGTAAATTCGAAGAAAAATTGAAAACGCAACGAAAATTTTAATTAAAAGATTTGAAATTGGAAACAATTTGTTTTAAAATAATTTTACTATAATGATTAACAGATTTTACAAAAAATCTCTTTTTACATACTAAATTGAATAAGAATACAAGAAACGGGGATTCAACTACTCAACTCTCTCAACCGATGATTTTTCGTCTGGTTTAAATTTGGTTGCCTGATTTTTTTTCCACAAATGGGTTTCGTTTATAATAAAAGCAGATGCATTTCAGTGACACAAGAAGATTAAATAAGTCATGCTAACAACTACATAATTTAACTTATCACAAAAGTCTCATCAGCATGTCATAATTGTCATGCATGTAAATTCGTATGCATCTTGTTCAACTTGTAGCAAACATAAAGTCTAACCCATAGATTGTCTAATCTAAATCTAAAATACACATTTTGTTCCATTTAGTTTTGCTCCTTGTTTTTATCTGCTCTAGGGTTAAATATAGTCGTTGAGTTTGTTTAAAACAAGATTTTTCATGCAGATTAAGGGGACTTTTTTTAGGGGACGATTGAGATGAAACAAAACCATTCATAATAAAGAATCGACCCTTCTATTCCGAATGGCCTTCCTGTTCAGTGTCATGTCATGCATTGGTTTAGTTAGTGTAATGTACTCTGTCTTTTATACTGCACCATCAGAGGAGAACGGAACACGAATTGGGTTGGTTTTCGGGCTTAAACAACAGTCTCAAAAACTTCCTACTTCCTCCCAATCTGACGATGGGTGTACTAACATGCAGTGTGTAAGTAGCAGCTAACATAATAAAAACGATAACGAAATCCTATTTTGATCAGTCAAACCTAACCTTCCCCAGAAACGAACGAGTGAAATAAGGCTATTTTAATAATAACAACATGTAATCAATTGGTCAGGTGCTCTTATTGGTCAATATTGTTTTCGTACAATCCTGGTTATAATAATCGATCTTGGAATTGACTATGTGATCTAATTCCGTTCCTACTAATAAAAATCCTTCATTTCCAACAATCATTGTTAACGAAAGGACATAACAACAAATTAACATTTGCGTGGTCTCGTGATTGAGTGACAGCTAGCATATACAGTGCAAAATGTGTTTAAGTTTATTGGCAACTTAATCTAGTTTGACAGTTTGTTAAATGTTGTGTTTTGTTTTTGTGTGATTGACTTTTGACATTTCATTTATTTTCACTGCCTACTACAAATTATTTGACATTTTTAGATTGAACCTGTCCAAGTTTTGGGCGTGTTATTGGGTTGAGTTACTAATTTTCTAACAATATAATGATTATTGATCTCTAAATTAAGAGGACGGATAACGAAAATTAATCTCAAATTAAGAATCCAAGTTACAAAAACGATCTCAACAAAACTACTCATAAAATATTACCAGTTTTCTCTTTAATGTACGTTGTTTTACTGGGATATTATAATTTTTTACCGTTTACTGAACCAAACGAACCTTGACCTCACAAAAAAGTTATCCCCTATTGCATTAAACTTGAGTGAATTCTCAAAAAAAGGAAGGAAAGAAGGAAGAAGATTACTTATGTAACTTGCAAAAAAACTTGTACATGGCTCATCGGTCCGTGGAAAATTGCAGCAGATTGCAATAAGTGAGAATGCGACACGGATCATCATCTTAAAAGTGTCATGCTTCATTGTATCGTGATGATGTTAAAAATCTGTGATGTAACTAAATGACAGGAAGTCAGCAGGACTTTATACCTCTCCATTATTCATATATTGTTTATTGCACCTGACAACTTTGCTCTATATTATATTACATAGACGATCAAAATCCCCATGCTGGTCCTTTGTGCGTATCGAAAATTATATATGAACGTAATGAACTACGAAAAAACTCGTGACATTGAATCAAACAATTGTGGATGATTTTTGCAATCAAAAACATAAATAAATCCAACAACATAACAGCTCAATCTAGCATTTTACAGTTTTTCGCAACATTTATACGTTTAAGCTCAGAGTCAGTCAGACATTGTTAGAGTTGTTACAGGATAGATTGATCATTGATGTATCTCGATTTGTAAGGTAAGACAATACTGCTAATTTTTTTACATTATTAATGAAAATTACTTTGTAACTACTTTGTAACCAGTAAATATCAACATGATAAGTTGGCATCCAGGAACCAGGCAGGTTTACATGCATTTAGTCGTATGAAAATTAGAAAAAATCACTGAATATGCATTTATAACATGGATCAGTTTGTATTACAACGAAGCCTGTAATTTAAGCGTCAGTGTACACTTATGTACAAATGAAAAATGACTTCACTTATTTGGCATTGAGTTTCCATTTTTGTCTCTCTGCGTTTGATTTAGTATTCACAATTACAATATGAGATCCATTTTGTTGAGGTGCGAGTGAGATGAGCTATTTTTTGTGCCCAACTGTCCACCTACCATTTTACGATTTCATTATGACACATCAATAGAGATTGAAAATCTTATAATGCTCTCCACAGGTCTTCTGGAATGAAAATAAAGCATAAAATCCATCAATCATACATATAAACATGAATGGTATGAAATTGCATAGCCTATTATTATGCAGTCTTGTGTTGATTAATATTTCACTTCGGTCAGTGTATCATCCTGTTGTCATTTTGAATGGTCGTTGATTGTGATAGTTTGTGATTTGATCTAAAGTCACTCCGAATTTTAATTAGATTAGATAGTTGCGTAATTCTTCAGGTAGGAATAGGTAGGAATAATAATTTAGATTAAAATCTACAAATTCATGCATATAATAAATCAGAAAAAGATGTTTGCTCATCCACCCTCGATCCTTTACTGATAGAAAGATACACATACTGACTGTAATAAATGAGTAAATCGTAGTTTTCGGAATACTTAGATGGCTAGCTTTTATAAATTAGGGATAATGTGCATGCGTTTATATGGCTGTGAAGTATATTATCTGTGTGAAACTAATGACACAGCTTCATTACAGTGTTGACCATTGAGAAAGAGATTACAATTACACGCAGCCCATGCATTTTGACTCTACAACGTAATGAAGATTGTGAAAAATTTTACAGGGAAAGCTGAATTGCCAGTGTGATAAATAAAGCCAAGTTTTACCACCCACGAGCGAACGAGTCATAAAGAAGAATGGATTTCTTAGTCAGACGTCGATCCTTCAATTTGGGTCATAACAATCAGAAGGAAGTGGATTTGAGACTGAACTTACCAGAGTGCAGTCCAATGTTGTCGAGAAGACGCAGTGTCAGCCCTCTCATGTCCCCCATGGGTGGACAGGGTTCCATTACGTCGATCTTTGAACGGAACAGACAAGCTCCAAGCTTTCCGCAGACTGAGGACGAGCAACTTTATTTGTTTCACGAACGGATTTTATGGAATCAGGAGAGATCATTGTTACCACTAGCACATGACCTGTCCGATTGGATGAGTGGGATTTTGGGTGAGCGATTAATTTGGTCACAATATTTTTTAAACTTTTCGTGAATATTTCTCATTAATTTAATTGTTTGTATTATGTAGGCGTAAATATTTGTCCAGCAAATTTTACCGAGACATTAGAAACTGGAGTTGTGTTATGCCAGCTTGCAAAATTGATTGAACGTAAAGCTGGTGAAGTGGGTGACGCCAAGGTATGGATAGGATTTTGTGGGTGAAATATTGGGAAAATTCATAAATAAATAAATTCAGGTACGACCAAGAATAATTGGAAGAATTCGACCGAATGCAAGACCAGGATCATTCTTTGCGAGAGATAATGTCGCAATTTTTCTCAACTTTTGTCGAGATCTTGGCGTGCACAACAATCTAAAATTTGAGACGAACGATTTAGGTAAGCAAAAATCGTTAAAAATACCCCAGTCTCGATAGAATTGTAAATTGATTCTAATTATAAATATGCATTGATTGAAATGAATCACGTAGTAAATCACGGAGATATTAGAAGTGTTCTAATTTGCCTGATGGAAGTGGGTCGTCTCTCAGTCAAGTATGGAATCGACCCACCAGCCCTTATCGCAATGGAGCAAGAAATTGACTGTGAAAGCAAGGATAACGATTCTATTAAGATAAGTAATGGAACTTTGGTCAACAGTCAGAGTGACAATCAAAGCCAGTGTGATTTTGGAAGTGAAACATCGGACGACAACAAAGAGAATCCTCATGAAAATCCTCCATTGATCCTCGCTACTCCTAATAAAACTACTTCAGAGTTGGGAGTTCAAACTGATTTATCAGACAGCGTGGATTCTGGATTGTTGGCAGATGACGATTTGAACAATCATGCCGATGAAGAGTCGGATGAGCCTACTCCTACATCAGAGCTGGATGTCAAGGTGCAATCCATAATCATTTACATGTTAAGCGAGATTTGTTATAGTTGTCTACAATTTTTATGATTAATGTATAGATAAACGAACTAACCCGCATTTCTGGGCAAACCTGTCGTTGCGTGGAGGAAACTCGAAGGAACTTTAAATTAAGGAAACTATCAGAAGGAAAATATTTGATAAATGGAAGGACCGTATTTGTTCGGGTAATTAATTAATTTTTTAACTTTACTGTAGAAATACTATTATGAACTATATCGTTAATAAATATATCTAAAACATACCCATGCAGCTTTTAAAAGGGATTCACGTCATGGTGCGAATTGGAGGGGGATGGGAAACGTTAGAAGAATTTCTTGTCCGAAATGACCCATGTCGAGTGTCAATCAGACGAGCGTCAATCGTTCGACGCCCATCGTACTACCAAGGTATGAATCCACCTTCAAATTGGACCCATTGTTCCACACCGACCGGGTGGTCAAAGAAAGATGGGGGACGACCCGCCTCCAGTCCTCCTGTCATGATGTTGGGGACAGGATTACGCCCAATGTCCTGCTGCTCTACCCCACAAAGATCTCGTCACTCGAGTGGACAGTCCTTGAATCTGATTTAAACTAACCATGTTGACGGTAATACGTTCACCAAGAAGGAATAGTATTACCGGGTAGGAATTATAATACAATCTCAGGCGCCTCATACCAGGTTGCGGGTATATATAAGTATGCATACATATAATTGAATCAAACGAGTATAGGATGATGACAGATTAATCCATTCTACATAATTCAAACAAAATGTTGTTGCCAAACTGCTTAAGTCCAAGAGGGTAAAACCAAAGATTAAGACGCTGCAGTTATTAATTAACTTAATATTATGTTTTTGTTGAAAATATGAGTGATGCATAATGCATTTTTCTGTTGTATTATACATATACGTATAATTTGAGTCTCACATAATTCTCACAAAATATCTAATTCCACACTACTATATACATTCACTCAAAGGTCTCGATAGTCTGATTTCGTGGTATTATATATTACTTATCTACAAACAAAAATTCAGAATCTATAAAGAAGAAATATTGTACATGTATATTAGTGTAACGGTGAGTGGGACGGTTTTAGGAATTTTCTTGAAACGGAGAAATATTAAGGAATGCAAATGTATTTTTAATTGCATGATATATATATGCACTTTACATATTAATTTTATATTGTGTTGGGTTGTGTATTATTTTTATTGCAGCATTTATGTATTACCACTTTACAGAAGGGTTTATGCGAACTAGTTTTCAAAACATTCAACAAAGTTGACCTGTGCCATTGCCTATTAAATTGTAATTCATGAATCGTCCAGATAAGCATATAGAGATTGGTTTAAGAAGACGTTTGGGCAGTTATTATTGAGCTGATGAATGTTATATGATTGGTTTTGCTGTAGCAATTCCGTACGAGCTCTATTTTAAAAGAATTTAAAAAATGCACTGTACTGGTTACTTACTGCACTGTTGTTGTACTAAAGAGACAATTAAAAAAAATCAACTACATACTTCTACTCACTCTTTAAGCAATACATGTGTAAATAATAAATATGAAATGCATGAACAAAATAGTTTGCTTCAAACTTGTTGAACTAATCCTATCCTGGTCACACCATTATGAAACTAAAAGTTACCAAACAATTATGAAACAAGCTAGCTAACCTAAAATTATGGATACAATGTTGAAAGCTTAAAACTGTATTTTAATTTCAGACTGTGTAACATTGGGAAAAATGAATGAATAAACTGTTAATTAAATCAATTTTTCTGTGTATCATTTCATTATCAATTCCGCGTTAAGTTTATACAACAAAAATTAAAACTTTACAGCGCGATGTATGTCACATGGCCTATAAGTGTTTAGAATAATTCGCAATTGAAGACTCGTTTCAAGACTTGCACATCTATGATCTAGTTTTCTTCGTAATAATTGGTAGGTAAAGTCATCACAGACACAAGAGGTACGGACGTTGTAAGGCAATTGTTCTAATTTACCAACTACGTCCGGAGTCTAGCAAGTTGTTGTTCCAAATCATCATCAGTGGGAACATCAGGCAATTTAGATCTTGAAGATTCTCCAAGTTTGCCAGACCCTGCGGAAGGAGCTGTTGCCAACTAGTTAAATTAAAGAATGAAGCAATTTTATTTATTTATTCGTCAATTTATGATCAAAAGTGAAAAGAAAGAAAGAAAAATGTGCTGTTAAATACCTTTCCAGATATTTCAATACCGATTTCATCAAGGACTTTGCTGATAATTTGATCTTGTTCTTCTTCGTCATCCGACCCAGCAAATATGTCATCCAAAGTATCGTTCACTATAAGGAAAAAACACGTTCCATGATTAATATGAACACGCTGAGACGATGATAGGAATTACATAGACTGTGTGTATACAATACTTACTCATTTCATCCGTCATTTCCATTTTTGTAGATTCCTTTGCAAATTCTTGTAATGTTTTATTAAGTTTGGCTGGATTTGTTAATTTGTTCATTTGTCCCATCGTCTTAGTTGTTTCTCCCATAATTTCGGCCATTTTTGCATTAGCTCCCATGACTTTCGCCGTTGTTCCAACCGTTTGAACCTGAGATTTGTAAAATTATTTATTCAAAATTAGATTGTGCAATCGCTGAAATCGCTGGAATCAGTGTAAGTATTCTTAATTATGATATTACCTTTCCTTTAGCAGCGTAAGTTCTCGTCCTAAAAAGATATATAATTAAACATAGATTACAAATTCTTTATATCTACTTTATATAATCTAAATTATTACTTTGCTTTACGCATCTGCACTAGCTGCTTTGCTAAAAGTTTGCAAACGTCTGCATTTCCTTCTTTTGCGGCCTTTTTTATTTCCATTTCCTGTTAGACAATAGAGTGTCGTTAGATAATGCTTCGTCGATCATTTCCAATTCATTTTATAAATTAATTTTACCAATTTCTTTTCTTCTTGTGTTAATTTGTGCTGTTCTCGATCCAACTCCCTCCCAACTTTTCGTAATGCTCTGTCATTTTCCTTCATCAGCTCTGGAATTAATTAGTAAACTTAGTAAAACGAACCAACTAAACATTCAAATTTCAAAAATCGATGCAGAAATTAATATTACCTTTCTCTGACTTTTTCCCAAATCCCAAGAACGCCATTTTTACAATATTCGAGTGTAACTTGTATTTGTTAAAAAATTACTTTCGTTGGTTTAGCTCCGCCCAATCAATCAATATTTGTTATTCTCACTCAATTCTTAAAATGTGAAACGACCGACAATAAATAAAAACAACAAAGCTTCAGTTTTGCCAACCTGCAAATTTGAAGTGAGGTGACTGAATGTATAGTAATTGGAAAATAAGTAAGTACGGCACGGCACTAATAACTAATTGCCAAAGGAGGATTATAAGTCGATAAGCGCAGCTCAAATATTCGGCAGCAGTTGTGAGTTGTGACGAAAAGAGTATGACGACAACTTGTGATTGACCCATAGTTTGAACAAGCCACATGCAACAACAGATGATGATGATTTGAGATGGTGACTCATGTTCATCATTGTGTGCTTTTCCCATGATTTTGCTTGGCGTCTTTACAATAAATAGAAAATAGCACGTAATTTGTAATGTAAATTTATTATTATAAATTATGAATACAAAGAATATGTGACATATAAAACTTAAATAAAGTTAATTTAACAGTGTTATATAAGATGCCTTCATAAATGTTATTATTTATATATATGTATGTGCTCTGATTAGTACCACCAACTATTATAGTTTGGAATGTCGAAATTAATCAGATTCTCCTTTTATCATCATGGCCCTAACTAACATTTGATAAATCTTCATTTGATCCAGCGATTCTTCAGAATACCAGATAGACTCGGTCAGATCAACGTCGGATTTGATGGCTTTGTAAAATTGCCCGTCAGCATGAGCGCTAGAAAGTTATTATTAAACGTTAATATATTTAAGGCTCATCAGGAATAGTGATCATATTGAAAATTTTTATACCATTTCGAAATATACAAGGAAAGTAGTCGAACAGGACATTTTTCACTCATGTCAGGAAGTTCAACAATTTCGATTCCTTCACATTCGGGCACTTCTTCTATTCTTAGAAAGCTGGCTTCCATCCCAGTTTCAGGATTGACCTTTCTGAATATTTTGACTTGTCCAAAATGCAGCTCAGCATGCTTTTCCCAAATCTATTTCACAAGATAAAATGAAATTCTATTACTGATTCATGAATTTATACTTTCATAATTTGTTGAAAAAGTAATATTTATGAATGATTACCTTTAAATGAAAGTTTTTATATAATATGTAGACCAATGTGAACAACAAAACTCCAGGAGAAGCGTCGCCCAATTGTTGAGATTCCCAAAAATGCTTATCTTCTATCCTTGTATTAATACCTGATAAATTAATACACATAATATTTAATAAATTAATAACTAGAAATAATAATGCTAGTGTAAATGTTTGTAATAAGTACTGTACCTTGAGCACAATCAGATTCTGCATAATTCGTAATAGCTTCGACAAATGGATTATAGACAACGTCATAAAAAATATTATCAGGTCTTTCACCAACGTCTCTTAGGTGCTGTTGAACGCAAATACAAAGGTAAAGTATTGTATCAGCCCGGTATCTCTCTCCACTTGGTTTAGTTCCCTTGCTGACCCATTCAGCAAGTTTTTCAGCAAGGTCAACCGAACTATAATTTATAGGATCTGAGGTAGGTCCAAATGACATTTTCCAAGCTTTGATTCCATACTCGATCTATCCATATTATGATATAAAACTTCATTTTAATGGACAAAGTTCAAAAGAAACAGTTGACTGATTTCAGTGTTGAGGGATTTATATGTATGTGCTTACCCTGGTTGATTTTTTTCTAACAGGAGACGCAATCGCAGGGGTTGTTGTCGAGGAATTAAAAGCAGTGGATTCACTATCATTTGAAGCATTATCATTCCTGTCTATTTTATCACTATTGAGCTCTGGAGCAACCGGTGGGATCGGTTGATCCGGTTTTTTGAGCTCTATCATTTCCACATCGTCAGACTCTATTGTGACAACGTCAACTGTTGGGGGTGGAGGTGGTTTTAAAGCTGGTGCATTAAACAGTGCTGGAATTGGGATGGGGACTGGGATTGGCAATGGAAATGGGTACGGAATAGGAGTTTCCATTAAATATACTGGGACAGGAATATAAAATGGAATGGGCATTGGAAATGGGACATATTTTGTTTCTGTAACAGTTTTCAAAGGAATTCTTTCCATGTCGGCGATAGCAGACTCCTCTGTTTGAGTGGACGTTGTTGAAGTTTTAGGATAAGCCATTGTACATTTATTTGCCGTTTCTGGTGATCCTTTTAGCTGGGCAATGATTTCATCGATATCTTCTGACGTAATTACCCCATTCCAACCATCAGCATCAGTCTGTTCTTGGGCATTTACACTTCCTTCCAGTGATGTCTTAGTTGTTGCAAAATCCTTCATCACGCCTGGATCCAGCGAAAGAACTAGCGATAAAAACGTAAAATAACAATGTCATTTCAATTTTATCCAATATTTATTAATGTTCTGGATATTGTATTGCATACGCTGAGATAAGTTGAATTGGTTTACGGTGCCATCCGTTCCAACCCTATTAGCTAGATTAGCTATTCCTCCAGATGCAGGGATAATATTTCCGAGATTATCAATTACAAAAGGTTGATCCATATAAATATTTGTATTTCCACCAGCTGAAGTCGACATTGATGAAACTGAGCTGATTACAGGGACAGTCATGTCCTGCTGGCTCGTAAGTACTACTTGGTTAATACTTCCTCGTACTTCTTCATCATTAGCTGCATTCGCTATTGAGCACTTCAAATTTTGTATATATGCTGGAGTGCATGGCAAACAATTTAGTGAACAGGCTGCATATCTTAATTTTTGTCCTTCAAATAATTGAATCAAGTCATAGTTGTATTTTTTAACCTGCAACAAATAAAACATCAATAAATAAGGGTTTTTTAAACTGTTTTAGTTATAAATAAAGCACAAGTGTTACTCTAATTAATAATCTCACCTTGCAAGATATGCAGGACAATATTTGTCGATTTTTTAATACAAAAACATTTTTGCATGTGGGAGAACAAAAGCCATTGACTTTGCCACATGTTGATACATACTGAGCTGTAGTTTCACCATCAGAAATGTCAAATTTGTGGTATTTTGAACACATCTCACACTTGCTGGGAGAATTGACTCCTTGGGCTTGAAGCAGTCGCTTCCAACAGTGTTCAGAGCATGACTTTAAAGTTGATGTACTTGACGAGACTAATTCTTTGAAGCAACTTTGATGCCCTCCGCAGATAACGCAGATACATGGTTGTGACGACTTTGCCTTCACATATTGGTCGATATTCTGCTCTACATACATTTCGACACAATCTTGAGAACAGAATTCCTAAACACAGGTAAAACGACAACATTATTTTATAGCCTGTAAAATTAAATTTCATTGGTAGATTGATAAATCTGTTATTTAATACTTACTTTAGGAGTCTGCTTAGCAGGTAGATTAGCTAATATAACATTTCCAAGACGTTTAATGTCCAACTGACAGTGAAAACACACACCTATATTTGGAGTGACAAAAGAAAGCCTTATTATCTACAGTTACGCGCAGCGGAGCAAGCGCCTTGTATTCGAGTAATAAATATTAAATTAATGTTAATTTCTCACGAGCATTTTTCTTGTACACCTCCAAGCACTGACCACAGCAAAATTGCCGAATATCACTACCAAATCGCACGCAGTATTTTCCTAAACTTAACCAGGCGACGCTATTTGAACAAGTTGCGCATCTACCACCAACTTGCACCTGATAGGATCCTGAAAAAAGTACAATTATATTTGCTTCAAGTTATGAAAATATATGCGTACAAATAAAATATCCGTTATTACCGACACAACGATCAGAACAAAAATTCATTGTCTCCCAATAATATGTCCGTTCTAATGATAGTTGTTGAACGTTAGAAGAAATACCACACTTCTTATTAGCACAGGCTAGTGTCCCAGACCCAATAACGCTTCGAGTTTGTCTGTGCTTGCTAAAGCAGGTGTTGCTACAAAAAAATACTTCTGTTCCGAATTGTTGGATTTTTATTTCACAGTGGGCCCTCTGAATAGAACAAGAAGTTAAACCTCAACCTTAAAGCATATCTTTTAAGAATATACCAATAGTCATACCTTCTTGCAAAAGGCGCAAATGTGTGTCTGGCTCTTTGATGTTGACTCTTCGTAATTAGTATCTTTGTTTCCTCCTCTTCGTCTAAGTATCCCATTGTCGTTCTCAGTCTCGCCACTGCTGATCTCCTAAATACAAAATAATATGCAAATGAAAATTACCTAAAGTCCGCTTATACGAGTTGAACAAACTGGACAACATTGTCGTCGTTGCTTACCCGGATGGTGTTTGCCGCTACAGCTGCTGCTGCTCTACGCGGTCGTCCTCTTCTAGGAGCGGTATCACTTTCTTCTTGGGCGTCTACTTCTATGATCTCATTATTATCTTCATCTTCGCCTTCTCTGAAACTCATCTGCAACATACTTTGAATATCCGGCAGATCCTAATTTCAAATTAAAATAATTTGTAAATTTTACTACATAATTTATTTTATTTTGTTTGTTTATGGATTTACTCACATCAGTTTGTGATTCCTCGTTTGGAATTTCTACAACTTCATCATCGTCTTCCTCCTCAAAAATCCCGTCCATCCTTAGCCTAACGCCACGGTCTTCATTTTCATCGTCTGCATCGTCCATCTCTATCGTTTCAGTCGTCTTCAATGTGTCTGCAATTTTAGATGCTTCCTTGTCGCTCTCCGCCGCCACGTCTGACGAATCATTTTTGTCCATACTTTTTCCATCTACAATATCAGTAGCAACATCGTCAGGCTCTTTCGCTCCGTCGATCTGTCTCTTTCCGCCATGATCTTTATCTAACGACGCATTTGAATTATTATCGTTATCTGATGCTAGTGGATTATTCTGCGCAGACTTGGAGTCATCTTCGCTTAATGATCTTTCATCCACGCACATTTTAGGAGACTCGTTACCGCCGCCGTCCTTCTCATTGGAATTTTTCTTTTCTACCGCTGAGTCGTTATCATCAACGTCCATACTTTTTTCGTTTTCTTGTGGATTAAAATGCTGTGCTGTAGCAATCTCTGAAGAATCTTGTGCATCGTCATCGTCGTCATTATTGAAAAACTCGACGACTTCTTCATTATCGTTTAGATTTAAATCCTCTACAGATTTTTCTTTCTCCAGACTCGTGGGCTCTGGGTAATACAAATATATTCAATTAAGCGTACATATTAAATGTTTATTTATTACCGACGCTACTATAATGTAATGTGTAATGTTTATTTACTAGTTGGTGGATCTGCACAATCATTTGAAAAGTCTCCCTCTGATATATCTGACGCCGACACGGACATGATGACAGAATAAATCAGCCAAGTGTTTAGTTTAATATGCTTGAGTTCAATTTGTAATTTACAAATTACAAAGTTTTGAGTTGTGTCAACTTGCCCTTCTTATCACTACTATTAAATACCTTAAATTAGCCCACGTTCACTTATTAATTACAATAACTACAGTAAAAATTTACAATTTTACAATTAGTCATGATATTCACTACTTTACTTTTTAAAAACTTAATTTTTTGACTTATTTCAGTCTCTCTCTACTTTACAAGTCAAGTTGTATCATCAACAAACAATAGAAGTGCCGAATCTTAAAACTGGCTCGCAAACTAACTGCACAACGTGAGAAAGGAGATATTGAGTAGTTTTGAAAACTTAAAAAGCAAGCCTCAATTTAAAAAAATTTGAATTGATGTTATCAAATATCGACCTGCTAAAAATTATGATGGTGGCATTCGATTGATTTGGTTCGAATCCAGCCCGCATTGGTTTCGCACGTTGGGGGCGGAGCATCGCAAAACCCCGCTTCGAGTTTGCCCGATTCGCCCGCTAGGGGGCGCTTAAGGCAATACGCGGTCAGAGAGATTTGCCGTGCAGACATTTTAAAAACGTTTTTCAAGCGTTTTATTTTTATGCTAATTTCAACACTGAGGTTTTAAATTGAAAGTATTTGAGTATTTGGTTTATCTGAGCGCTAAAATAAAGTCATCGGTATGCATTTCGTAACTTTATGTGATTGATAATAGCATTTCGTAGGTTTTTGACGAAGTGTTTTACCTTTGAATTTCCAAGCTTTAACATTTTTCGGTAATATGTAGGACCGCTTGTTTACCACTTTGGAAATATATTCATTCCATTATGGATTGTGTTCATGTTACGATTGTGATTGATTTGTGATGCTGCTTACAACGTGTATTACTTCCGTCAACAAATGTTATCTATTATGAACTCGAATTAAAACAATTCATTCATACCTTGCACGCTAAACATGCTGGTGACGAGGATTATCAGTTTTGTGGTATTTGGTGAGCATTTTAACTAACCTATTAAGTTACCAAATACTTACGAGACCACCGATAAAAAAATGTTCAATTAGGTGGCGTCGTTTGCGGGTGTTTAGCAGCGCCGATGAAAGAGGTCAAAGATGAAAAACGCGCCGTTGTACGTGAATTAGTTTGAAGATCGATTTTGTAATTCATAATGTATTTATTCATATGCATTCATTTATGATTTTTAAGTAGATGTCCGGGGGAGGAGCGACGTACGAGATTTTTCCGTACAAACCCGGTAATAATCTAGACCCGTGGGCGCAAGCCAGACAAAATGCATACAGTTTGGGTGGTGGACCTGGTGGCGGCTCTTATGAGAATAATGGATATCTTCCAGGCGCTTATCCTGGGGCTCCTTCGCCAATGCAAACTTATCAAACCTACCCTCCCGGTTATCCAACTCAATAAGAGGCTTAGCTTTCCCATAGTAAACTACTTGGCTAGATAAGCAAAGGATCTTCCTTAATGTATCAATGTTGCCTCAAAGTCTGTGTATTAACGAAATTCCTGTAAATTTGTATGCATCAATAAATTTCCTTCGATATTTGATACGCCTTTGTTCTTTCACAAAAAAAAATTATGTAATTTAATCCAATTCATATTGTACACTTATCGTATAAATGTGTATCCTGAAATAGTGTACAAAATGCACATTTGAGTATTCATCCTGTAATAAAGCGTGTATTAGCTAATGGGATAAGCTTCTTAATCCATGAATGAGGCAGATTGAAAAACCTTTCGACATATAATCCAACGTCATCAATCAAGCTTTTGATTGATTAAACTCTGTACAGTGTACATATTCGCACAGATTCATAGACATGGCTTGACACAGAACTACACGAATATTAATCTATTACAAATTCATCATTGCTTCATTCGCACATCTATCCGATCCCCAGGGCTAAAGCTATATGAATCTTTACCATTCATTGAATTTGGCATTGGTCTTGGTGTCTTCTTTCTTTTTAACTGTGTTATGTACGTACATATGTACATATCCAGTTAAACAAACAGTAATTTAAAAAAATGACTCTTCACTTCAATGCAAAAGTGCCTATTGTTCAATCCCTCATAACAATCCTTTGTGAAATCTATTAAGAGAACCATTTAAAACTGCGAATCTTTTGATTATTAGTACAGTAGTAGTAGTAGCCAAAGTGTGGTATCACGTACATATGTATGTGTAGCATGTTTAAGAGTTAATACGAACGTTACATTACAAGAGCAGAACTTAATTTGCTTAACTGACATGGTAAATCAACTATTTATATCACTCGTGATGGGTGAGATCTGTGGACGCATTAAAAGTTTAGTGTAATCGAATAAGACGAAAATTGCCATTGCAAAAAAATGGTCAAATGTCTTCTATCTTGTTAGAGTTTTGTTTTGTCAGCACAATTTCTGCATGAACACGACATACTGGATCTTGAAGGTAACGTATTAAGATATTGAGTAACATGAAGTATTATAAATATGAGATAAATATTGACAAAGTGTCGAATTGCAATTTTCAGCATGCATGCACATGCTTAGTGGCTGCCCTTTAATACTCAAAGTGCAAAATGTGAATGCAGAAATAAATGAAAACTCTTAAATATTATCAACTTAACTTTCCTGGAACTGCAAAAGTGAGCAGAAATGGAAGACATTAACACAACCAATTAATTTTTACTTCATTTCAATTTGAGAAGTCGTAATATCGAGTTCGTTTCTTGATCGTGGTAGAAAGAAGCAGGATACGAATATAATAATTTATTTAGCAATACTTTTTTTACACGTACATACGACTCCACCACCCGAATTTGCAGCATTATTACTGCAGTGATTAAAGTGGCAAAAAGTGAGCACACCATTATATTTGCAATCACGTCACCGTGTTAATATCTATGTATAAATATTTACTCGTGCATTAATACCTACATACCTATTTAGCTCAATACAATAATGCGTGTACACCTGTCATTACTTCTGGTCGTACTATGGAGTAAGTACATTTATTCGATGAAAATGTTTTGATAATAATATTTAAGCTGTTGTGTCATTAAAATAAAATATGATTTTAACTTTAGTCACAGGAATCTTTTCTGCGACGATATTTGATCGCAAAAATGTGGGGCGGAAAACTGGTATGAAGCGATTCTCGCCCAAAGTGACCAATCAAAAGTTCAAAAAGCTCGAGAATGATGCATCAAAACGGCACATTCAGACTTTCAGAGTTCTGAACTCTGATGAAGCAGAAGAGTTTGCAAGACGACTGGAAGATAAGACTCAAAAGTTTAATGATGACACGAGCAATGGTTAGTACATAAATCGTCGTTGTATTTGGGGTGAAAGTTTCGTAAATTTTTGTCACTAATGGTCTTTTAATAATCTTTTTAGAGAGGAATATTTGGCGATCTCATCCTCAAAAACCAGACTTTGAAGGCCCTGATACTGCTTCCGTTATGGGATTAGGATTTGATTAACGTAGTTTTTTTTGGTGGTAGTTGTAATGACAATATTGTGTATTTCGTTGTTTGACACTTAATTTATTTATCGACGAGCTACAAATATTCCAACATTGATATTACTTTACAACCATTGTGAAATCGTAAGACTTTTATGATGCAAATCGTGTTCCTTGCATGATTCGTACATATTAATGATGACGTCAAATAAATGTCAAACATTTCTCATTTTTTAACAGTGCATATACCCAAATTTATTTTGCCTCTGAAATAATTGATTGTGTTTTAGGGTAAAATTATTTTCCGATATAGGTTCCTCCTGCGTAGGGGTTTACGATGCCACATCCATCACACAATTGCGACACGCCGATTGGCTTACCGTTAAAGAAAGCACGTCCTTTCATTGGTTTTGGTGTTGTTGTGTCAGTATTTTCTATACTCGAAAATTTTACAAGCAATTTATAAGTCAATTATGTATTAAACTTTTTTAAAAACTTTTTACTTTTAACAAATTAAACGTTACCATCTGGACTTCGCCTGTTTCTGGAGTCATCCGTTATGTCGTCTTCAAATGGCGTAAATTGCGATATCTGGCTGTCCGAGATGGACCTCTTCATTCTGTTGTGGTGTAAGGTATTAGCGAATCCCTTTTCTTCGAAAACGGCCATCTTGTCCCCATCCTGAACGGTTCCGGCTGGAGCAGCAGAACTGCTTCCGAATGCTGGCGCACAAATATAATTCCAATTTAATCAAATTAAAATTAAAATTAGAATTTTGTAAATCTTACCAAGCAATAGCAGTGCAGAGATTGTTAAAATCTTCATGGTGGCAAAGTTGGGCTGACCGTGATGATGTTATTATAAATACAATTATATGTGTAAGTAAGTTTCATATTGTTAAACGATTAATCATGTACGGTAAACAACCAAGTAGGTACATACACTTCCTGTTATGACATATTGTTACAATTTGTCGGTTATTTTTCCTATCTATTTATTTATTGTTTTTATTTTATTATTATTTTACTTACAATTATAGCCGTCATTTAAAAATTGTCGACCGAGGCGTTCCTAGTTCGCCTCCTTTAAATTGTTATAAAAATAGAGGTATACCTATGCATACATTTTTGGAGCTCATGATTAATGCATGTACGTATGATTTGGTTGTTTAAACATAGTAAAATTTTAAAGCACTAAAATTAAAGATTGAAATATTTACATGGGAGCTAAAACATCATTCCAACAATGGTTTCAAAGTCCAGGACCTAAAAATTCAGTGTTTTGCATGAAACATAATACCAGCATACATATTTAATAATTGATTTCACTGTGCATCATGAATCTGTATAGCAATCTGGTGTAATATAGATTCATGCTGTACATAGATAACAAACTGTGTCAACTGACACCGTGATGTCAATGCTTACTTATAATGGATGTTGATAATTCCCAGAAGTACACAATGGATCCGTTTTAACAAATATGTATTTCAAACCCATCCACAAACGTCTACAGTATTTAAAACTGTCAAAAAACTTCTGGGTTTAATTTTAATGCACCAGGAAATACAATTGTTGGTTTCAATTGTCCAAATTTAGAAAAATTAATTAAAATTCTGTATACTTAATTACGAAGTTGTCTTTAGTCTTTCTTTAGACTACATATTCTAAAACTTGAATTTTAAAGCTTGAAAACCGGAATTCGTCTCCTCTCATGATGAAAGGAATATTAGTAATAGCTTTCTTTGTTGTAATCGCTAGTAAGTTTTGTTTATTTAAATATTTATGCATAACTTTAATTGCATAAATTCATTGTTTCACGTTTTTCCTTTCTATTATCATTTCCAGTTGCCAGTGTAAATTCCAGGATTTCCGACGATGTGGGTGGCACCATGAATCTTATGTTCGATGGAGAATTATCGCCTTCAAAATATATGGCAGTAGAAGTCGACCCGTACGACTATCTCAATGATCTGACCCGAGTTAAGAAGAGTTTGGAAAGAAGAAGTATAATTTCTGACACATTTTGATCATTAATCCGCATACATTTTAAATGATTGAAAAACTAATGTGGTTACAATTTAGGACTGAGGCCAGGAGGAGTTGTACGACGTAAACGACAACCATGGACCAACAGCCTCTAAATAAACAACAAATTGACAGCATCACGTACCATAATTTATAGGAACATTTATTAGCAATATGTTACGATTTATTTATCATGTAATACGCCACGAAATAAATAGTTTCTTGTTCATGAAATTGATTCAAGAATCTGTTCAGAAATGAGATTCGCGTAATGAGACTTTCTAATTCCCTGACAACCCCAAAATGGCAACATGCTAAAATGTACCGATTTTTGTAACGTCTTTATAAAATTAAAATTATTTGCCAGTTCCAATTTTGGTTAATTTTCCCGTTATCCTCCCAAACGGTCCAGTCACCAAGTATAGATTCACAATGGCTTCACTCAAGTGTCCAGTTCGGTTCGGAGATGAAGACTGCGTTGAGACAGGCTGGGTATCGACGTAAGTCTCACTTCCTGCATTATCACTCAACAAGATTTGCATATGTATATAAAGTCAGTACTAATGGAAGTACTTCATATAGTCGTCCAAATGTGATCCACGGCCCAAAGCGGTACTCTGCTGAGGAATGGAGCTTGGCTGAAACAATGACTCACAACGCTGCAGAGTCAGAACAACAATCCGCCGGTAAATTGAGACGAGAGTGCATTGTCAAAATTTATGGTGGCTTTATTTCACCGTTCGAAGGGTTAACATTATACAAACCTAGAAATCATGTGCCTTATTTCGTTCATATTTCTTATCATTTTTGAGGCGTCCCCACACCACACGCTCGCATAAACATTGACTTGTGCTACAATCTACTAATCCATAATGCTTTGTTAGAATGGGTGCTGGCCGAGGCGGCTCGTCTCGCGGAAGAAACTCGCGAAATCACTGATCGTGCACAAGAGGACATTGACTGGAAGTTTAGGCAACGCTTCCGGGAAATGGAGCATTGGCGAGACGAGATGAAACTGAATTTCGGAGATCTTAACAGCGAAATTGATGCCATGAGCATTTATCGGAGACGTTTGGAAAATGCACTTTCCACTCTTTGTCAAATCATACAGACCAATGATGAAATTTTGAAATTAAGGTTAACTATGCATAAAATATAATAATAATTAGTATAAGAAATAGTGATTAATTGTAATAACTGCAGAGACTGCCGGATTGGAGTGGACCTCGTTAATGACGAACCTCAGAAACAAATCCTCCAAGAGATGAAAATGGTTGAAGGAATTCAGTCCGTTCTCAAGAGAAACATGGAAGTGTGCACGGAACAGTTGCGACTGATTCGAAAATGCGCCGTAGTTCTTGGACGACAACTCCGAGACAAGGACACTGCCATTGACGTGGATCGGATCGCATATAATTTTGATGAACATCGAGCCAGTGTTCAGCGACAATGCGAAAAACTTTGCATTGACGACGTCAGGTATTTAAAACAAAGTTATGTAAATGGTTAAAATTGATAAAAGCAATAATCGTTTTCTATCCATATTTTAGTGGCAATGTAACCGAACAGGATTGGATCGATGCTACAGAGAAAAGTAAACTTGATGCTGAGAAAGCAGTCAACGCTTCCATCCAATTTCGTACCACGATTGATAGCATCCTGCGACAAATTTGTGAAGATTTACGTAGAGAAATTTGCCTCACCAATTTCACTTTCGAACGCCGCCTTCGTGAAGTTATTCAAGCCAAGGAACGAATGGAATTTCAGCATTCAGCCGTAATTGCTTAAACGATTTTTATGTATATGCATAGTATTTTTTGTTTCATTTTGTTATTATTTTCCAGATTACTGTAAAAGTACGAGAAATCGAGGGGACAATTTGTAAGCTGAGCAAAGCATTTGAGGAGCGACAAAGTGCTGTGGCGTTGGCTGAAACTCGAGCATGTATTCGTGGGCAGAGGCCGAACATGGAGAAAATTAGGTAATGTTTTCTTCTTTAAACTGGCCAGTATTGATATTTTGGGTAAATTATGAGACGTCAATTCTAATTCTTGACCACTGCAGAGATCCCCTTCAACGCCGTCTGTACTTGGCGATTGAGGACGAGAACGAACAAATGACGCGGATCAATCGTAAAATCATGGAAGCCAATGTCACCATACGGAACTTACAACGAAATCAACTGGATTTGGAGGAGATGATCAATATCAAACTGAAAACTATTGCTATTGATGAAGTTCAAGTGATCCCACTTCGTAAAAGTATTAACATTCAAGAGTATTAACGTATCTTCATTACCATTCTTACAATTTTTCATCCTCATTAACCAATTTGCACTTGTAAACTGTATAATGAAATGGTCTATATACACACATCTCTAATATGTAACAAGGCGAATTTTAAGTTATACATAAACTGACGTATGACCAGCCAATCTGTAACTGCATACATAATTTCACATCATCGGAAGTCATGAATCTTTATCATTTCGACTTTCCCCACAAGGCATCAAACCTCTGCTTTTATAATTATTAAAGAAATTTCTCAAAAAGTTTGCGCATTTCACATGCCATCATTTCCAAGTTGGGAACAAAAACTTTTCGGATTCCAAATTATCACCGTGTTTCACAGCAGTCCAATGTTCATCACGAATGGGAGGAGATAAAGCAGCAACAAGATAAATAAGTTAAGCTTCTCGTCCCTATCTCAAAATAGTAAATAAATTACAACACACACGCCTCCTCATATACGCAACACAACACAACTAAAAAATGAATTTGGGTCGGTCGGTCAGTTGTGCATTTTTAACAATTGAGGATGAACTATGACTTTACTAGTCGATTTGGGAAGTTGGAACCGTCTGGTTCTCAAAGTTCTATTCTCGTATCTGAAATATGATACATTACTCTCATGCATGTAACACGTTTCCGTAGCCATTCACGAAAAATGGTGTTAAGCAGACAACACACATTGCTGGCTATCTGATTCTAGTTTCTTACGGTGAAAATCGAAAACCTTTGTTCACCCACAATAACCTTCCGTACTCACTCACTCACCTGGCCAAATCCTTACAACATATTCTTGCCAACGCTTTTTTACGGGGGTGCTTTTGTTTTATGGAACACGAACCAAAATCGTTACATCCATCTCCTCCCACAACGTCGACCTCACTAACCTACACAACCCACCAATGCATGAGAATTTCCCCGATTTTCATTTATTTTCTCCAGTTCGACAGTTCTATCAGAATTTTGATCCTCCTACCGGCCCAGTAGCTTTAATTGCAATTTATTTATAATTGTATATCTATGTGTGAGTATCAGTTATTGCTTATTGGATTTTGTTTCTAAATCGGTCGGCTCCACACAAGACAGGAAACGAATGAGCAGGCGGATCCCAGATATTTATTCATAGTCAAAATTGTGTCTGCTTTGTCCCACATTTTCAACATAAATTTTGGGCAAGTTTACTTGGCTTTGTCTGCTGTTCATACTTGAGTTTGATTGAATATGTACAAAGGAAATTGTTAAACTTGTCAGGAATCTGTTCTCAAGACACATTCTCATCTCGCCTTGAGTATTGGATGACGAATGCGCATATTTTTTAAGTGCCCAAAACTGTATGCAAGATCAAAAAGTCACAGAAAACTGCTGCTGCTGTTTGCATGTCATGTAAAATTGTGCAACGCTCCTACAAAATATTTTACTGTTCACGAGAAAAATAGCTTCAAAATAACATAATTAATGTCTCCCTCTCATATTCTGCACCTTCCGTCTTAATTCCCACACCATCCATGAGAATAATGATGCCATTCGTGCGAAATCTTGTGAAATCAAAGTCTTATACAGCTCTTAAAAATGATGGGGTTGCATTAGCCGTGTTATTAAAAAATATGAAGGACTTTGCTAAATTAGTAGAGAATTACATGGACCTCAAATTCGCTTCGGCTCAATTAACACATGTCATAAATAAGACTATAGAACAACCTAAGTCATGTCAGCACTTATATTTTTATTAAAATTGAGATCTCACAATTAAAGGCTGAATCATGAATGTGTCACATCAGTTCAACTGGCCATGACGAAAGTTGAGATGACTTATTCAAACTACAATACATAACTTTATATGACGGCAACAATTTGTAACCTCGTACATGCTAATCAAAACGAAACACTTTGAAAAAGATATTAAAATCCCATCTACTTAAAGTAAGTAATGCAAAAACTCCATGATCGTTTTATGCTTCAAATCCTTCATACATAACCAGGCGAAACTTATTACCGTCCATTCATCAAGGAAAATTCTTACATTCTTTAATACATTTTACTTTTTTGCGTGTTCTTATTTGTTAAAATTTTTCATTGTCAGCCAGCAAACTTGACAGTTTTCCCATTTCCATTGTATTTTTTGGTGATACGGACGGACAAAGAGTGGTAAAATGTAACGTTTACAAATCTATAATATTTACATCATATGAACGCCGTATTTGCGTAACGAAGAAGTTATTTTGCTCCAAATTAAATTAATTTGGCATTCATGGCCTCTCCTCTCCCACCCAAATAACAATAATGATGAGAGACAGATGATCGTTGTGGAAGAACAAGTTACCAAATTTTTACCTGCTCGCATTATTCAACCCACATTATTTTGCATTCATTCAACATTTCATAATTTTGTAGGCACGTCATAAATAATTTATAAAACAGAATCTCAGCCCTCAACCAATGCATTGTTGGGACGACGACTCGAAAAGGAATGGCAAGTCAGGCCAAAAGTAGTCAAGAGAATGGGTCGGAATTGAAGGAACTTTTAAGAGAATCAACTCCCTTTTCGTTAATGGAGTGAGACTCCATTTTCAGTTTCAGTAATTGACAAGAGGAGACCAAACCACGGAGCGAGATGGACAAGAGCATATCAATTGTTGTTGCAAAACTTCCGAAGAACAATAATCTGTAACGTTCCCTAATTTCAGAGATGAAATGGAAAGCGTTGCATTATTGCAGACAATTTCTCCCTGCATATACATACGACGGAACTATCGTCAGTTACTGTCAACTGTTGCATAACCCGCGTCATCGTGCATGTGTGTGCAACGTAACTTATACCAATTTAAACCCTTTGTTCGCAAAGTGTCCGTTTTCATCACTATCGTCCAATAAATACCATTACATAGTTAATTAAAGTAGTAAAATCCTTAATTTACAGGCTCAACTCTGTAATGATTTGGAGTAGAAAGTATGTAACTATACTGCGTATACCGTGCTACACACGTGTCGCTACAGATTCAATTATTTATTTTGTAGGTGCAAACGATGTACCCTTTTTCACTCGGACGATGGCGAGATATCGATCAATTTCCGTCAATCTTCATCACAATTCGCAATAATAAAGTGTAAAGGTATTCTAAATTCGCTGGGGGTTTGTTAACGCTGGTACACCACACTCATTATGTGACACCTTTCACTGCATTCTTTCAATATAAAGGAGAGTAACACGCTACTGAACAAATGAGAATTAGCAACAACAATATTTCTATGCTAGCCGTACACGCCGCGACCACACCCAGTTGTAACTAACAAGAATGAATGATTGCAGTGCATGCCAAATTCATACATTGTACCAATAAGCTAATAATAATAAGAAGCCATATTGATATCATTCATACGGTATAAATGACAACAGAACGTAAGTATTTGTTTTCTGTGATAGTAAAATAAAAAAATGTGTACGTATCGCTGCTCTCATAAACTCTTTTCGTACAATGCATTAAACTAGAGGACAAGGAGCTATCTAATTTCATTTTCAGCTTCAGACCAAGTCCCATAATATCTCGAATCCGTCATCATTTGTTTGATGAATGTTATGTCAAATCCAAACAAATACCGCGCAGTTAATAAAATGCAGATATTGCCAAAGATTATAAAATAATGTTGGCAGGGCAAGCTACCTTACATATTCTGTTACATTCATGCACTTGATACGGTAGCGCAGACAAAAGAAGTTTGCATTGCATTATTATTGGCATCCTCGTGAATAAGGAGACTCTATTGACTTTAGATGACTTTCGATAAGGAGGCAAGATGAGATATGAATGTCACTATAGTGGAGCAAAGTCAAAGTCATCAAGAAGTATAAAAATTGCATTAATAAGGAGACCGACCGACACAACTACTGTTTGTTTAACCTTTGCACTCAATTTCTTAATTGATATTCAAAAGCTATCTCTTTCATTTCAGTTCAGCAAACTTGTTGCAGAGTGAAGAATTATAATAACGTATTGGATTGGATCAACCTTGGCGGCTTATTTGCTAAGAATGGAAGAATTCAATCTGTAGTAATGATGATGATGACTTGTGCCATCAAGTTTTACCTGTTATTGACTCGTGTCATATAATAAGCACGCAGATCTGATAAAATAACTGAGCGAGCGACAACGGAACGACGACACGGTAGTATTAAAGTAATAACAGTTGATTGAATATTATGCACTCTCATTATTAACATTTCTTGCTACTCGTGAACTTCTTAAGACAGGCTGATTAATTGTCAGTCATCATCCATTTTAAGAGTTTAATTATCTGCTAACTTTCGTAATTGCTGATGAATGAAGTTTCAAAGTCGCGTTTCGTCGTTTCAAAAGGTTGGCGACGACTACGACGATGATGACGATGATTTGCAAAATTACAGTAATGATGATCTAAACACTGACAAATTTTGAAGCATGTGGTTCACCATAATAAATTTGAAAATATTTGAACATGGAATTTTAACAAGGTCTGCATCCACAATCTGCGTGCATGTAACAGTTTCAAGATTTATTTAAATGTTTATCTTGGTAAAAAATCATAAGCAATCAAGACTCTTGTTCGCAAAATGAATGAATGTGAGTGAATACAAATAAAAGTTTAATTTATTGCATTGCATTAAGTACATCCTTAAACGGTGAGAGAGGTGTACATTGAGCGTTGCCTGTTGGACACACAGAAGCCATGGGCAAACAATATCAGATCAAATTGCCACCCATGAATCGAGCCCTATTCATTCCTCCAGTCTTGACCATTATGCAAAATTAATATTGATTGATACACGTAGCCAAGCCAAATATGTATGTATGATGCCATCGTTAAAATCGTTTATTTAACTAACTGATTCTCTATACTTGTGATGATTGATAAATAAATCTTATTTTTCGGGTGGATAAATTCAATGGTTAATCCATCAGTGTTCTGTAAATGACACTCCCATTCACTCTATTATTGAGGATTTTGGACCTTTTATGAATTGTGAAGAGATCATCCTTGACTAAATTAACTCCATTTTGGCTCGTTTTTTAGCCGTTTTTTTCTACTTTTGACTGTTGGCAGTGGGGCAGTAGTTGTTTGGTTAAAAGGGAATATCTACTACATGGTAATAATATGCACATTTTACTTTCAAGGTAATTGTTGTGCCCCACTTTGTCATGATTTTTTGAATAGTACGCATACACTTTGTGATGAGGTGTGAACATTTACAAAAGCTGAACCATAACCACCTATATTGTCACCCAGAGAGTGGAGGAAGAATGAATTCAAATTTGCAAATTTGAGGCAAGGGTGTGAGAAATCTGAGAGCAATTTTGTGACAATAAATTAGGCAAGTCTGGTAAATATTGCGTAATAAATCTGAATCGTGATTCATCAAATTAAAGGCTAATTTAGTATAATTTTTGCTACTATTGTTGCACACTGGTTGGGTTGTTTGGTTTGGTACATAATCATTAAAAAGGAACAAATGAGCAGGCAGGCAAAGGCAAGATATTACGAAAATAAGTTAGGTACTTACGTACACAGGAAGGATATTTATCTCCAGAGTGTACAGGTGAGAGGTACGGGACTGAATTTCTTGGAAAATTAATCTCTTAGTGGTTGGTTCTCATTTTTTGATTTATAACTAACCTACATATTTATAAGAAAGGCGAAATTTAGCGAAAAGAATGCTCTACTAATCTTATTAATTTTGAACCTGTATTAAACATATGCGTATACAAAAAAAACGCAGAAATTCCCATACATTTTTACCACCACGCTATTTCATATTATTAACATGGAAAGTTTCCACAATCTCGTTCGGTTAAAGAAAGAAATCATTTTTTGTACCCATTCCATCGTCGATAAGTTCCATGCACGTGGTGGAAGATTGAGATGGAGAAAGCCGTGTTTATCCGAGATTTGAGTCTACAGACTACACTTTCCTATATTTCATGTGATGTGATGACGCCTGATTTCCAACGATGCGGAACGAATGTAAGTTTACATTTTGCAAATTTCCATGCGAGATGAAGCAAAAGTATTATGCAAAAGCTCTGTATATGTGCTCCACGTATTGTAGTGAATGCCGGTTTAGTTGTCAAACTCCGAGCCGTTCAAGCACAATAAATGCGAAGTTGAGTATTTAGTCTACATATATTTAGTGTATATTTAGTCTAGTCTATTTAGTTAGGTTAAAAGTTGGGAATCAGTTTGTCTTTGAGAATTAAGAATTATTATTGCATTGGGTCTATCACTTTTAACTTAAAAAAGTCTATTGCGCACAATTTAAGCAGGTACATCTTCGTCACCATCCATCAAGTTTTTGTGAAGCACTGATTTCATGTGGTTTTGATAATTAGTAAAATGGTCTGAAACGTAATTACAGGTTATACAGAAATGCCATATCAATATATGTTCATCGTTGTGCTTTTGTGATAGTTCATGGTCCTCCCATTTTGATCTTTGTACTGTAGAAAACAAACACTTGCGACAAGTATAATTTGCATTTGGATTAAACTTATCTCTCCTTTTTAGGCAAGCCACTACGTGTGCATCAAATTGAACCTTGATAGGAGATGAAGCAGGGCAGTATGGGCAGTTATTTATGCGGTTCGTAATAGAGCCGTTGCATATTTTGAGATGTCTAGAGAGATTACCATTAGAAGTGCTTCGATAGCCACATCTATTTGAACAAACGAATGGCCTCTCCCCCGTGTGGATTCGAATATGAACGATTAAATCCGAAGGTGAACTACAAAATTGACCACAACCGGTGTAAGGGCACACACGATTAATTAATGTATCCGGGGTAGGTACAGGGCATGTTATTTGTGGTGCATCTTTTATAATTGGGTATTCCTCTGATGCATTTCGGACTGAACATTTGATGTTCACATGATCACTGAGACGCATTTCGTTATATACAGGTTGAACTGTTTGATTAAAAACTTGCATGGGTGCGGAAACTATAACATAGTCCAAAGTGGACATAGTCCACGCAGCATTTTGGAATCCGAATCTTGTGTAAATGTTACTCCGCCAAAGTTTTTCAGCAACATTCAAAAAATAATATTTTCTAAAAATCACGTGCATTTGGGCAAACAGTTTGCACCTTGCATCATATTTTGTCATACTTGGAATCATAACAGTGTTAAGTTTCATGGCATTGAAGTCTCCGAGCCAGATTGCTAAATGGTGTTGCAATTTGTTACACAATAAATCAATGTTTGTCAGAAATTGTGTTCTTAACATTTTTCTTTCTGGATCACCGCTGTGATACACCGGAAAATATATATTGACGAAGTAGATGCAGTGATCACTTAGTTTCGTTTTAACACCAATTATCATAATCCGTTCAGGATGATGATATTGTACTTCAGGATATGCGGTTTTCATGTTGATGTGAGTAATGTCGATGCCAATTTTGAATAACACGCATACCCCGTATTGCCAATAATTCGTGGAATATTTACTGCAGGATGAAAAATGATGTCGAACCCATACGAGTTACACAAATTCCTAATTTCGGTTTCCTTCGAAGGCTGTAATTTGGTTTCCTGGATGAAAACTAAATCACTCCCTTCCCAAGTTGGCATCATGCACCTAATCTTGATTTCATCAATGCCGTTAGCATTCCAGGAATGGTAATGCAGAACGGCGTCGTCGTGGCTCGTAAATTTTGGTTTCTTAGACAAAACGCCAGACATTTTGAGATCACAAATCCCTTGACCGCACAAAGCAGTTATTTAGGTAAAACCGCACAAAGCAGTTATTTATTTAAAACCGCACAAAGCAGTTCAGAATTACAATATAAACTAAATCTAAGAAATAAACATATACATAAATTTAACTGAATAAAATAATTCGCTGGCGGAAAACGGCGTCGAATGATGTTCCTAAAACACAAACGATGATTATTAATAATTAAATAATTACTTTGCTAACCTAGCTTTATTCATAATGATTAATTAAATCATGACATACTTACCAATAGCGAAGAAGAACGAAGACAGAAAACAACAAAACGAACTAAAAATCCGAAGTACGCCGCTCTTGAGGGAAATTATTTTTCTTAATTATTGCAATTAAAAATGAATCGATAATTATAAATTAAATGCTAACTTTGTTAACCTAGCTTTATTTCGATTGATTTCAATAAAAATTGTAAAAAACTTACCGTCAAAGAAGAAGGAACAAAAATTCGAAAAAGCGAATAAAAAGAAAAAAAATGGTCGACGAGCCTATAAAACCATTAATTCTCTTCTTATGCTTTGATAACCTAGCTTTACTTTTTTGTTGATTAATTGAAATCAAACCTACTTACCTATGATACCGGCACCACAACAAACTCTAACGATGTCGACGATGATGACGTTGAGAGGGGAAGACTTATGCCGATGACTATAAAATACACGGATTCTAATTATTAATTATTATTAATGGCTTATAAATCAATTAATCGTTAATTAAATACAAATTACCGAATTTATCTTCGAAGAGAGAGAAAAAATAACCACCTCGCACGTTTGTTCATCTGAGGAGAGTGAGCGAGCAGCAGCTGTGGTGATGGTGGCGGGTTCAGAGCAACGTTTTCCCACCAGCCACCACCACCACTACCACCGCTGATCGCTCACTCTCCTCTCGTCAAACGTGCAGGGTGGAACTCTCTCTCCAAAGATAAATTCGGTAATTTTTATTTAATTGATAAGCCATTAATAATAATTAATAATAATTATCCGTGTATTTTTATAGTCATCCTCTCAACGTCATCGTCCGGGTTTTGCTGTTTTTCAGAGGTAAGTAGTTTTTAAAGTTAGATTAGCAAAGCAAATTAATTTTGATTGGTCTCATAGGCTCAGCGCTTGCCGAACGGTCTTCCTTTTCTTCGCTTTTTTGTTGGCTGCTCGGTAATTTTGTACAATTTTTATTGAAATCAATCGAAATAAAGCTAGGTTAGCAAAGTTAGCATTCAATTAATAATTCTAGATTAATTTAAATTGCAGTAATTAAGAAAAAAACATTTCCACCTTCAGAGCGGCGTACTTCGGATTCTTATTTCTTTGTGTTGCTTCGAGTTTTTTGTGAAGGTAAGTTTTAATCAATTATTTAAATTTAAAAATCCCAACTTTTTTGAATTAGGAAAATCTCCAAATTATAATTTTTGAATTTGCAGATGGGAAAGTACAACCATCAGGTGACTGTCAGTGGACTCCCATTTGGGAGTCCATTTACTTTGACAGTTCCTAGAACTAGCAGTGGAAATCGTGGCGGCGGTGGTGGAAATCGTGGCGGTGGTGGTGGAAATCGTGGCAGCGGTGGTGGAAAGCGTTCCGGAAACGCTAAGCGTAACTGCCAAATAAAAAGAATTAACCACAGTTTTCGTGTTTTACATTTCAATTTTACTATAGATAAGAAAAAGAAGAAGCAAAGATATTGGCGCTGCAAGGAAAAGGGCCACTTCGGAAAGTAAACGAATTACCAATTTATTATTACATAATTAAACTGATATATCAACTTTCTTCATGAGGTCTAATTTAATGCTTTGTTTTTCAGCGAATGTAAATATTCAGAAGGAGTGGCTGCTGCCAAGAAGGCAGAGTTTTTAAAGAAAAAAGAAGAGAACGCTGCTACTACTGCTGCTACTGCATCTTCTTCTGTCAAGCCACCATTTGCAGGGTGGAAACAAGGCTTCGTTATGCCCACTCCACTCACCAATACTAATAATTTTGACATGAATTAGTGTTGTAATTGTTTCTTCTCGATTTTCTTAAATGAGTTTGTTTTTCTTTCGTAAATCAGTCACTTTATAAAATAAGAGAAATTTGGCGTGGAGCTTCGCCCCACTTATGCATTATTCCATTTTTTCCAGTCATTTTAAAAAACAAGAAAAATTGGCTTAGACCTTTGCCTATATTAACATTTTTGCATTGTATCCCGAACCAGGAAATCTTTCAAATTTCGCTTTTCTTTCCGGAACGAGGATGGAATAACGCGTCGACGGATAAAAAAACTTGGCCGCCTCAAGCACTATCAGTTCTGCGAGCTAAAACTAAGTTGCGTTAAACCAAACTAACTTTGAACATAAGAAGACTGTAAAAGGCCTACTTATCACGAAGGCCTCTGCTTCTGAGATTCTAGATAGAAAAAAAAAATCAACCGAGCCGATATTGTAGAAATTGTAAAAAGAAAACGATCCGAGATGGAAATAAATTTGCGATAGAAATCGGCTCTTCAAAAATATGAGAGATTTTCATAAATGGCATAAATGTGTTAATAATAATATGGGTGTACCATATACATACATTTTTTTATTTACGGTCGATCACTGTCTGCTGAAACGATTTTCCCCAGTTTTCTCTTTCGAAGGACGTTTTGCGTTCATTATCAATGTGAATGTTTTGAAAAAAATGACATATGCGGGTTGGATAAATGTGTGACACTTTTTTTGACATTTTTGTGACATGCCAACACCACTTGTAAATTTTATGAAAAGCCTCGAATTAAAAAATTGACATAGGTACATGCTGAACATTGTTTCTAAATATTATTTATCCTGGTGGAAAACCAACAAAATAGTTATTTCAATCTTTAGTCAAACTCTTTCTGTCTGACACTTTTATCAAGAACATTGTCAAAGTTTCTCAAATTTACATTCAGGGAGAGTGATACATAATTTAAGCTGAAGGAGACAAGCGAGGGCGATTGGTGTAAGAGCGCATGTTAAATATGACTCTAATCTAAGCGGAGGAATGAAACAACAAAATGTAATAATTATTCTACTGAGAGTGGTTTGCTGTGATAGTTCTCATAAACTTTTCACATTGATTATGTAACTAATGCATCTACATTATGTAAGTGCGAACTCATTAAAGATATATCTAAACATGCCCAAGCCCAGTTTAAGTAATGGTTCACATTTTAAAACAAAGCGTGTGATTATGTTATTATCATTTGAGCAGAATTTTAAATCAGTGCGGTAATAAGTGATTCGAGGAGTAAAGCTACTTGTCAGGAATATCAAAACAAGATGTGTGATACAACTTTCAGAATTGTGATAGTGGAGGAAATGCTGCGATATGAAACGTTGTATGTATGCATAAATTCCTTCTGTCTGAATGTCTCACTTATGGAATACATAGATCTAAATCTCGATTTTATTCTGAAAGTTTCCTCCCAACTTGGCCATGTAATTTACACATCAAAGCCGAGTTTGGGCCCACAATCCACAAAATTCAGGCCAAACTAACCACACTTGAGAGTGAGCTGTGCAATTTGCGAATTGCATTTCATCCAGGCCAACTCCGTCCAGTAATCTCGTCTCGCATTGCATAAGGATAATACGCAAAGTGGTAAAAGTATATGGTGTTGGACAGATTTTAGAAGACAAGACTTGATTCCCTTCCGTATAGATGTGTCATATTTTGTCAGGCTTTAGAATGTGCGAGGTCAAAGTAACCATGAATGTATGAACATTTAGAAATTTGAATTGAAGACTGTATTACTTCTCACTCATTTGTCGCATATCTCGTTTCCTTGCTGTTGACATTTTACATTTCTTGCTGAGACAGACTGACTATGCAAAATAGCATTTTTGCTTTTGAATGTTGCACAAATTTGCAACATTCCACTGTGTTCGTGTACTTTGGACAGGCATGTACATACTTTTTCTGACTCATTTCTGTATTGTGCTGCTATGACTGGTTGGTATTTGCCAACGAAGCTAAACCAAGGAGAAGAAGAGGTCAAAATTAAACAAATACTGAGTTGGACAATATGCAGTAGAAATTGTCGAATCTGCTAAAAAAATAAAAGTAGCAAATTTCCTTGTGCCAAAACAGTTGGGGAGAGGTTTATGAGGGAGACGTGAGTTAATTAGCAAATTCAAGCCAAATTTTTAAATTTATGTTTTGCAACTGAGAATAATAAATGTCCAGAACCAAAAAAAAATAGCGGTACACTTTGTAAAAATAACCAGTCGTATGCAATATGTGTATAATGAAATCGAGTTTCGTAGCTGGGTGGCAATTGACCATTGATGATATAATCAAGTAAATGGTCTCAAATTATTGCGCTTTTAGAGCTAAATTATCTTGTGAATTTGCATAATCCGTTACAATCTCCCATCGTCCAAGTGCTAATTTAAACTTGATGAAATTGCTACTAATAAAATTGGCTCCATTTTCCATAATGCGTTGAAGCAGCAGCAGCATTACAGGCATTTTGCATCACTCACTTTAACGAAATGTTACGCACATGGAGTCCAAGTCAATACACCAACAAAAGAAGGCAACAAGTATCTACTAGATAATAATGGTTCATCGTCCTAATCAACTTTTCAACTAATGCATTGCTACTAACTGGATTCGCAAAATTGCAATTTTGCAAATGCAGCCAGGTACGTACATTAGCTAGTGAGCCGAGCAAAATGAAACTGAAAGTATGTCGAACAGAAGCAAAACTAGTACAACAACATGTTTTAGGCTTACAATCTGTTACACAAAAAAGTAACCAACACCTACACATTCCTATGGACGTATATGCATCTGCTGCATCCCAGATTTGCGTTCATTTTCCTAGTTGCTTGCATGACACGACTCAGAAAATAAATTCTCTTGTCCATCCATCATCACAAGTAAATGATGGATATAACCCAATCATCTCAGCATTCATTCATTCCTTCATTCATCCATCCTTCATTTATTATTACTCACTTTTCAACGAATGCAGTCTCATCGTCGCGCAATTTGCGACTTGGTGTAAGTAAACTACACAATCAAGTAAGACAAGCACCAACTATTCCAATTTGGATTACTTAACTCTGACGAGAATATTACCACCGGTCGGATACTTGCGTTAGTAGTAAATAGTGCAACCAAATAATGAGAAGCGGATTGTTCTAAGAATAATGTATGCATGTACAACACGAACATTTTCCTCTGCCAAGTACACATTTGCAAAAAATACAACATTATGTAGTATATGCACTTAAGTAGAGATAAGTATCGCCGCTGTGCACTACGGAAATATAAATCACATCAACCTGTTATGCAGTAGAAGTCACTATTTACTCCGGCATTGTCTTAATTACAAAGAAAAACTGAATTGATTGCGAGTAAAGTGCAGCATTATTGACGAACTGTCATTGTGCACACTACACATTTGATTGTGAGTGCCACAGATAAGATGTTATCTGTAGGAACATAGTTTAGATTTAAAGGGGCCGCATTTGTCACAGGATTGTACATAAGCAATTGTTTGTTGCGGTTGGAGTAAAGTGCATGTAGCCTTTCGAAATCTCGACATTGATCGTATTAAAGCATGCTTAGCTTAGCTCTCTCAGCAGCGTGTACATGTGTATAAGAGGGCTAATTAACATTTCATTAATCTTGGCTTTAATTATCTTTGTAATTGTTTTCCACTTCATTTGATTACACAACTGATCTGATTTACAAACCTGACTGACTTGACTGATTTAGATCTAAATGACACTGACGAGAGAAGCGAGGGGGTGGTGGAATACATGCATTATCCATATGCATTTATGAGTATGGAAATGTATACATTATCCTCTTATGTACATACATACGGGTCAGAATCAATGCATTTTATGTCAAAGTAATCAAGCACAGTTCCAGAGACCATTATCCCACAAACAACTTTTTTATTTTTGCACCTGTCCCACTGGTCACTCCAATTGAAATTAGTAAGCTCTACAAGAAATACCTAAGTGTTACAACTGTGTATAAAAGAAACCCAAAAAAGGAAAGCTTAGATGAGGCTAAGAAGTGCGATAAAAAGTATTTAATAAATTTCTTCTCCAGTCAAGGATATAGAATTTTAATATTTCCGGTATTAGCGCCCCATTTCAATTTAAGCTGACTAAATTGCATAAGCAACATGTTTATGTATACATATTGCTAAGAGTCGACTCTATTAGGTCAGACCTGTATATTTATCAACTTTCTGTATATTTGCAAGCATTCATAATTTTTTAGATTTGATGCATATTTGTTTGTATATGGTAGTGAAATGGGGCGCTGATGCTGGAAATATTTAAATTCTATATCCTTGACTGGAGAAGAAATTTATTAAATACTTTTTATCGCACTTCTTAGCCTCATCTAAGCTTTCCTTTTTTGGGTTTCTTTTATTTATTAGTTTTTATTTGTATTAAAAAGTAAGGTCAAAGGTCCCATGAACTCCCAAAAATGTCCCAAAAATCCGACTGGGTACATTTCCGAGAACTTTTTCCCAAACAACGATGAAATTCAGAGACTTTATCATTCATCATTTTTCAAGAGACCCAAGCGTAGCCTAGATACTAAATTTCAAGCAATCGTGTTCTGAATTGAAAAGTTGCTGGGCCGACCTTAGCAACTAACCTTTGGGCGGTGGTGGGAGCGGTCAGATTTCACCACCATCAAAACTTTCTCAGTTTTAAACCGATTTGGAAAATTTTAATTTTGTATTTTTATAGAAAAAATGTATCAGCTTTTTATCCGTGTACTTTTTTCATACATGCCTTAAATTTTTTCAAATCTCCAAAAAACACACTATTGGTTGGGTTTCTATTGAATATCTCATAAACCGTTGGATGCTTCAGGCGGCCAAATCAGGGCTCTACTCGATGTAGCCATAATTAACTCTGAGCAAAATTTCATTAAAATCGGTTGGAAATCGACGGAGATCTGAAAAAATTAAGCTTTTCAGACCTGTAGTGAATGCTTACTTAGATGATTTTTTTCGATATAGTAACTATGGCCTCATCTAAGAAAAAGAATGTCACAAAGAAACTAATTGCACAAGTATTCCAGCAATTTTTGTCTGCATAGATTTTTCCGCATGACCAAAATCCTTTAATTTTATATTAATCACTTGAATATCGGCTGGAAGACAGATATCGAGGAACATTACTCATGTCATGTCGCAAGTCGCCAAAGAGAAGATAAATTATTCTCCAAGTCCAGTGTCATTATCCAAACTCAATTGAATCCAATCTAGTCCAAGTGATTAAACATTCATTTCATCCTCTGTGTTTGTGTAACCTTAATCAAACTTGTAATGTCGTAAATGAATAGAAGTAGTATAATGCAAGGATTACATATTAGAGCACAAATTCACATCACGATGCAATCAGTTTGATTGGCAAAGGTAGTAATGAGGTATTACCCTTGCTGGCGTCCATTACTTACAGCTAATGTCATTAGGTAGATGTACAAATGTCGCTTCCAGTAGCAAGCACTCGTCAAATAAATATTTGTATGTTGTTGGGTACAAGAATTTGTCCAACTATTCCATTTTTTATACAGTAAATAAATACGTATTATTTGCTATTGTGAGATGATTACTTCAATCCAACAACAACCCATTATTATTTGGAATACTCGTAAATTTGAATTTCAAGGCTAAAGTAAATTGTTTTTGTGAAATAGTTCAACAATTTTACAACTTTATTTACCACTGATGGAATCTGCTTTTAGTGAGGATACGACAGTTGTTCAAAGGTTATTAAAGAAATCTATTGCGATTGCACTTTTTTCATATTTTCCCATCGGCTAAAAACGAATTCATGAGCGTAATAAAATAGGAAGAGACACGGTTAGTTAAAAATTGAGACATGAAACTAATTAGAAATTATAAAGCGGTCTAAATCAGTATAATGCATAATATTCTTTGTACTATAATATCCACGAGGAAGGAAGGACAGGGACACAAACTTGCAAAGAGGTCCTGTCGACAGAAGAATTGCAAAATTTACGAACTTGTACAGTCAATCATAATCAAGTCATAATAAGATGTTGCTTTGTGTTAGGATGCTAATTAAAGGCAATTTAGGATTTGAAATTTGCCATGTCTAATTGTTTCGCATGATTTATACAATATTTTGCATGCGTAAAAGTATACTCGAAATAATCGACAAACTCTTGATGGACATGGGACACAGGAAGGCCAACAAAACTACAACTTGCTCTGCTCCTGTCATTCAATTCCAACCGTTACAAAATAGTGCTTAATAAACTGTAGTGGTAATTTATCCCTTCAAACATTTAAGGCTATCACTACTACCAGACGACTAACTTCCTTCACTAATTTTAATTTGAACGGGTTATATTTTAACTAGATCAGGTCATCGTATTTTATCACTTGATAAATAACACACACAGTTTCGCATATTATTTATTTATTATTAGTGCATTATTGGCTCGATGTAATAATGAATAAAATACAGACAACACTCTTCGTGTGTTTAGGACAAGAATAATAGCGTGGCGAATGGCAAAGTTTTCTTTTTTCAATGAGGAGAGACATGAACTTATCGCGTTAATATAAAGCAAAAACCTGTTTATCATCAAATCAAGCCAGTTGCACTGCATTTATTACTCCGTCCGTATGTGTAGCACTAATACGTACAGTAGTGAGCAGGTAGTGGACAATTAACGCTTTTAATTACGACTCATAACGCACAGTAATTATAACGTTACGACATCTTGGTCCTTCTCAAAAGCTAAAATTTGGTTCGTCGTAGTGTTGTAATAAGTACGACAAATGAATATCTTGCTTGGCAACCCACCTCACTCACGGTCGATTGGGCAGGGTCTGATTACTTCCAAGATGCGTCAGTCAATCTTCCTTTATAATTCATCAGTTTTCAAAAGAACAAAAGTACACCACACAAAATAGACGATGCCATTACGGTCAGCACTTTATATTCGTGTGCGCATCTACGTAACTCTGTATGCACGGCGTGAACTATTTAAAAGAATAAAGGTGGGTGGACCACTTTCGGTTTCATCTTTTAGTAGAAAAAGCACCACTTAATGGTCGGCGTGGAGTGTTAATTAAATTTATTTTATCTCATTTGGTTTGGTTTTCATAGTTGATGGGAGTTAAGGGTATGGAAAATTGTTGTGTTCAGAGTACTGGGTCATGTTGGGGGTAATCGCATCTTTTTAATTTTACATGTCTCTTTCTGCGTAGGACTAACTGAACGAACATGCTGTCCGAATGAATGAATGAAGAGAATTACAAATTCTACCATAATTTCGGACAATCTCTTTTCCCGTGGTGGCATAGAAAGTGGTCAGAAGGTAAAACGGAGATTTAATATTTTAAAGGTATTATTCCTCCTGGAGTTGCGGTGATAAGTATGCATCCGGCCCGTATGGCTTGAAACTCTTAACTTTTCAGGTACATATTCCACGCACGAGGTGCTCTACTCCCATTATACCGAGTTAAAAATTTAGCCACTCATTTACCCCCTCAAAAGGAGGAGATAGAGCAACTCAATTAATTGAATAATTTATCTGATTACGTAGTAACATAGCCACAATTACATGGGTTAGCATTTAGGGAGATTGATCATTTCCCAAGTGAAAGAAAATATGTAATATTACGTTAAAATGGTGAATTAACGAAGTGAAATGAAAATTTGAGACGCTTAAAAGTCTGTAATGAAAAGTTTGGCCGGAAGATTTCGTGCAGTGCCAGGTTTTGTGAATGCAAGTTTGTGTCATATACTCGTGCATGAACATAGAAACTTAATATTACATGAATGAATGTATTTATCATTGTACGCAGTGCATACCATTTGGGATTTATTTACTGATTTCCTTATCATTAGATTTCATAGTGTACACAATTTTATCTAGAAATACTTTTTGACTGCTGAGATGAGTCATGACAAAAAATTCCAAGAAAAATACTGACTTTCTCTAAAAATTTTCCAAATACTTTGATAATTATATACCTTTAGCAATCATCACATTTGTAGATCCTCCCCACCCACATTTTATGATAAACGTCACCATATTTTCCAACCAACTCCCACAAAGTCTTAAAAACAAAGAATTTTTGTGATCATCCGGCTCTCTCGGTCCATTTCTCTTCATTGTTTTAAATGGAGTAGGTGGGACCCACCTTAATCCAGCTTTTCTTTTCCCGTACCAACAAGTCTAAACTTTGACAACAATCCCCAAACCAAAAACCATGTTAAGAAAACCTTCCAGCCAAAACTTCAACTTTTGATCTACTGACCTGACCAAGACCGATCCCCAAAACGTATGTCTTGTATGTAGAATATACATTACAAACGGAGCATTATTGCATTGTGGGCAGAACCTGGACTTTGACGTTTTGGAGAAATTCCCAGAAATATTATTTAGTTTTAGAATTCATGGGAAGAAAACGATAATACAAAGGATTATAGTTTACTAATCTACCAACTCATTAAGACCTACGCGCAGTCTTATTAAAACATGAGCCCAATGCATTTCGGAATTGGAAACCAGTCTCTCTTCTTTCTTTCTCTGTCTGGCACACCGAAACACCAACCACCTAACCAAGTAGATTTCAAGTGTCTGATTTGTAAAACTTGAAGATAATGTGAGAGAGTACCCTTGAGCCCTCAAGAAGGGACAACGTTACTGTACTGTTCCTTACTCCTGGACCGCCATACATGCCATTCCCTGATAAGAAATGAATGTTGAGGAAGGGTCGGAAATTATGTGTCAAACAATGGACAAACCAAAAACCACGTCTCTCCCCACCACTATTTTGACCATTTTATGGTTAAGAAGAAGGGTACCCAGAAGAGTCTTTATCTGTATGTCCAATGGAAAAGATACCATTTCACAATCATAACTCCTGTGTGTATGCATCGTTTAAGGCGATAATATTGTGTATGGATGAGACCATACGTTTAAGGGATTCCATCAAAATTATACATCTCTTCACACACTGAGATTTCTGAATCGGGTGTGAGTAGGTACCCACAAAGTATTTTATTTTAGGAAGCTTAAACGGGTATGAGATGGGGGCAAGCAGTAAACAAAAACGTGGCGAGGATGCCATTTGCCCTGGAATATGTGAGATGATCATCTTCCATCCACATATTCAGCCTGGAGTAACATAACAATAAGAAGAAACATTTGAGGTTGATAATAATATAGGAAGAAGGAACTTGTATACCAAAACCACGACCAAAGTGGTAAAGTGAATTTACCTCCACGTAAATAAGTATCTGTGTTATAAGGAGCACTTTGCCTACCACTAAACTGGCTACTTCTTAAGAGGTGCAGCATGCAGTGGAGGAATTGATGCAATAAGAAAGGCAACTTTATAACGTACAAGTACATAGGAATCATTTGGTGAGGGATGGTTTGGTATGCCTGTTATGTTACGAGCTACAAAAGATTCTTTAGTGAGATAGGTATTCCTCCCAAGTTTTGAGTTTCAAGACCCTCTTTCTTCCCATGAAACCACATTCTACAATCCAGTTGCAAGCCAGGCTTTGAAAGAGACAGAGCTACTCTGTTATCCGTTCTCTAATGTAATGCACGCTGTGAGTGTTACGTTTCTCGTGTTAAAAGCAAAGTCGAGTCGTTTAAGTAACACGGTTTTAAACAAATTTTTGTAATACGTATGAACATTTCGTTCTGTGCATTTGCATGAGAAGCAGACGAGACAAATAGTGTTGAGACAGTTGCAAATTTGTGAATATTTTGTTCAATTACACACAAATTCAGTTAGTGGCGTTACACAAATACACAAAAGTCGAGTTATTTACTAAATCGTTTGGACAATGAGAACCTGACCTGAAGGTTGGAAAGTTGTGACTTTTGAACAAAAGTTCTTTTAAGGACTATAGTAATTGAAAAGTGGAATTTTGTTGGAAATTGAGCCGGACAGATTCAGCACTTGTGACTCAGTGAGTGTCCAACCAAAGTTGTAAAGGGACTCTACGGGTGAGCCCATTCCGAGTTCAAAATATTTACTTGGAAATCTCAAGTGAAGTGCCCTTTGCCTCCAGAAAGAAATGCGATACACTGCACCACGGTTGTTGTTCATTACTTGCTGAGATTCAATTGAATCAGTTGGTATCGACGAGCACTTGTTCTCTCGTCCTTCGTCTTCGAGCTCTTGTACGTTTGAGACAGTTCTTCTCCGAAAAGAAGGAAGGATCAGCTTTATGGTTCTTTAGTGGAAAATGAATCTGAAGGCAAGTGGTTGGTTCTCCTTCGTTGTTTTGTTGTATTTGGGCTGAACGTCAAAGCAAATAGCCCCATGCAGAGAGAAAATGAATAATAGATGAAATATATCCCATTATTGCAGATTTTGATTGATCCAAGATTTATGATCACCAGCACCATCCAATCCGACAAAACTCCCATGTTTGGTATGCACCGTGCCGTGGGATTCACCGACGAAACGGAAACTAATAAGGAGTGTGGAGGAAGTGAATGAAATCATCACGGGAAGGAAACCGTTTTAACAATAAGAAAGAGAGCGAGAGACTGTATAGTAAGTACTTGAGAGAGGGCAGAGATTTATCACATATCTCACCAACCAACCAATCAATATGACCAAGAAGAGAAGCTAAATGCATGCAAACCACGAAGGAGAATCTAGCATAGTTAGCCGAAGAAAGTTTTGAATTGGTTGGTAATCCTTGAACAAAATGGATCTTCTCCTCGGTCGGACTGCTACTTTGGGACTGATGTTATCAGTTTTCCTCTCCGTGGCAGTTGTAGCTTATCGGAATGATTTATCTACCAACCGGCATGGATGCGTCTGGTCAACAATGGAAAAGGAGGCTGCTATACCAACACCCTCAATTGCATCGTCTTCTCCACCAGGCCCATATATTTCCGGACTACTAATAAATCCCCCCCACCAACAACACGGCTTGCCCGGAGGAGGAGGAGGTGGTGGCGGATTACTAAATTGTAACTTGAGAACTTTAAACGTAGATTTTTGGAATTACACATTCAACCGTGACCAGATCGAGCAAACTCGCGTCGTGCGAATAAAGTGTAGTGATAAACTTTTTTTCGAATCAGTTCTGACTCCAAATCAAACTCTTTTCCAACTCCGAAATCTCAAAGAGGTGCAGATCGAATCCTGTAAAATTCGCAAAATACCGAAAAGGGTTTGGGCAAGTTTGACAGGTATTTTTATGGATTTATTACAAAAAATTGATGATTTTTATTCTGCAGTTTTTTTTTTAAAATGGGCTGCATAAATTAATAATCCTTTTGGAACTAATGGCACCAACAAATTTCATTAAGTAGTATATAAAATTAACAAACAATTAATCGCATAGTTTAACGACGAACACTTTTCGGTTAAATTCAGTCTTTTCTTCACACGGGTCAGTCTCATTAGTTTGATTAGCAGCAGTACGACTATTATTGGTATTAGTTTAGTAGCTTGCAATTCTTCACCTCATTATTAGAATTTTCCTTTGTCAGGTTGGAAATCACTGCCGTCAGATTATAATTCTCTGTCGTCAGGAATGAAAGCTTTTCTGTGAAACTGAAATACAAGTATTAATAAAATGGGTATGCTTATTTGGATGAGTTATAGATAATTAATCGACATGAAACTTTTTAAATTACTCACCCAATTTCCATCTCACATCTCTTGCCTCTTTCTATCTCCAACTCCCTTCTCGCCAGGTTTAGCTCCTCCTTCTCGCTCAACTGAACAGTTAAGACTGGGCCAAGCCAGAGGTCATTTGTTGAACGTAACGCGGCTCGGAGTTGTTCCAAATAATTAGCGAGCCACCCGTAACATTCCTTTGGTTTGACGGAACAGATCGATCCAGTTTCGTTCCTTGTGAACCATTTCAATTGCCCCGCAACCCACTTTGATGTTGCCACCAATCCTTTGACCTCAAACGCCTCCTCTGGATCGAAAAAATACCCCTTTTTGAACAAAATCCTGTGCAAAAAACCAGCATTATTTAGATTTACATACATTAAATATAAAATTTTGCTCTACATAATATTCCTTTATTTATTTAAAATATACTCGCCTATCAGTACAGCCCTTATCTATGGAGGTTACAACTAGTTTCCATTTACTTTCTGCGGCTACTTTACAATCCTCCTCATTCAGGCCAAAGTAAACTGCAACGACTTCGAAAGTAACTGGATCTCGCCATATGTATCCAAATATCTTCTTGGAATTCACTAAAAAAGGAAGCAAAATAAAATAATTAGAGCACTCCTTCATAGCAAATCACAAATTTGCAGGGGATTATTGCAACGGAATTAGGGGGCTACAAGTTTAAATCATCACATTTAATTATTATAAATACTTACAAAGTTCCTCCTCTGTTAGTTGGACGTATGCAACTTGTGTATTCTTCTCCTCAGATTTGTAACCCCATCCTTGCTTATGGCGTTGCCCATTAACTTCATCCAAAATTACTGGCGTTTCAAGTCGTTCAGGTTCGAGATTTTGGAACTGTTGTTTTACTAATTTCAAATAGTATTCACTGTTTATTATGGTGCATGGAATAGTTTCATCACCGGGATTTGCTTTGAATTTTCGGTAGTTGTCGAGACTAATCTCTGCAGGTGACACTTGCTCCTTCTTCTCCTCCGCTTTTTTGGTTGATTTCTCAGAATGCATACTTTGCATATGCTTCTGCAGGTCCAAGTTTTTATTAAAGGCTGATTTGCATAGGAGGCAACGAAAGTTTCTTTTGTTTTTGTGGACGGTATTGGTGTGGTTACGCAATCCAGCAATATTTTTGAACTTTTTTTCGCACTTCGTGCATTGGGTCTTGTATTCGGAGTCATAGTGTTCACGTTTAACATGGAGTATCAAGGCCTGTTGTTTTTCAAAAGACATACTACAGTAAGTACATTTGATATTCTGTCCCTTTTTTGAATTCTCTTTTTGACTGCTGACACAACTTTTACGGTTCAAATGGCTAACTAATGAATAATGTGTATCAAATTTATTATTACACATATTGCACACAAATTGTCCGCTATTTAAATGGCTTGTGTTCATATGCGTCTTCAATGAGTGTTTTGATTTATACTTCCTATGACACAAACTGCACTTCAGTTCACCTTTGGCAAGATTGTTATTTTAAAAAATTTTATCCATTTTCTGACTGTTTTGATGTCAACTGCAGTTAAACGTTGGCTTTTCAAGTTTAATTAAAAATACTTTTTATCCTATCTCCCCTATTAAGTTGACTCGATCGCACTATCTCTACTGCACTGAAACTAGTACTACATAATTATTTTTCATAAATTATTAGAATTTCAATGTAACTATATATTGGTAAGAGGAGGGAGAGGGAGAGGGTGAAGGAGAAAGAGATGAGATTAGAAGAAAAGTAAAGCACGTTTGAATTTGATTTCCGCCGTGTCTCATCAAGACTAAGTATTTTATTCACAAATTACAGAAATGATAAAAATCTTTATTCTTCCACCATTTTTATTTAATTTTTTCCGTGAATTTTATTTTATTATAACGAATTTATTAAAAATACTATTGCTTTGTTTGCAGAGTTGAAAAGTCTCACAATCCGCACGCAGAATACAGAGTGGAGGGCAAGCAGTGCCGGATTGGAGGTGGAACAGGGGTCGTTCGAAGGGCAGGGGCAATTAGAATATCTGTCACTGGCCGAAAATAATTTGTGGTCACTTGGCGAAAGTAAGAATGCACTTTGCCCCCTTCGTAATTTGGTACATTTAAACGTGAGCTATAACCGACTAAGTGACATTGAAGAGTTAATCAGTGCTTCTCCGGTAGTTTCTCGGAGTGAAAGTGGTGAAAATTTGTGTGCACTAAATGTCCAGAATGTTGACGTGTCGCACAATCACATTCGTCGCGTTGGGCACAATGCTTTCTCCAACTTTCCCCGCATGTCGGAACTTCGACTTCAGAACAATTTAATCAGTGAATTGGAGGACACCGCGTTCACGGGACTTGGTCAAATAAAACTTTTGAATTTGTCCAGTAACAGAATCGTAGCACTTCCTCCGACAATTTTCCAATCAAATGGGAACATTCGAGAAATTTTCCTTCAGAATAACACCATATCTGCGATTTCTTCACGGGTTTTCTCCGGGTTGGAAAACCTGCTTTCTCTCGACCTTAGCAGAAACACGTTGACGAGCCAATGGATCAAGGAGGACATATTTCAAGGTCTGAGTCGACTCGTCATTTTAAAATTGTCATCAAACCAATTGAGTTACGTGGATGGGAGCATTTTTAAGGACTTGATCTCTCTGCAATCTCTCTCACTTGAGAGGAACAAGATTGACACGATTCACCCCACAGCCTTCAATTCGCTCCGTAACCTACATTTCTTGGACTTGTCGTTCAACCGATTGTCTCACATTGACTCTCGAGTCTTCTCCAACTTGGTTGTGCTTAGCCAACTGACCCTCGATCACAACAAGATAAGGTCATTGGAAGATAACGCTCTCAAGAATTGTAGCTCAATCAGTGACTTGATTTTAGCAAATAACCGGCTTCTAAACGTCCCAGTCGCAATTAAGTCCTTGTCATATCTTAAAACGTTGGACATTGGGGAAAATTTGATAACCCACGTGAATAACGCCTCTTTCACCGGAATGGTTCAGCTTATCGGGCTTCGAATGGTGGACAACCGGATTGAATCACTTCCCTCCGGTTTTTGCTCATCAATGAAGAAACTCCGAGTTTTAAACTTGTCTCAAAATAAGATCCGAGAAATCTCATCCTCTGCATTCATATCGTGTCCAGAACTTCGTGTTTTGCGACTTGACACCAACTCCTTGCAAGAACTTCCCCCCACCCTGGCACCCCAATTACCCTCGCTCTTGTGGTTGAACGTGTCCGAAAACCAGATCCGATCGGCTGACTATCGTCTCCTCCCACCAAGTACGGAGTGGCTTGACCTTAGCTACAACGTGATTGAGACTCTTGGACCCATTTCACGGAATGTAACCCATGACCAGAGAAGTTCCAGCCTCCGTGTCATGGACATTTCTTACAACAGACTTAAAAGTTTGGATCAGAGTGGAATCCCAGCGTCTTTGGAAACTCTGCGCATCAATCACAACAGTCAGTTCAAAACCGTGGAGCCCAACACATTTTTAGCGTCGACTCAATTAAGAAGAGTAGAACTTATTGGAAACCAGATTGAGATTCTGCCCCTGGAAGCTCTTCAACTCCCGCAGATTCCTTCGGGTCGAATGTTGCCCGACTTTTATCTGGCTAATAATCCATTTACACAAAATTGCCAAATGGAATGGTTAACGCGAACCCATCAACTGACCGTTCTCCGAACTCATCCTCACATTGTGGACCTTGACGCGATTCTCTTGAGACCCACTTTCCCCAGACCGAATCAAGCGGTGTCATTAATGGATACGAGAGCACAGGACTTTCTCTGCCCGTACAAATCGCACTGCTTTGCACTTTGCCATTGCTGCGAGTTTGAATTCTGTGATTGCGAAATGAGGTAAGATTTGAATCGTATTTTTTTACTCTATATCTCGTCTTTCGCTTTGTATATTTGCACAGCATGCGAAATCTCATCACTATTATCATCATCACTTTCACCTAAAAACACACGTCTCACAATTTTTTTGCTCACCACAATATGTTTGTTTCAATTATAGCTGCCCGGACAATTGCACTTGCTACCACGATAACTCCTGGTCGTCCAATATTGTCGTGTGTTCAAATCTCCAGTATGAAAATGTTCCTGAGAAAATTCCCATGGATAGCTCAGAACTTTATTTGGACGGGAACAACATCAGCCAACTGGGCAGCCACATCTTTATCGGGAAGAAAAACTTGCTCTCCTTGTATCTCAACGGGAGTAACGTGGAATCAATTAAGAACAAAACGTTCAACGGGTTAAAAGCCCTCCAGACCTTGAACCTGCAGGACAATTTTTTAAGTGAGTTGAACGGCTATGAATTCGCCGATTTAGAAAACATACGCGAAATCTACCTTCAAAACAACGAAATTGTCACGATTCATAAAGACACTTTTGCAAATCTAAAATTCTTACAAGTTCTCAGAATCGACGGGAATTTGATAGTTGACTTTAACGTTTGGGAATTGAGTGCAAACGGTTATCTAAACAGTGTCATGTTGGCAAATAACCCGTGGAATTGTGATTGTGACTTTCTCATCCCGTTTCGAAATTGGGTAGCTTCCAAAACCACGATCGTGGCTGATTTCAGTTTAGCAACGTGTCAGATATATTATGCAGAAGATGAAGATCATCAACATGATGGCGTTATGAGCAAATTTTCGCCTTCTACTAACCACCAACTTCAACCCACAATCAGCTCCATGTGCAATTTCGCGTCTAATGCTGACATAACTTTCAATTACGAGCAGAATGGGAATAACGAGTTGTTGGAGATTAATAATCATATCTCTTCGATGGGAGGAGCTGCAGAAAAAGTTGCGGGTCCAGTAGGCCCACTGCCACCCCCCTCGGAGAACCATTCGAATTTCTCACGCCTCGACACCAACTCTGCTGACAACACTTTCTGGGCCCTGCTCCTCTGCCTGACCGCCTTCCTCATTGTGATCCTAGTTATTCTCGCCATTTTTCGACAGGAAATTTATTACTGGGCCAGAAATGGCCTACTTAACGGAGGAGAAAGTAGTGGTGGATTCCTCGCCAACCTGCTCAACTGCTGCTGCTGCTGTCCAGAAAAATATTCCGGAACTCATCACCCTGGTGGGGCTGGTGGGAAAAACTTGTGTCCATCAACCATGCTCGATGACCAAGAAAAGTTGTTTGATGCGTACTTTTTGTACGCGAAAAGAGACGAGGACATGCTCATACAAAAGATCGTTCCAGAACTGGAAGATCCCACGACTGCGAGTACCACTCCGGGACATAAGTTTCGTCTATGTTTACACTACCGAGATCTCTGCCTGAGCCCGGAAAGCCCGTGGAACAGGGAAATGATATTGAGTGCTTGTGATGCTTCAAAGCGGTAAACCACAATTAAATTAACCAAATTTTAAAAGTATAACTAATTTTATTTAACATTGTGATGCCACAAAAACATGTTTGGTAATCAGTCCTCATTCTCAGTTTTCCTCGTTATAACTACAACTGGAAGTAAATTTTCGTTGTTGCAAGTTTCTGTAAAATTTATAAACAGATTGTTTATATTGATCATAATATTTACAAATGTGTTTACTAACCTTCAAGCTCCTGTCTCGTCATTCTTCCGTCGTTTGACTTCCGGTTCGTCCTCTTCTTCTTCTTCACTTTGGTCAGACTCGGTAGCATCCTCATCAGTTCCTTCATCAATCCAGAAAGGGTTGACTACAACATAGGGTCGTAATAGTGGAAATGTCATCAATTTCTCCTTGATTTCTTGCTTTCTCTCTGTGGTGAGTTCCAAACACGTGACGGCTGAACGCTGTAAAGTATTAAATTGCATTATTATGAATGCAAAATACCGTTACGTAACTTAAAACTTACAACAGATGCACGCTTAGCCAAGTGAACGATACAACGACGAGCATAATTTTTGCAGCATTCTATCTCATCGTCATCATTTCCAGTAATCGTCGTACCAAAGCTTTGTTCATGAGCGATGGTGTACCCGTTTTCTGGTGTCAACTCTCTATAAAAAATATATAAATTGTATATGCATGATAATCTCGTTATAAAACTAATACTATTGACTAGAAAGTGAAATCACAGACGAGTTACAACGATTAGAAATATATAGTTTTACCTTCTAGAACAATTGACTCGTCGCTTCGAAACATATGAAAATTGTGCATATTCTGTCCTTCCAATTGATGCTCCATAAAACTTTCCAAACTTGTACACAGGCGTGCAAAAATCTTCATATTCATAATCATTGAAATTTGACAATTTGTCTCTGATTTTGGTGATAGAATGAACACGTCCTACATGTGCTTTACGAGCCTGTGCTGTGTTCCATCGAGTGTTGCATTCCCTGTATTAAAATAGGAGTCATTTTAAAATTCAAAAATAGTAAGTAAATTAAAAATGATATGCAACCTACAAACAAGGAAACGTATTCTTTGGATCATGCCCTGTTCTTATATGTCTGGCTCGAGTCCCCCCATTGATTGACAGTTCCATCCCACATTTCGAGCATTTTTTAAACCCTGGTCTACTCCCCTCAGTCCACGTAATTTCTTCATCGTAGTCATCTTCTTCTTGTACATCGAATGGTTGTGGTGGATGATAAGTCTCATCCGTTCCTACATCAGTTTGACGAAATTTTGATGTGAAATCGTAGAAAGGACCATACGCGAGTGACGTGTCTGTGTGGAGACGCATTTTGCAATGACGCTTATCTCTCATATGTTGCTTTATAAATAAAAGACCGTCATCATTTATTATCATGAAATGAGCAAAAATATATATTTTCTGTCTTCTTATCTACCTGGACAGACGCTGCATCAGGAAAAGCTTTCCTCTTTTCATCACACCAAAGACAAAGTATCCTCTCGTTCACCTTGTTTCTCAAAAAGTCCAGCAAACCTTCGACATTGTTGCAATACTCCATGTCAGGTATGGAAAAAGCGTGTGTCACGGTCATGTGAAGAAGAATAGAGTCCAATCCATCAGCTTGCGTTGGGCAGAACAGGCAAGTTATTAGTGGCAGTTCTACAGTCTTTTTTCTCTCGGCAATCTGGATCCCAAGCGCCAACCATTCTTCTTTTCCATTAGAATCTAGAAGATCCCAAACTCTCAAACACTCTTCTTTCGGAGGATCCATAATTTTTAATCGAAATTTAATCAATTTTTCAGATAATAATAATTAATTAAACTGAGAAATAGTTATTCTTGAAAGACTAATATTTCTTTTGCAAGAGTGTTTACTGCTCATTTGAGAATTCTCCTGTGTTGCTGTCCTATCTCCGTCCTATATAGCTCAATGTTAACATCTTGTCTGCTCCCATTTACTCGCTCATGTAAATCTAAGCGGGCAGGGGCAGACTAAGACACTGAGTTGCAAGGATGGGGAGTATGCAATCATATAAAAGTGTGTTGTTGCATTAATTTCTTAATTTGTATATTAAAGAGTCGTTCTCGTCCTCTCCAACACCTTTCTCCAGTCGGAATGGTCATCCAGTATTCATTTCCGAACATCAATCCAATCTGCGATTGCCCTCCACCCGAAAAAACTAATATTCATCCTGCTCCCTGATTTCAATCAGAATATGTCCTCCATCTCATCCGAGCTTAGCAACTACAGCTCGACCAATACCATAAAGAATTCCTGTGTGTCTTGGTCAGATAAGAATTTCTGGACCAAGTTTAAGCGACTCTTACCCAAACCCACGTCACCCATTCCCCACTGCCTTTTAGGAGGAGAAAATGGGACAAATTTGCAAAATGAGATATACAACAACTCGTCCTGTGACCCGTCTCAACTTCCCTACAATCTCGTAATGAACCCCAATCTGGCCCAATTGCATCACCTGCAACAACTCCAACAGCAACAACAAACCCTCCGATCGAATCATTACCACTCGAACATCCTACCATATCAAATTCCTGTCCCGAATGGAATGATGAGTCGGACCAATTCCCTGCTTCCCCCAGTGCCCAAACATCAAATTGTTCTTCCAGCAAATTCTAATAATAATGGGCTCCACCAACATAATCATAACGCGATTATATCATCCTCCACCACCAACAACAGCCTCATTCATCCCATTCCTTCACAACTTACCCCGCAGGCCTTTGGCTACAGTAACGAGACTTTTCATCTCCAACAGAACAATCATCATCAAAACTTTGTAAACCATCATCATCCCAATAATAATCATAACCAACCCATCCATTTCTCATCTCCTCAGCAAAATCCACACCACCAACATCATCCACTCCACCACCAGCAAATGCATCCAGTAATAATTCCCCCACATTCTCACCACCACCATCCGCAGCACCTCCATACCGCGTCGCAAGTCTCTAATAATTTTTCAACGTCCCTTCTTTATCCGCATCATCACCAACAAACGTCGTCGACGACGAGAGGAGATGATCAGCCAAATTACTCGTCAAGTGCGGTTTCCAGTTGTGCAGAGTTTGACCACGTCTACTCAACTTTAGATTCTCCAATCCAGTCCCCCGGGCTCCTGACCTCGGACAGGGTTGACTATTCCCCGAACGGTGGTGGTGGTGGTCCCACTAATAACACTGTCGACAGTAGAAACAGTTCCAAACACACGGTCCAACATAGCACGAGCTCGGGAGTGTCCTCCGGCTCGGACATGACGTGTGGTGGTGAAAGCAGCAGTGCAGTGTCGCCATCGTCCCCCATCAAGAACGGGATTCTCAATAAACTTAATGCCCACATGAATTCTAACAACAATCCGGGGGGCAGCAGTAACACTAACCAGAATGGGAAGATGTATTTTGTTTAAAGAAAGATTTTTTTTTCATTTCTCCGTTTAAAATTTTACCAAAAAAAGTCACATGTGTAGGTTCGTAATTTTATAAATTATTTTACTCACATCACAACTACAATTTTTACAAAGACTGAAATAAGTACATATGTAGAAGGAGGTAGTTTTTACGATTAGTTTAAGCATACGTACATATGACGAGGGGACAATTTACTTATTATTTCGTAATGCATGTACATAAGTATGTAGAATTGATATGAAATTTCGCATAAAATATACCCACAGTTTAGCAAAAAGTCCAATATAAACTAGTCAGGACCACGATTATTCAATATTTTTTACCCTTATTGCTAAACATTTTTAGTTATAAGTCGTCAATGTTTATTGATTTGTCGAAACAATGGATTTTCCTCTTATGTATTACTGCTCGATTAACTTTCCTCATTGTTATTCAGCCCGTTAAAGAAAAAGAGAGAGTGATAATTACGTGCACTTGAATTAAACCGAGAAAGTTGGATACCTATAATTTACACAATGTTATTCAATCTATAAAATTTTCAAATGTTGCCTCATGCCTGTTAAATCAATGTTGTAATATTCATCCAATCCAATCCACACTTGAACCTGATACGTATAATGATGATGTCTTCTTGCCTGCAGAAAACTAAATAATTATATTATACCAAACATTTAATGTATTATTCATCTCTTGTTACTACTCTCCTATTGTTATAACTGATCGAATTCACTATGATATCAATATCGACTAAAAGTTATATTCACTACATACTTAAATTAATATGGAATATACATAAAACCAATGTCATATCGAACATAAAATGTATAACTAGTTATTATTTTTACATATATTTACATTTGCTTGTTTAGTTTGATGAATTTTCAAGTCTGCCAAGAATAAATCGAAACCGCATTGTTGTTTGCAATAATAATCATCATGCTGATTTTACATGTTTTTCTTTGTTGATACACATACTTATTTATCCATCACTTTAAGAAATACGGTATTCATCAGCATCCTTGTTGCAGCGGACATATTTCATTTCATTTCATAATAAAATTGATGGCTGGACCAGTTTTTCGGCATTTTTCTTTGTGGTCTGTTCATTATACTACTTGGTTTGCATTTATTTACCTGCTGCTGTTCAGTCATTAAACTATTTGCCAATTTACTTTGTTAGTTAGGAGGGATCGGCATATTTTGTATTCTCATTTTCCATAAATTCTACTTCAGTCAATTCAGAAATATGATCCACAAGTAAGTATTACTTGACTTTGTATTCTCCCGTTGTTGTGGTGGGATTGAACTATTCAAGACTTACAAAGTTTCCTCATATTCCTTCCCTCAAGACGGGTGACGGGGTCATCATTACATAGTTTGACACCATCCTGCAACTTTGCCATCAAGTAACCACAAAGTCTGGAGATTAGTAGGAAGTAAACAGCTTCCAAGGGAAATATTTATGTAACACCAAATTGTAACTGCATATAAAGCGAAATTAACATTTGATCTTTGGTGGCGGACGGAGATAAGGGACAAATGGGTTTAATGAGCCATTACATTAGTTTTGATTAGAATTTAAAACCAACCAAGACGACGAAAAAATACAAAGTAACGACGTCTCCCGTTCCATCCAGCAGTCTGTCTCTCTTTAAAATAACTTTGTTCTCGCAAATCATGAACGAGTCGTCATTCTCATAATATGAATGCGTCCACATTCTCAAGAATTTTGGAATGCACAATAAAAATAGCAATTTCCAGACGTATTACGTACGTACTTAAACCCACGGCAGGATTACATCTTGTTTAAAGTTTGATGTAGAAGTTGAAGTATTGAAGTTTTGAAGAATTAGAGTTGAAAGGTCAGAAAGTTGTTGCAAGGCGAGAATCGTGGCAACTTTAGGACATGCATCATCATCATCATCTCTTTACTGATTGAGTATCATGAGTCAATTTTTTACTTTATTTTTCTGAAACTGAGACGAAAACTAACAAACATTATTATTTCACTGTGTGCATCTCCTCCTTCTACTTTATCCCAATCATAAGTAACTCACCGGGTGAGTGGATTCTGTAAAAGAAAGAAAAAAAAACTTACTCAATCTTGCCAACATTATTTTATGTACAGTAAATATAAAGTTTGAAACTTGGACACACAGAATGTTACGTTACTAACTAACTAATCACATATGAGTTTGGCTTGTTTCGAGTAATACCACTTATCCTATCAGAAGAACAATCCTCTCAGTTTTAAGAGCAAGAAGGTGGAAAATGAGGAAGAAGTGGAAGGTGAAGCTATAAAGCTATGTGGCAAGTACGGTGCACAATAATTAAGCCCAAATCTCCAAGTCAGGATTCAACTTTGTCTTGCATTAGTCTGGGTCATTTACAGCCAACTAATGGTACACGTTTCAGAAAACACGTCGAAATCTACTCTACCTTTCTACTTACCTAATGCATCCAATCCAACCAAGATGCGAAGTATGGGTGGGTCGTCGTCGTCGTCATCGTGTCCCTAGATTTTCCTTATCAAATATATACGCAGAAGGTTACGTAGCGTAGAATGAAAGTTTGTTGATTTTTAATCTTTACAGGACCAATTTGTTCAAGTTGCAAAAGTTGTTTGTAACATTTGACACAAGGAAAACTCACAGAAAGCTCTGTTTAGGAAGGGAATTCTCCTCTTGGAATGAAATGAAATGCTGAACAAAGTCTCACCATAATTCCAGCATCACCATAATTAAGAGAAACATTTAAGCTTTATGAAGGGAAGCGGAAAATAAACAATTTCCATTCCATCCGACTGCTTGGTTTTGTGTAAATTAGGAGGATCGTGCGAAATGATTCTTGTTGTTGGGTGGGTGGGTGGGTAGGGATTATGTGTGCATTATTATTTTCATCCTCCCCAGGCTCAACTGCATTTTGTAGCAAAAGTGGACCGAGAAAGGGCCAACTTTATATATTATTATAGCTTCTGGAAGTGTGTGGTATATATATTATGTTTTAGCAGTCCGTATTTAGTACGGAAGTAAGGGCTTGCATTGTATTTAATTATGTATTAGAGCAGAGGCCGGTTGGATGATGATTCCCCTACATACAATTCTTTAAAACCTCTGCTGCTGCTGGTGCTGTATCCTAAAAATCAAGCGCATAATATGCATATGTAAGTGCTACTCAACAATTCAACACTATTAGACGATAATTAGTCGGGAATTTCTTCTCTAAAGCTCTCCGCCCTTAAACCGGCCAACAAGAGGCCCCCCTCTGCTCACTAATTTACTCACGTTAAGCTCAAACATTACGACGTCTTCCTATTTCATTCCGTTTAATTGTTTTTTTCTCTTCTTTAATTGAATGCAAGTGTATAGTTTATGAAGGATTTTTTAAGTAAGGAGTGGCATGGAAAGACATGAACAGTAAACATTCACATCAAAAGAACAGCATACCGCTGGTAGTTATTAAACTGAATAAAGGAACGGTGTGCTGTGCAGATTTTGCGGTGGGTGCAAATTAATTCATATTTTTTTGCTAACTGGTTAAGTAAATAGGTTTGGTTGAGAAGTAAGTTGTGAGGAATCTACTCGTTGAAATTGCCAGTGTGGGTGACTGGCCCCATTTAAATTAAGACGGAAAATTGCACACTCAACAGTGATCCTGAACGTGCAATATGTGGGCAACGCGTTGAGGAAAAAAGGGGTATGACATATCGAAGACCAGACAGACACCGTAAGATGCAGGAGATTTACAGGGTAAAAATGATGATGAGGATGCCAATGTTTTGTACCCCACGAAATAACGATCTCATAACACAGTCTTAAATCTAGTATATGAGACGTTGGTTTGTTTAGCATGAATTTATAGTATGTGTATCTTTACTGGCTCGAGAGAGAAGTCTAGATGGCTGGGCTATCCTAACAGGCAAACAAATAGGCAATAACTTATGAATCATAATATCTTTCGGGTTGATAAGTGACGTTATTATGGCCCCTTAAAAACTAACCTGTGGATTTGTAAATTGCAAATGGGCTCATGTCCTACGTATAAGCTCACTATGCGAGTACAACTAACGAGCAAAAATTCTATCATGCACACAATAAACTCACCCCATTATGTTATGCATTAAAACCGTTTAATACCAACAAACACAACCACCATCATCATCTCGTTTGCTTTACTGCAGCTGTATCTGTCTTCACCTCATCTTAATAAGAAACTAATGTTTTTTGCATTGTTATTTTCTCAACAGCATCTTGTACTTCACGAGAGCGAGAACAAAATGAGGAGGTGAGTTGAGAAGGTGAAGAATTTTATGGCGAATGCAATCCCTCAAAAAAACAATTCCAACCCGGTCTCAAGAAGTTCTGGTGGTGCATTGTCTTGGAAAATGTTGCATATCAAGTAAATGCTTATGTAAATGCATGCATACTACTGACCGGTTAAAATGCTGCTATAACTTGGAACTTGCAAGTTTAAATTTATTTACAGAAAGAGAATAAGGCCAACAATGGATTATAAAAGTGAATTGTCCCAGGAACTTAAGTGTAACAAAAACGAAGCTTGTACCAACTAATATGTAACTGTACCTTCGTGGATAGTAATAATAATTCTCTTTGTTCACAACAGCAGCAATTGTGCAGCAGTTGCTGATTATTGGACATACTTTCTGGAAGTTGAGATTTTAGGTAAAAGAAACATGAAACTTGTAGCTACACCCAGAAGGATTTCCTTATAAGCATAGTCTTAAATTCTGCTTTTGTCACTTTACAAGTGTGACCTGTCCCAATCCTGGCACGTCATTTCTTCTCCTTCTTTTTGGATCGTATTGCATCCCTTTATCTGAATTGTCCTACTCACTCATTGCTGAATTGGATTATTGCTTTACTGCTTTATGGCCACTTTGAGTTTACAACTTGTCAAACAAAGTATTAATATTGAAAGAAAATTGCAGCAGAAAGTGTTCAACAGGTTCTGATTCATAAAGTAAAATGGACCTTTCGTATTTAACAAGAAAGGGAAAAGTGATAGGGTGAAATCCTAATATACACAGGATCCATGGGTGAAATAAAGCACACGGAATTTTAGCTCAAGTTTGTTTCCCCTTCGTCGTTCTGAGTGCAATCTGCAACTATCAAAAAGGAAGGAGTAGACCAATTTTGGAGGAAAACACTCTCATCGAAATTATATGTTCCCAACAGCCACACGAATCCAAGGGTCAAGATGAATTGCCTTCTTCTTGTCCGTACTTGCTCTTGATCTTGTTTGTTCTTACTCGTAAATCGTAGTTGAGTTTATAAGAAATTATTATTGCACCCACCAAAAATCCTGTATCCAATACCCCACCATAGAAATTGGACAGGTACGTATGTACAGGAGACGATGAAGAATTGCAGTTGCGGTGAACAAGTCAGGTACATAACAAGCTTCTTGTTAACAGGAGTGTGAGTCAAATCAAAGTCCGGTTGCACAAGCCAGCGAGTGCTCATCATCATGATCATCATGAGTCAAGGGTAAAGTATCTGCTTAAAGTTTTCTTGGTTGTGAAATTGTGGGGGATAAACAGACATAAACGAGATGAGGTTTACTTTTTGTGCGATGTGAAGCATGGGTAAAAACTATAAAAGTTTGACAATCAACGGACCTCAGTAATGCAGCAGCCTTGCTAAAGTTTTACAAAACTGCCCGGAGCCATTAATTCTGACCGTGATGATGATATAATATGGTTCAAGTGCCGTATAAAACGTAATTTTTGTGAGGGGAATGTGTACATTTTTTATATTACTTGGATATATACATGTAGTTGTAGGAGAGCGATTATGCATTGTGCATAAGTACATATGGAATTTGTTACATGACATGATACACTTTTAAGCACATGTAAGTTGCGAAAACGGAGATGTCAACTTTTCCTATTCTTGATGTAATCCTGGATTA